TTGGGGTGGAGGAGGGCTTGTCTTAGAAATCTTTTCAGAGATCACAAACATAAAACTATTTCCTTAATAATGCCAAGACATGATTTGCCCTTTTTGCTGTGTTGACTGTTGATGCAAAAGCAATGGTTGGTAAAACTGCTGGCACCTTAGCAAGAATTAAGGCAGGGGAAACAAATTGTGCTATCTCAGTCCTTGTCCTCTACCATGCATTCATAATAAAAAAAAATAGTGCCAGTTTCACTTCAGAGTATTCTTCATGAAGCAGCAAAATTTAATTTTATAACTCTTAACCCCTGAGTTCACACTTTCTCATACTCTATGTGACAAAACAGTGTGCATAAAACAATTCCACATACTGAAGTATGCTGGTCTCTTGAGGAAAAAGCACTTGACTGGTTATTTGAATTGATTACTGAACCAGCTACTCTTTTTTTTTTTCCCATGGAACATACTCACTTGAAAGTACAATAACAACTCATGGCAATTCAGAGTTAGCTATTTGGCAGAACTTTTCTTGAATATATGGGAAAGGGGAAAAATTCCCTTTTCCTTCCTCTGGTTCTTCTGGCTAGCCTAATTGTATCAAATGAGAGACTGATTGACCAGAGAAAAATCAAATTTAATTTTGTATTACAGGAACCCCACATACGTGAGAGATTTAGATAGAAAGGGAAAATGGGTATATAAAACATTCTGATCTAGGTAGGGATGAGGTTAAGGCTCATTGAGGCGTCAAAAGATCGTTGCGGGGAGAGCACACATTCAATATACTAAGCCATATACTAAGTAGGTCCAAAAAGGTTATCTCTGGTAATCTCTTATTATGGGTGAGGCTCCTTATTCAAATTCTTCAAGACAGTTAAGGCAGGTGGGGGAAGAAGTTTCTCTTGAGCCCACAGGACCTCAGTTGCCTTTAGTTCAAAATAACACACAAAGCACTGAGGCACATCTTGAGGTGACTCTTCTGAACCCCACAAAAACAAAGTTAGTTGTCGCTTCAAGGAAAACAATTGAGTATTTGTTGCCAATGGTAAAATTTGACCTTTTCAAGAAAAAAATAGAATTTTGGAAAATTTTGCTGTGCTGTGAGCTTCACAGCTTTCCCATACTTAGCGACTTTAATGAAGCCCTGGCTGGTGTAGCTTCAGTGGCTTGAGCGCAGGCTGCGAACCAGGCATTGCAGGTTCGATTCCCATTCGGCACATGCCTAGGTTGCAGGCCATGGCCCCCAGCAACTGCACATTGATGTTTCTTTCTCTCTCTCTCTCTCCCCTTCCCTTCCCTCTCTAAAAATAAATAAAATCTTTAAAAAAAAGACTTCAATGAGATCCATGGTAATTTTTTAAAAATGTATAATAAGTGTGTGGCTTAGTGGATTGAGCGGTGGCCTGGGAATTGAAAGCTCTCAGGAAATAATTCGGTCAGGGCCTGTGCTTGGGTTGTAGGCCAGGTCAGTTGGGGGCCTGTAAGAGGCTTCCAGTCCCTGTACCGTATTTTGCCAAGTATCATGCGCACTTTTTTTATCCAAAGTTTTGAGGAAAAAAGGATTTGCTAATGCAATACTAAAACATGGGTGTGCATTATACACAGCAAAATATGGGGTATCTATCTCTCACACATCAATGTTTCCCTCTCTAAAAGTAAGTAAAGAAAATCTTTAAAAAATAAAATAAAAATGTATAATTAAATGTATTAACATTTGGAAGACTGCATAGCTCAAGTGAACTGAAATTTTCTGAAAGACCAACACTAAGGTGATGTCATAAATCATTTATAAGTAAAAGATCCATTCAGAGTGCCAGATAGACCAATGGATTTTAATGTATCAGAGTACAAAAAGTTTATTGATGTATTTTCAGATTCCATATTGCACCTAAATTTTAAGAAGCTACAATTTAATTTTATTTTAAAAAATTTTTAATTACTTTATTGTTGGTTAGTTACAGATGTCTGCATTTTCTCCCCACCACTCCCCTCCACCCCAGCCAAACCCAACTTCCCTCCCTTGCTTCCACCCTCCCCCTTGGTTTTGTCCCTGTGTCCTTTATAGCAGTTCCTGAAAACCCTTCTCCCCACTGTCCCCTCCCCCTTCCCTTCTGGCTATTGTTAGATTGTTCTTCATTTCAATGTCTCTGGGTATATTTTGTTTGCTTTTTCTTTTGTTGATTATGTTCCAGTTAAAGGTGAGATCATATGGTATTTATCCCTCACCACCTGGCTTACTTCACTTAGCAGAATGCTGTCCAGGTCCATCCTTGCTGTTGCAAAGGGTAGGAGCTCCTTCTTTCTCTCTACTGTGTAGAATTCCATTGTGTAAATGTACCATAGTTTTTTGATCCACTCATTTACTGATAGGCACTCAGGTTGCTTCCAGCACTTGGCTATTGTAAACTGTGCTGCTATGAACATCGGGGTGCATAGGTTCTTTTGGATTGGTGTTTCAGTAGCCTTAGGGTATAATCCCAGCAGTAGAATTGTTGGGTCGGAGGGCAGTTCCATTTTTAGTTTTCTGAGGAAATGCCATACTGTTTTCCACAGTGGCTGTACCAGTCTGCATTCCCACCAACAGTGCACTAGGGTTCCCTTTTTTCTGCATCCTTTCCAACATTTGTTTTTTGACATTTGTTTTTGATGGCCATTCTGACCAGTGTGAGGTGGTATGTTACTGTGGTTTTAATTTACATCTTTCTGATGGCTAGTGATGCTGAGCATCTTTTCATATGTCACTGGGCCCTCTGTATATCCTCCTTGGAGATGTGTCTGTTCAAGTCTTTTGCCTATTTTTTAATTGTGTTTTTTGTCTTCCTGGAGTGGAGTCCTACAATTTAATTTTAGTTTATTAAAAAGAATATCCACAATTACCTGAAAAGGCTATGAAAATACTGTAAGGTTTTCCTAGACCCCGCCAAGGAAATAAACAGCCAATTAGCCATGGAAACAGGCAGATGAGCTTTATTTTGGAAGTTTGTGCTCCCGGGCGACGTTTTCCCCGCCCGGAGAAGGGGCTAAGAAAAGACCTCGCGGGAGAAGGGAAAGGCTGGGAGTTTTATATGGCTGGACTTTGCACAGGAGCCAAGGATGGGTTCTTGGTGAACAAAGAAGCAACTTAGCATTGGTGGCTCCTGGTCTGATGTCAGTCACCTCTTCTGGGTCAGAGTTCAGTTGCCATATTACTTACAGTCCAAACGGTGGCCATATTTGTAGTCCAAAATGCTAATTGTAACTAGATTCCCATTTGTCCTACCCTGCCCATCCTGACAAAAACTCCTTCCTTCTCCAATTGCATAGTTGGGTGAGGCTGTCTTCATATACTTCACAACTAAAACTGCAACAGATTAAATGCAGAAGCAAATTTGAGAATCCCATGGTTTTCTATTAAGCCAGACATTAAAGAAATTTACAAAAATGAGAAATAATGTCATTATTTTCTCTGATTTTTATAGTTACTTTTACTTTAAATTTTTTTATTTATTCACTTATTCTTAGAAGGGACAGGAGGGAGAAATGGAGGAATAGAAACATCCATGTGTGAAACATCGACCAATTACTGCTCACACCAATGCACATGTGCTGACTGGGGACTGCCCCAAATCCAGGCGTGTGCTCTGACGGGAATCAAACCTATGACCTTTCGGTTTGCAGGATGACAACCAACCAACTGAGCTACACTGGTTAGGGCTGGAAAAGTTACTTTTTATAAAGATATTTACACAAAATGGGTGTTTACTGTTACTTTAAAGTGAATTAATACATTTTAAATTTCTCAGTTTTAATTTCTAGTACAGTAAATAGTGATAGATACTAGCCATACAAACATTACTCTTTAGGGCCCTGAGACAAAAATAATTGAGAACAGTCAGTATGGAAGATACAGTGGAATTTAGGGACAGAGGACCTAAATTGAAATTACAGTTCTGCCACCTAGAGATAGAGAACTAAAATTCAAGTTCTAGTTGTTACTTAGCTGACTCTGGTTTTAGTTGTTTAGGTGTAGGCTGTGAAGACAGACTATAATTTTTGCTCCCTTTGCTGGTAGTATGACTTTGGGTGAGTCATTTTACCTCTGCAAATAGGGATCAATATAGTACCTGCTTCATCAGGTTGCAGTGAGGACTAAATGGGATTATACTTGCATATAATCCCATATGCAGGTTACAGTGAGGACTAAATGGGATTATGCTTACTTTACACCTGTACCTACAGACATAGTACAAGCTAAGTGATAGTTACTATTATTACTTGATAATATTAGCTAATCATCTGACAAGATCCAAGAGAATGGGGCACAGTCCTGGCTTTCTTCAACCTCTCAGCAGAGAATGTAAGTTATTTAGGTGTTATAAACTTGAGAAGGTATAAATAAATTTGTCAGTATTTATGTGTGGCTGTTAACCTGTAGGAGAATTAATGTTATAAAAGTTCCCTCTTTCGGTTTCCCTTTTTCTCGGTTCCCTTTTTCTGAAGAAATAACGAAACTGAAAAACATTCCCCAAACCCTTGCCCTATAGTCTAGTTAGAAAATAGGCAGGTATTTTACCGTCCCCCAAAGGAATTGAGGTCTTCCAGAAACGCAAATACTCGGGAGAGCTGGGCAAGGTTACTACTCAGTTTAAGGTCTTGATAGGGACAGCTGCGACGAGCACCCTATCGTCCCATTTTTCACCTGGGGCGTGGCTTTCCGCACCATTCCTGGCCCTTTAGTAGAGTTAGGGTTAGCCGGGGTACTAACGGGTCAAGCGGCCCGTTTTCCCATGTATTGAGGAGGTTGAGCTCTCCTTCTTCATTTCAGTGAAATACTACATACTGTCTGACAGCCAGGCGGTCGTCCTCCACATCGCAGCCTTTCAACTACCTCCGCTTCAAACCGCGCGCCGGCTCAGAGCGGAGGGCGCGGTGCACTTACGACCCGCACGCCGCCCAGCCCTCCGGCTCCCTGCCCGCAGGGAGAAGGCACATCTCGCGCGAGTCCCTCCACCTCTCGCGACACTTTCTGGCGGTACCTCTGCAGCCGTCCTGGTATCTCCGGTGGTTTCCGCGCAGCAGTCACGGGCGAGGAGGCTTTGCACTCCGCAGTCTGGCCCGCTGCTCGCCCGCAGGGAGCGTGGTGGAGCCCTGTGCTGGGCACTAGTCTGGCGGGGCGCAGGCTCCGCCCTGCTTCGCTCCGCCCCATCTGGGCTCGGGATAAAGGCCTCCACTGGGACATGTCGTGTCCCCCTCAGCGAGGGCAGGAGACGGTGAAAAGCGGCGGCGCTGCCAGGTGAGTCCTCAACGGAGAGTTGGGTCTGCAGATGGACCAGGGGAACACTGCGGGATGGAGATGCCAGGGGCAGAGGAGGACGTGATACCTGAGGCAGGGGATGGGGATACTGGGAGGACCGACCCGCTGAGGTTCCAGGGAAGTGGCCTTTTGTATCGACTGTGCCCCAAATTACTTCGTTTCCATTGCTGGCCCCGCGCCTGCCAACCTACGGGCCGGAGGCGGGAGGAGAGTCTCCGAGCTGTAAGGTCCCAGGTCGGGGCTTCAGGAGTCCCGGGGCCACGGGGGAAAGAGGCCACGGTGGCGGAGGTAAATTTGTGTGAGGGCGGAGAGAGTGGCCAAAAGCCCGGAGGGCGTCCGCCCAGCGGCAGGCCAGGTGTTCGCGTCCCGCTGCGCCCGAGGCGGCGGCGGTGGGAGTACCCTTTCGCTGTCTGTGTGGTGAGGCTGGCCGAGCGGTCCGAGCGCCGAAGGGGTACAAACGCAGAGGTCACGTTTTGAAGGGAAGGAGGCTTTTGATGTCACCTGTTACTTTTTACCTGAGCCGTGGACAGTGTTAGTGGGGTGCGCGCTTGCGCGCAGGGGCCCGAAGGAAGGGCTCGAGTTTTCAGGATTTGTACCACAGTCCCTAATTAAGCACATTTGAAGATCAAGAAAAAGCGACTGGTTCTTAAATGAATAGTTTTATTTTCAGTATTTTAAGATTCCAGAAATCATGTAAATGTGTGATAACAGGGGCCTGGAGTCTGAAACCTGTTATTAATACGGAGTGAATGTTTTGCCTTTGGCACTGGACTCAGATTGGAAATTGGGTTAAAGTATTTTGTTGCAATCAAGTTTTTGGCCATGTGTTTCTTGTGTTTCTGGGTTTGTTTTGTAACTTGTGTAAAATCATGCAGTTTTCTGAAAATTGGGAAATCAGTACCAAGTGGTTGGTCTGACTACAAGACCCGTTTTGTTTAAAGCCCTCCCCTCCCCCACCCCCAAATCTAGCTATTAATTTATAAGTTATTTCTATTTTAAATTGTGTAGCTTCCTTTGATTGTTGGGGGGTTTTGTTTGTTTTGCAGAAATGACTCCTAAAATGACCAGTTTGTGTGTGTACGAACAATTATACTGTTAATAGAAGGAAAATAACTTTTCTGATAGTTTTCTTGTATCTTGGTTTTTAGAGAGGGAAATGTCATCAGTGGAAACACAGCAAGAGCAGTTGCCTCAGTCAGATCCATCTCCATCACCAAACTCATGTAGCTCCTTTGAACTAATAGACATGGACGCTGGCGGCTTGTATGAACCAGTTTCTCCTCATTGGTTTTATTGTAAGATAATAGATTCTAAAGAGACATGGATTCCTTTCAACTCTGTGGATTCACAGCAACTGGAAGAGGCATATGGCTCTGGTAGGAGAAAAAGGATGACTTACAATAGACAAAGACTTACTGCCATCTCTCTCAAACTATGATATTAGTCCTTATAGTGAATGCTATTAAAAATATATTTTAGATCGTTTTCTAGTTATCCCTCTCTAGCATTTGTATATAGAAGCTGCATTACTACCCAATTTATAATATTTAAGAATTTGGTGTGTATTTCAGTACCTATTATAATTTCTGCATAGTTATCCAATAATATTTCTTATGTTCTAGCTTGTATTTCAGTTTTTGTTTATAAAGAGTGTCTATGGGGAAGTGTCACATTCATATTGCAAAAGAATGAATTCTTTATTTGTTGCCTTTTTTCTTCTTTTGTGAAACATGATTCTAGTTACTACTTTATCATCATAATGGTCATGGTCATTAATTCTCTAGCAAAAAGTTCAGAAAAACCATTTTATATATATATATAAAGGGACACTACTATCTCCTCCAAAAAAGAACAAAACAGTGTTTGGGTATTATTTTGTGTGTATGTGTATATGTTTCATTAAAACCAAAAATGTTTTTGATGGTTTGTAAAGTTGTTAGTGAAAAATAACAAATTCCATTTTGTTTAATGTTTATCCAAGTAGAAACTGTCATGTGTTTTTATAACATTATTTAAAATATAACTCAGAACTGTATTTTGGACACTTATTTTGATATATGTACTTTTTTCCCCCTTTCCAATTCTTCATAGGAAAAGATTGTAATGGGAGAGTTGTCCCCACTGATGGGGGCAGGTATGATGTTCACTTGGGGGAGAGGATGCGATATGCTGTATATTGGGATGAGCTGGCATCGGAAGTGAGACGATGTACCTGGTTTTACAAGGGAGACAAAGATAATAAGTATATTCCATACTCCGAGAGCTTCAGCCAAGTATTAGAGGTATTCCTTTGACCCTTTTTAACTCATTTTCTTTATTTTTTTCTTATTTAATAATTTTTTCTTCCTCTGTGTCTTACATTTTTTGAAAATTTCAGGAAGAGCTTGGTTCTATCTGCACACAGTTTATTGCCTTTCTTTTGTAAGTTAGTTTCAAGATAAAGTAGTTTTTTCAGATTTTAAAATACACTATTGAAATTGTTATACCTTTAAATGAAAAAGTGTTTTCCTTAATGGTAATTATTGTTAATATTTAAACTATGATTACAGGATTGTCTTTTTGCCTTTTAGTTTTCTTGCTCTGAAAAGAGTCTGAAATTTGTTTAAATTGCAATAGGACATTAATATTATTGAAATAAATTTATCAAAATGTGAACAATGATTATTTCTAGTCTAGGTGATGGAATTAAGATTGATTTTTTTGTCCTGCACTATTAATATTACATTTAAAAGAATTTTAAAATAAAATTCTCTTATTAAATAGGTAAGCATAGACCTATTTGATAAGAGAAAGAACTACATATGTAATATATTCCTAGTTTTATGGAAAATATATATGCATTAATATTATTGAAAGAAATATATCAAAATGTGAAAAATATTTATCTCCAGTGTAGATAACACAAGTAGGAGTGAAGAGTGATTTTTGTTTTCTTTGTCTCATATTATTTGTTATAATTTTAAAATAAATTCAGTTAATTAGAGTAGGATATTCTTACTGCAATTGTTTATTTAGCAGTATTCTTGTGAAAAGTTTAATTTTAATAGAAAAGCTATAAGAGAAATCTAATGAAATGTATTTTCTCTTAAGGAAACTTACAGACTTGCTGTAACTCTTGATGAATGGAAAAAGAAACTGGAGTCTCCCAACAGAGAAATTATTATATTACACAATCCAAAGGTAAAGCAAATTAAAGCCTTTGTCTAATGTTGGGATTAAAGGTTAATTGCATTACTAAAGAGAACTTCATTGGTTTCTTTTTCCTAGGGATTCTACTGAGGATAAGCTTTGGGAATTTTTATATTATATCAACAATTACGAAACAAAACTTGTAGCCACTACTATTATTTCCCTTGTTTAGTTTACACAAAAGAATTTTCTTAGGGAAAATTATGCCACTATAGAGTAAGAGCATCACTGATAGATTATGTGGGCATATTTTCCATGTGAAGGGTATCATCTGTTAGCCTGGTATATGCTTTCTTTTCTTTTCTTTTTTTTTTTTAGTTTTATTGAGGTAATATTGACAAGTAAAATTGTAAGATATTTAAATAGTACATCATTAGCCAAATGTATTTTCACAGTTCTCATTTTAAGCTGTAGGAGTTGCATATCAAAACTCTAGTTGAGATTTGACTGCGCATTATGTTTTGAGGGACATATTCCTGCCTCCCAGAGTTTATACGTAGAGATGTCTTTAATGTAGAAGATCTTTATATCTATTCATTGTGAATGTTTTATTTTATGTATTAAACTACTCTGGGACCAGAAAAAAATGAATGTTATGTGCTTAATATTGCTTACGGGATTAAACAATTTTTGACCTTGTTTTTTTCTATTTAAGCTTATGGTGCATTACCAACCAGTTGCGGGGTCTGATGAATGGGGTTCAACACCCACTGAGCAGGGTCGACCAAGAACAGTAAAAAGAGGGGTTGAGAACATCTCTGTTGACATTCATTGTGGTAATGTTAATCATTAATTTTTTTCCTTATCTTTTGATATACTTGTTTATGGCTTAAATTGTGACTTCTTTCCATGGATTTAGATTACCTCAAGGCTTAAAAATGATCTTTAATCAATCATATGAGCTTACTTGTAGTTAACATTAGCATCACTTCATCTACTAAGACTCTTAGTAGGTATACCAATCTCTCTTAAAGTTGCTAAGTATGTATGGTGGGATGGGTAAAACTTGGCAGTTCTAATCAGGAATTCACTAACTACAGATGAACTGATTTAATTTTAATTCTAAGAAGTGTGATTCCACCTGTTTGATTAGAAGTTTAGTCCTGATACCGCCTGTTGTTGATTTCCAACTAAGGAAAACTATTTTTCAGTATGACCTTGATGGTTATCCATTGGTATCTGGGGTCACTTATGATTACTTTTATAATGTAATTAACTGGACTATAAAATTCCTTTTATCTTGCAGAGGAGATAGCTTGTCTCTTGGCCAAAGTCTTAGACTTACTATAATTAAAAGATGGGTTTAAAATTTCAGGCTTCAAATACATACCAGATATTATTGATACAATTGATAAAAATAGAATATTATATAAAGTTACTTTAATGTTAAATGGCCTGAATTCAATAACTGCCTTGTGGTTATATAAGACAATATTCTTAGGAAAAACACATTAAAATATTAAAGGGTTAAAGAGAGAGGTATGATGTATGCATTCTGATGTGTGCAACTTGTTCCCAGCTGGTTCAGAAAAATAAATGTATGTGTGTACACATATATATAAAAAGAGGGAATAATAAAGTGAATGTGGTAAGTGTTAAAGTGTTGAATCTGTGTAAAAAGTACATGGGCATTTCTTTACTATTCTTTCAAGTTTTCTGTAAGATTGCAGTTATTTCAAACTAAAAAGTTCTAAAAACCTGAAAAAGTTTTTCACAGACTTATTAAGATAAATTAGAAACAAAGTAAATAAAGTAAACACTGTAGTTTAACTAAGTACATAGTTATATCCGGGATTATTTTGTGTCCTTTAAATTATCTGCTTATTAACAACCACACCTAAAACAAAAACAAACTAAGCAAACAACTAGAACAGAAACAGAACCACAGAAATGGAGATCACGTGGAGTGTTATCAGCAGGGGAGTGGGAGGGGGAGAGAGGGAGAAAAGGTACAGAGAATAAGTAGCATAAATGATAGACAGGGGGAGGTTAAGAATAGTATAGGAAATGTAGAAGCCAAAGAACTTATATGTATGACCCATGGACGTGAACTAAAGTGGGGGTGGGAGTGAGGGGATGTGGGTGGGAGGGGCTGTTCAGGGCAGAGGGGAATAAAGGGGGGAAATGGGACAACTGTGAGAGCATAATCAATACGATATATCATTAAAAAAATAAAAAATAAATTATCTGCTTATATTTTAACTTGCCCATCTGTATAACCTATTTATTGTGAATGTTTGAGTTTAGAATATGTGACTAGTCATATAGAATAATTTTTCTTTTTAATTTCATTTATAGGAGAACCTTTACAAATAGACCACTTGGTTTTTGTAGTCCATGGGATTGGACCAGCTTGTGATCTCCGCTTTCGAAGCATTGTACAGTGTGGTAGGTTTGCAAAGCATGTAAGATTAGATCATTTAAGGGGAATATTAGTCAGTGCTCCTGTGAGCTGAAATAAAGTGTTATCTTTAGTCTGTTGTCTTAGCTGCATAATAGGATTTGGAGAGCTAAAGACTGGTGGCAAGGTAGTAAAGCTTCCCAGCTTAGACCTAAAGTACTAGTAAATTCCTTAGGCTAATTGTTTATGCTCTTAACTAATAATTCTTGAATGAACAAGCCCTTAATTCTTATAAAATTTTGTTATGATGTGATGGTCCTATGTCTAACCATTCCAAATGTAAAGGGACTGTAAAGATGATACAGTTTAAATGTGTAGTAGAAGCTATTGTAATTCAGACTCTGATAAACCTATTGATATTCTAATTTTAATATTTAGGTCATTAGCATAACTTGATTTTGAACGTAGTATCCTCTAAAACACGGGTGTCAGATTCATTTTCACTGGGGGCCACATCAGCCTCCTGGTTGCCTTCAAATATAGAGCTTCTTGCCCCTGGTTCAGGAGTAGTTACATTTATACAGTCCTAAAATTATATTCAGCCCTTTGAAGGCAACTACGAGGCTGATGTGGCCCCTGGTAAAAATGAGTTTTGACACCTCTCTCTAAAACTTGATAGTATTCAAAGTCTAATTGTCCCAATGTAGGAGTCTTATCCTACTGGCTAATGCTTCTAAGCATAAACCTTAGAAGGTTAAGACTGATGTAATATGAATTTCAAACAGCAGTGTATTTTTTTTTTAAATCTTAAGTATTGGGTAGTGGTTGTTTGTAAGAACAACCAATTTACATAGTCATGTGATAGTTTTCTTTCTTTTTTTTTAAATTGAAACATTTCCCATAACACATTAGAAGTTTTGAAGTTAGCTCTTTCTTTGATGAAATGTACTGTATTGTAAAATTTTTCTGAATACCACTTTGCTATTTTTTTATCTGCACCTGAAGACATTTGTCACTGCTTCTAGAAAGAGAAGAGGGGGGCGGGGGGGAACATTGATTGATTGCCTTCTCATACATGCCCTAACTGGAGATCAAACCTGCAACCTGGTTACGAGCTCTGACCTGGAATGAAACCTGCGGCCTTCTGGTCCACAGGATGATGCTCCAGCCAAATGAGCCTCACCGGCCAGGGCCCACTCTGTTGTTTTGGCTCAAGTAAAAACGTGTTCTAAGCAAATACAGATAAAGAATATAATTATGAGATCTGTTGAATCTTAATTCTACAAACTCATTGCTTTACTGTTGCATAAGTTAATTTTCTTTTCCAGTTAATGATTTTCGCAATGTTTCCTTGAACCTGCTACAAACGCATTTTAAGAAAGCCCAAGAAAATCAGCAGATTGGGAGGGTAGAGTTTCTTCCAGTCAACTGGCACAGTCCTTTGCATTCTACCGGTGTGGATGTGTGAGTAATACTGTACACCTTTTTTTAATAGTTCATTTTTATTGTATTTTTTCCTCTTTTCTGTTGCCATTTATTCCCCATACTCTCTTCCACTTCCACCCACCCTCTAACTTCCCCCACCCACACAGTCACCACACTGTTGTCCCCGTCCACGAGTGACCTTCGAGTTGCTAACTGTGACTGTGATATGCTCTCTGATCATTGATATGCTTACGGATATTACTGCTATAATTGATTGCATATTTAAAATTTTTTCAACAAAAGTTTTTTTGTATTTCTATGCCTTTTTTTAGAGATACATAATTAAATACTAACTAATCCCATGGTTTAACTAGTCCAGATTAGGAGTGAAGAGCTATATGTATTTTCTTATAGTATGTTTTACTGGCTCATTAATATTTACTATTACAGCTTTTTTTATTTAGCATTAACGCCAAACATTCTTTTCTTCCTATAGCATATAAGCATTTCCATCTTCAGATGTCAAAAGCCAACCTACCTTGAGATGTACATAGTATTTTCTTGTTTCTTTTGTGACCAAATTTAGGTAATATTTGTCTAAATTTGGGAAAAAAGGAAATCCCCAAGCATTAAATTATTAGTATTTATAACTTGGTACAACTGTTGGGTTGGCCAGAAAGTCTGTTTAGTTTTTTTTTCTGTAAAATAAAAGACACATTTTTCATTTTCACTAAAAACTTCATTGATTTGGATATTTTGAGTATGTCAGTTATCTCCCATTATTGGCTTATAGTGGGTAGAGGCTGGGGTGCTGCTAAACACCTTCCAATGCATAAAACAACCCCACAGCAAAGAATTATTTGACCAAAACGCCTACAGTACCAGGAAGTTTCACAAACCACTTTTGACACATTCAATCAGTCACAGCACCTTCTCCATACACTGCACAAATCTTTTTCTGCATTTCAGTTGCATTTTTAACTTTCTTGAAATAATAAAGTATAGTTCGCCAGAAATGTTGTATATCTTCTTCCATCTTTAGTATTAAAATGGCTGCACAAAAATTCACCAATTTTGATAAGTTTTTTTAAATGAATGCTGATATGACAGCTGTCAGAATGCAGTCTAACAAAATTGTTTCGAATGAAGTTAAAGACAACTAAGCCCTACTAGAGCCTTCGTATAGAAAAAACTAAATGAACTTTTTTTGGCCAACCCAATAAGTAATGGCTTTAAGTTATAACCCCAATATTTGTGTTTGTAAATTTTATGGTAATGTTAGAGAAGTTTGCCTTATATTAAGGATATTCGTGCCTTGATTGGTGTGGTTTAATTGGTTGCATGTCATCCTGCAAAGTGAAACGTTGCTGCTTCAATTCCTGGTCAGGGCCCATTGCCTAGGTTGTGGGTTTGGTCGCCTGTGGGGGTGAGTACAAGAGGCAACTGATTGATGTTTCTCTCCCTCTCTTTCTCCCTTCTTTCCTCCCTCTCTTTCCCTCTCTCTAAAAATAAATAAATATTTATTTTTTAGGAAGGATATTCAGCTATGGGCTCTCCAGAAAGTAGGATGTGCATCATATAGTTCTATGTTAGAACTAGGAGATACTGCTGTGGGAGATGAAGGAAGTAATCAGCATTATTTCCGCACTGATTCTGTGTCTCTCAGTTCTTAACCCTATGATTTGAGCATATTGCATGTGGCAAATACTCCATTGTGGTGTTGATTTTACTAGGTATGGAGTTCACATCGTATTTAAGCTGATTCTCAGAGGTGACTAAGGTCACATAGCCTTCTCTAAACTATAGAAACTGTTGAATTTTTGAGGAATTTCTCTGGGAATTTTGAGACAATTTTAACTGGAAGTTGATTTAGACAATGTCAGTATGGTTTTCCTTTGCAAGACATGAATTCTGTTTGCCTTTGGTTTCTTTCAGCTTTAAGGAATTCTGCATTGAGAGCTGATCCCATTTATCATTTTGCTTGTGTCCAGCTTTAACGTTGAATTGTAGGAAAACCCTCTTGTATCTTTTGTCTTTTTAAAAAAAGGCTTGTATTACATAGAATTATTTATATAAAAGTAGCACATATATTTAATGTTCATGCACTGTTTATGATTACCCAGGCCCAGCAAGCTTCAACACGTGGCCAGTTCTGCCCCCTCCCTATCATCACACCCCTGTGTGCTGCCTGTCTCTCCACCATATTATTTTGGAGTCAAATTATAGACATCATATCATTTCATCTATAAATGTTTGGGTTTGTAAATCTTAAAGGACTTTTAATAAAATATAACACCATTATTACACCTAAAAAATTCTTAATGTCAGCAAATATACAGTGTTCAAATTTCCAACTGTACATATAAATTCATGATTTATATATACACAAATATATATACATACATTCACAAACACAAATGCACACATATATACATACATACATATGTAGTTTAAACTGGAATCCGAATAAGGTCCATAAATTGCGATTAGTTGATATGTCTTAAGTCTCTCTCAATTTCTTGATTACCTTTCCAACTGTTGTTTTATTGCAACTTTTGTATTGAAGAGGCTGAGTTGTCTTGTAGAGCTTATACTCTGAATTTTGTTGATCACATCCCTTTGACTTCATTAAACATTTTTCTCTGTCCTCTGTATATCCTATAAGTTGATAGTTGCTTCTTGTATATTTAAATATCTAGGTCTAGGCTTGGAGGCTAAGCTACTTAACTTAGAGGAAGCTATGGCATGTATTTTGGTTTTCTGCTTAAAATACCTTTCCTTTTTTTCAGAGATCTGCAGCGAATAACCCTGCCCAGCATTAACCGCCTACGGCACTTCACCAACGATACAATTCTGGATGTCTTCTTCTACAATAGCCCCACTTACTGTCAGACTATTGTGGACACAGTTGCTTCTGAAATGAACCGAATATATACACTTTTTCTGCAGAGGAACCCTGATTTCAAAGGGGGTGTATCCATTGCTGGCCATAGCTTAGGTAACAAATGTATTTTCTGTAACCAGAGAGGATGATCACATTTTTAGGACACCTGTTTTTGAAGAACAGTGTCTCTTATCAGTATCAGATTCAGAGATCTAGAACTGAGCTTTGATGAAGACTTTGGAAAGGGTTGGAAGGATGGTGGTGGAGTGGAAAGAAAGACTATCTGCTTTGTAGATTTTGCTATATGGGTAATTAATTGGGTTACTTTTTTGTATAAAAGACAACTATTTAGTGTTAATGTTTAGAAATTGTTCCTTCTTCTGTTTTACTTACAGGTTCACTTATATTGTTTGACATCCTAACAAATCAGAAAGATTCTTTGGGGAGTATTGACAGTGAAAAGGTAATTTAAATGTTCAGATAGGTTCTCTTGTAGCTTTTCTTAGTAAGAATTTTTAGATTTTAGACTTATTTTTTGTTTTTTGCTTAGTCTCATACCATAAGATTAAATTTACATTTATTTAAACAGACTTATAATTAATTCTGTCTTGCTTCTTGGATGATAAGAAGCAAGGTACCAGTATGCTTCTACAAATATTTGCCACATTCTAAAATGACTATTAGTGTGTTATTTTCCATTATAAATATGCACCAGTGATCTATTATTAGAATTATAAAATTGTTGAGCTGAAATGGAGTTTGCATATGATGAAATGAATAGTGAATTAGATGCATATTGATATGATTTATAGAAATTGTTTGAAAGCACTGGACTCAATGGTTAAATGTCTTTTAGTAAAAGAGTTCGGTGAACACTTATCTGTAGTGCTGAGTTAGTACTTAGTATATACTGTCTTGTATTTTTTCTCTTTTTATGTAAGTGTCCTATTTCTCCTGTTGGACTGGGAGTTCCTTCAGGGCGGGGCTTTGCCTTAGATTGTTTTATGTCTTAAACACTGTTTCTGTAATAAGAGCTCAGTAAATGTTTTTTGTTAATGATAATGAACAATACTTTGATAATTATTCATTCACTCATTTATTTTAAAACATTAAGTTTCAAATGAAGTTGCAAAAAGTTAGAGATCAGCACCTCTTAATTTGTACTTTTTATAAATCACAATTTATTTAAAGCTAAAATATATCTATATGTGAAAATCTTATGTAGTGTATTTCTTTACTGCAAAATGGTGTTAATAAAAGGAAAATCTAAGTGAATGTAGATATTATGAGCTTTACAATTTAATTTTTAGGATTCACCAAATAGGGATCAAGGAGACACGCCAACGCTAGAGGAAGATCTGAAGAAACTTCAACTTTCTGAATTCCTTGGTATATTTGAGAAGGAGAAAGTAGATAAGGAAGCTCTGGTAAAAAGATCTTTTAAAACTTTGTCATACCATTTTTAGTATTTTTATTGCTTATCTTCATCATACTGCTTAGTAAGAACCTGCTCTTTAGAAGCATTTTAGTCATAAATACTTTCTTATCATTAGTAATGTTCTTTAGCATTATTTATGTGTTTTTTAATCATATCAAGTGATCTTTGCTTCGTGTTTAAAGTTCAAGAGGAATCAATGATAGAAATAGTGCAGAGACTAAAAAACAGCACAGCTCAGAAAACAGAACAGGAAAAAATGACCAGTAACTATTCCAACTCTCATTTTCTGTTACACTTTCAAGAACTCTACTATTGATATTTGCTTGTTTATTTGTTTTTGTTTTTTTGTGTTTTTATTTTGGTTTGCAATACATTCATTCAGCAGGTATTCAGCATAGTGAATGCTTACTATGACCATACCAAGTACCGTAGATAGAGTGGTACATGAGACAGATATGGTCCCTAACCTCATGGTGTTTATAGTTTACTGCTAAAAACACATGTAAATAATAAAAAACATAAATGACAGTAGCGATAAGTTCTAAGGAACAGTACACAGTGGCATAAGAACGTGTAAGATGAACTAATCTAGTTTGAAGGAAGACTTCCCTAGTCAGGTAAGTAGCACTTCAGCTCAGATCTTGATTGTTAGTCTGTTTCATGCTCTGTGTTTGCTCTGTGTTCTTACTGCTTGTGTCCGTGAGTGGGAACATGATCTTTCTCAGGAATGTGACATCCGAGTGAGCATGGAAATCAAGGAGGGTTTTTCTGTCATTAAATTAGATACCTACTTCCGTTGATTTTTTTCCAGTAATACAATGTTAGCTGTATTACTATAGCATTAATACTGTAATACTGATACTTTTTATTCTTCTTTAGGCTTTTTTTGTGTGAATAAAATACTATTTCCTTTTCGAAGTTATTAATGATGTACCACTAGGAAGCCCTAATAATATAAATAAAGCAAAGAATAACAGAGTACTAAGTTCTTATTCTTTTCAGAGAATAGGACATTTAATTGATTTTATTTTGCTGAGAAATAAGAATGGCATTTGATTTTCTATGCCTAGGCTTTATGTACAGACAAAGATCTTCAGGAAATGGGAATTCCCTTAGGACCAAGAAAGAAGATATTAAATTACTTTAGGACCAGAGAAAGTTCAATGGTATGTGCTTAATATAGCTTATAGTATTAAACAAGTTTGAGATCCTTGTATCCTTTTGCTTTGTAAAGTGTATAGCCTAGGGAGCTGAGTAATTTTGTTAATTAATTTTGGCTCTATTTTTAGAAATTAAACAAGTTTATTGATACCATAACAATATTACTAACTTCAGAAGTCTTATCTCCTCTAGACTCCTAATATAATTTCATTTTTATTTTTGTTTATAACTGTTTTATGGAAATGTAATTTATATCACATACCATAAAATTCTTCTTTAAAAGTATACAATTCAGTGATTTTCAATATATTCAGAGTTGTGTCACCATTACCACTAATCCCCTCAGTCCCCCCACACCCCCCAAAAAATTATACTCCTTAGCAGTCACTCCCCATTCCTCCCTCCTGTGACCCACTAATCTACTTTCTGTCTTTATGGTTTTCTTATTCTGGGCATTTCATATAAATGGATTCATACAATATGTGCCCTATTATAACTGGCTTCTTTCCTTTAGCATAACATACTCAAGGTTTATCCCTGTTGGCCAGTGTCACCTCAGTAAAATCAATAAAAGGGGGAAAAATTGAAAAAAGAAAGGTTTGTCCATGTAGTAACACTACTAATACATTCAGTTTGGCCACTGAATTCTTTTCCATATTTTAGTAGTTAGTTATTTTTCAACTTTTTTAGCAGGTTGCTCAGTTCTTATTTAGGGCCCAGTATTTGCATCATTTTTATACTCATAGAGACATTCTTTTTGCTTTAATTTGAAAGGCATAGCAGTTTATTGAACTTCTTAGCAATCCTCAGTGTTCTTTTCCACAGTGCTCTGCTATTGTTTTCTTTCATGATGGTTGCCTAACTTTCCAGCTATGCCCAAATGACTGTACAGCTTCATTTTAGAGCATGTGGGGATGTTGATTCATAAATTAAGGCAATTTTGTTTTTATAAACCATATTTTGTTTTCATCAGCTTTATCTTGTTTTCTGAGAGACTTCCTGGAATTATTGGCTGTCATTCCAGAACTTTCCCATGCAGGTTTTCAAACCAGTAGAAAACTGTATAAAATCCTTTGGATATTTTTACTACACAGAAGCTCCACAAACTATTTTTTTTATTCATTAGGGTATTACTAGACCATCTCTGCAATCAGCTTCAGGGACAAATATGTCTAATATTCCCAAAGATTCGGAGTTCTGCAGTAGTGCCAATGGTACTGGGAATGACTATCTGGATGTTGGCATTGGGCAGGTAACAATACTAATTCTCTTTGTTCATTTTATGGCCTGCCATTCCTATGGTAAGAAAAGATATCATTCTTGTCATTGAGAGATGCTTTTTATTTTTCTCCTTCCAGGTGTCTGTAAAATACCCCCGGCTCATCTATAAACCAGAAATATTCTTTGCCTTTGGATCTCCCATTGGAATGTTCCTTACTGTTCGAGGACTAAAAAGAATTGATCCCAACTACAGATTTCCAACATGCAAAGGTTTCTTCAATATTTATCACCCTGTAAGCATTGGATAGTTCTCGTGGTTTTACCTGAATATTAGAGTTTATTGGTAAAGGGGATATGATTTTCTGTTGTGTTGATTTATGTTTTATATACTATTTTGTAGTAATGAGGTAACCTATAAACAGTATGAATCTGGAGTGATGTGGCGGAATAACTGTACATTTTTTTAAAATGAGCTCATAATCATTCTTGCCTGATACACATTAACACTTCCTCAGACTGTCTTTGTTTAGCAGAGGTATAGGTAGCTATTGTTTTTCCTATGTAGTTTGATCCTGTGGCTTATAGAATTGAACCAATGGTGGTCCCAGGAGTGGAATTTGAGCCAATGCTGATCCCACATCATAAAGGCAGGAAACGGATGCACTTAGGTAAGACTGAGTACAGAACGTGATAATTGCAGACCTCAATCATCTTGTTTAGTTGTGTTGGACCCTAAACCCATTGTAAACCATGTAATATTCTTTATTCATATGTGTTTCAGAACTGAGAGAGGGCTTGACCAGGATGAGCATGGACCTTAAGAACAACTTGCTAGGTTCACTGCGGACGGCCTGGAAATCTTTTACCAGAGCTCCATACCCTGCCTTACAAGCTTCAGAAACTGTGGAAGAAACTGAAACAGAACCTGAGTCAAGTTCAGAGAAGCCTAGTGGTTGGTGATACTGTACACACTGATTTCCTACATCGGGCCAGATAAGAGGGACTTCATGATGTGTAGTTCCTGTTCTCTGAGGGACTTCTTACTTTGCCCTTTATATTGTAAGGGCCCCATACTATGGAGTCCTAAATGGCCTTCAGCTCTGCTAGCCTTTCCTGTCATCTAATAGGTACAAATTATGGAAGAACATTATTTGTGAGGAAAAATGTCAAGAGAACCTGGGCACTTGCTAATGAGACTTTAAAACATCTTCCACTTGGTAACTATGGGGGTGGTGTTAAGAGCCTACTCTCTGAGGCACCTTGCTTTTACCGAGGAGTGTCTGTGTCTTCATGGATCAGTTTTATTTTCCTGGCTGGGGACTAGCAGGATACTGTCCTCTTCATTTCAGTTAACATTGCATTCTAGTTTTCAATGATCTAGCAAGGGTGTCCAACCCGTGACCCAGGATGGCTATGAATGTGCCCAACACAAAATCATAAATTTACTTAAAACCTTTTTTTTGCTCATCATTTTTTGTTAGTGTTTGTGTATTTAATGTATAGCCCAAGACAACTCTTCTTCCAGTGTGGTCCAGAGATGTCAAAAGGTTGGACACCCCTGGGAGTTACAGTAAACTTGGAGTCTGTGGGGAGCTCATAATCATTGACAATCTTGATCATAACCACAACCTTGGAGGACTTGGCAGCTTTTAGATTCTTTGTATGGTTCTTCTATCCAGATGATAACGCAGAAGAGACCTCTGCAGCAGTTAAAGAAGAAGCACCCCCCATCAGTGTGGGAATGCTTAATGGAGGTCAGCGCATTGACTACGTGCTACAGGAGAAGCCCATTGAGAGTTTCAATGAGTATTTATTTGCTTTACAGAGCCATCTATGCTACTGGTGAGTGATTTTTTTTGTTCCTCTTGTTTTTGGTTTTTTGGTCTAATTGTTTCACAGTGTCCAGGGAACCACTGATCTGCCTCTGTCACTACAGATCAGTTTGCACATGACTAGTATATACTGTATTTTGGGGGCTATATAGATCCAATTTGGGAGGAATAATGGTTGTTAATGCTGCTGTTGAGTTCTGTTTACATTTACATTGGTGAAATATTATTTACATTATTAAATATTTTACCACATTTTTTGCTTCAAAAATTTTTATCCTATTTTCCTCTAAGACCTAAGTGCATCTTATGGACTGAAAAATATGGTAAATTGAGTCATACTACAATGTACTCTTTTTTTTAGTATGGCTTCTTTCATTCATCCATTTCATGTATATCAGTAGGTTTCTCCTTTTTATTGCTGAGTAGTTAGTAGTCCACTGTATGAATGGACCACAATTTGTTTAGCCAGTCACCTCTTGATGGACATTTAGGTGGTTTCCAGTTTTAGGTTATTACAAAACTGCTGTGTATAAGACTTTGTATGAACATACACTGTAATTTTTCTACGGTAAATATCTAGGTGTAGAATTGATGGGTAAGATGATTTTTTAAAAGAAATTGCCAAACTGTTTTTCTGCCAGCATTTTCCATTCCCATCAGCAGTATTTCAGAGTTCTAACTGCTCAGTATTCGTGACAACACATGGCTCCTCATTATGGCTTTAATTTGCATTTCCCTAATGAATAACAGTACTGAGCATATTTTCACGTGTTTGCCATCCATGTATCTTTGGCGAATTATCTATTCAAATCTTTTCCCCATTAAAAAAATTAAATTATTTTAGTAAGTTGCAAGAATTTTCTATATTCTAGTTACAGGTAAGTTTTTCCTCAGGATGTAGTTTTTCATTTTGTTTTGAAGAGCAGAAGTTTTTGATTTTTTTTTAAGATTTTTTAAATTTATTTTTAGAGAGGGAAGGGAGGGAGATAGAGAGAGAGAGAGAAACATCAATGTACGGTTGCTGGGGGTCATGGCCTGCAATCCAGGCATGTACCCTGACTGGGAGTCGAACCTGTGACACTAGAAGTTTTTGATTTTTAAAAAAATGATTTTATTTATTTTTAGAGAGAGAAGGGAGGGTGAAAGAGAGGAAAACATCAATGTGGGGTTGCCTCTTGTATTCCCCCTAGCCCACAAACCAGGCATGTGCCCTAACCAGGAATCAAAACCTGTGACCCTTTGGTTTGCATGCCAGCACTCAGTCCATTGAGCCACACCAGCCAGAGCAGGTTTTTTATTTTGATGAAATCTAATTTTTGATGTTTGTGCTTTTTTGACATATTTAAGAAATCATGGCCAAATCTAGTCATTAAGATTTCTCCTGTGTTCTATAAGTTATATTGTTTTAGCTTGTATAGTTAGATCTACAATCCACTTTGATTGAGTTAATTTTTAATAAATTTTAATAGGAAATAAGGATTAAATTTCATTGTTTTACATATGACCGTCCAATTATTTCAGCAACATTTGTTGAAAAGTTTTTTGGGATGGAGAAACCAGTGAGGTGCCTTGGCTCTCTTTTGTTCCATTGATCTGTCTGGGTGTTTGTTTTTTTTTTTAGATTTTAAAATTTACTTTTTTTTTTTTTTTCCCCCAGATAGAGGGGAAGGGAGGGAGAAAGGGAGAGAATCATCAATATGTGGTTGCCTCTCATGCACCCTCCACTTAGGGCTTGGCCTGCAACCCAGGCATGTGTCCTGACTGGGAGTCGAACTGGCAACCCTTTGATTCATAGGCTAGCGCTCAATCCACTGAGCCACACCAGCCAGACTATTTGTCTACCTTTATGCCAATAAAACGCTGTCTTGATTACTATAGATTTCTAAGTCTTAAAATCAGGTATCAGTTGAGTCCTTCAACTTTATTATTCGAAGTTAGTTTTAGCTGTTGTAGGTCTTTTGCATTTCCATAGAAGTATGTTTTAGAATGAGCTTATTTTAATTACAAAGCTTTCTGGGACTTTGTGATTATATTTTACCTATACATCAATTTGGGGAAAATTGACATCTTAATAATACTGAGTCTTTTGATGAAAAAACATGATATGTCTCAGTGTAACTTTGTTCTTTACTTTCTCTCAGCAATGTTTTGTAGTTTTCAGTCTATGTTTTGTGTATGCTCTAGTTTTAAATTTCATTTCTTCTATGTTCCTGTTTCTCTTTAGATTGAATAAATCTAAAAAAAATTACATTCTTCCTCTTATGAGTAAGGTTGAAACACTTTAATGTATACTTAAGGACCATTTTTATTTCCTTCTCTGGGAGCTATCTATACCTTTTATTTTGTTTTATATTGAAATGTTGGATTTTTAATTGATTAGTCTGCAATACGAGTTTCAGATTTTTTAAAAAAGATTTTATTTTTAATTTTAGAGAGAGGGGAAGGAAGAAAGAAGGAGAGAAACATCAGTGTGTGCCTCTCACATGTCCCCACACTAGGGACCCAGTGCACAACCCAGGCATGTGCCCTGGTTGGGAACTGAACCAGCAACCCTTTGGTTCTTAGGCCAGCACCCAATCCTCTGAGCCACACCAGCCAGGGCCACAACATGAGTCACATACCTTTTCCCCAGTTTGTCTTTGACATTGCATACACTGGGTTTTGCTATTCAGAAATTTTTCATTTTGATGTAGTCAATTTGTTTTTTCCTTTTTGGCTCCTGGAGTTTGTGTTATACTTAGAGCTTCCTTACTTTCAAAGAATTCCTTACCATAGTTTATCCTGATATTTTATGGTTTAATTTTTACATACAAATCTTTAATTCAGTTAAAATTTATCCTAATAAGGTATGGGTTGATCCAAGTCATTTTCCAGATGGGTATCCAGTTGTTACAACAGTTAATAGATTTGAGATTCTTCTAACTTGATTACATTAAATTTGTCAATGTTTTTAGGACTATCTCTGAGCTTTCTATTCTTTTTTGTTGATACCTTTTTTTTTTACGCATCAGGATCACACCATTTTAATATCACATCATTTAAAGTGCCTCTTGCTGGCATGAGTTTCTTAAGTTCTGTGTATGGAGTTTGTGGGGGATAGAAAAAGTCTGTGAATCCAATGAAATTTGTTTATAATGTTGAGTTTTATATGTGTATGTTGAGTTTTATATGTATATGTGGTCTTTTCTGGGGAGAAATCCATAGATTTCATTGGATTCTCAAGTAGGTTCATTACTGAAAAAAAGTTGAACCACAGATCTAGAGCAGTTTTCAAGCCTTTTCATCTCACATATAGTAATTACTAAAATTCTGCAGCATACACACAAATATATTTTTCCCTGTTTGAGAAAAAAAGTATAATTTTGATCGATTCACACAAAAAAAGAGTTTCTAAAAAATCAGGTCTCTATACTTGTATATAAGGATTTCTGGTACCAAGAATTAACCAGTCATACGCAATCTTATTATGGAGAGTGACCAGTAAGATCACCTTTATTATGTGATGTACATATTTATGGTTCAAGACAGGACATTGGGCCATGACCAAGTAGGTCAGTCGGTCACAGCGTCATCCTGACACGTCAAGGCTGCAGGTTTAATTTCGGCCTGGGCACATATAGGAATCAGCCAATAAATACATAAATACATGGAATGACAAACTGATGTTTCTCTCCCTCTCCCCCCTCTCCCACCCACTCCCATCCTCTCTCCCTCACTATCTTAAAAAAAACCCCCAATATATAAATACTTTTTAAAAAAAAGGGCACTCACACCCTATAGCTATTGTTTTGTGGGCTGTTGTCATTTTTTAATTTGACAATCTAAGGGGAAAGAGGTTAATGTCCCTGAGTAAACAGTCAGGTATTATCTGTTTTAAAAGTTCTTCTAGCACACCAGTTGAAAATCGATCATCTAGAAAAGTGTTAGCCACAGCGTTTGCCACATATCCTGAAGGCAAATCAGTCTTCATGAGTGTTACTTTTTATAATCAAATTTCTCTATGAACTGGATATAAGTAACTGCTTGTATATATACACACAGAATATCTAGAAGATGCATGAGAAATTGAGAGCATTGCTTGTCAGAAGTTGGGAACTAGAAGTTAAGAAACCGAGGTGGTGGACTTCTGACCAAGATGGAAGCATAGGTAGATACACTTTGCCTCTTCGTACAACCAAAAGGAGAACAACAAATTTAAAAACAAAAAATAACCAGAACTGTCAGAAAATTGAACTGTGTGGAAGTCCGACAACCAAGGAGTTAAAGAAGAAACATTCATGTAGACCGGGAAGAGAAGCGGAGACAGGCAACTGGGGTGGAGAGGACTTGCAGGAAGGTGGCAGCTGGTAGACTGGGTGAGTGAGGCAGCGGCTGGCGGATTGGGCTGTCTCACATTTGCATGTGGATAACCAGGAGGAACAACTGGGGAGTGAGACAGACCCTGCAACCCAGGGTTCCAGCATGGGGAAATAAAGCCTCAAACCCTCTGAAAAAAACTTGTGGGGGTTGAGGCGGCAGGAGAAACTCCCAGCCTCATAGGGGAGGTCGTTGGAGAGACCCACAGGGTCCTAGGACATACATACCCACCCATGTGGGAATCAGCACCAGGAGGGCCCAAGTTGCTTGTGGGTTGCAGAGGGAGTGAGTGAAAGCTGGCCAAGAGCTGAGCAAGTGGCATTGTTCCCTCTCGGACCCCTCCCCCACATACAGTGCCACAACACAGAGATGTGGGTTGCCCTGCCCTAGCAAATACCTAAGGCTCTGCCTTTACTAGGTAAAAGGTGTACCAAGACAAGACAAATATGGCCCACAAAAAATACAGCTAAGTGATGAAGAGATAACCAACCTATCAGATGCATAGTTCAAAACACTGGTAATCAGGATGCTCACAGAAATGGTTGAGTATGGTCACAAAATAGAGGAAGAAGTGAAGGCTATGAAAATGAGGAAATTTTTCCTATAAAGGAAAATGTACAGGGAACCAACCAACAGTGAAGGGAAGGAAACCGGGACTCAACAATTTGGAGCAAAAGGAAAAAATAAACATTCAATCAGAACAGAATGAAGAAACGAATTCAATAAAATGAGGAGAGGCTTAGGAACCTCTGGGACAACTTGTTCCAGAGGGACAAATGTTCCAACATCTGAATCATAGGGGTGCCAGAAGGAGAAGAGGAAGACCAAGAAATTGAAAACTTATTTGAAAACATAATGAAGAACTTTCCTAATCTGGCAAAGGAAATAGACTTCCATGAAGTCGGGGAAGCTGAGAGAGTTCCAAAGAAGTTGGACCCAAGTAAGCACACACCAAGGCACATCATAATTACATTATCCAAGATTAATGATAAAGAGAGAATCTTAAAAGCAGCAATAGAAAAGCAGAGAGTTACCTACAAAGGAGTTCCCATAAGACTATCAGCTGATTTCTCAATAGAAACCTTGCAGGCAAGAAGGGGCTGGAAAGAAGTATTCAAAGTCATGAAAGTCAAGGACCTACATCCAATATCACTCTATCCAGCAAAGCTATCATTTAGAGTAGAAGGGCAGATAAAGTGCTTCCTAGATAAGGTCAAGTTAAAGGACTTCATCATCACCAAGTCCTTCTATAAAAGAAGATAAAAAATATGAACAGTCAAATGATAACAAATTCACAACTACCAACAACTGAACCTAAAAATCAACAAAAACTAAGCAAACAACTAGAACAGGAATAGAATCACAGAAATGGAGATCACATGGAGGGTTATCAACAGGGAGGGAGAGGGGGCAAAAGAAAAAAAGAAAAAGAAGATAAAAAATATGAACAGTCAAATGATAACAAATTCACAACTACCAACAACTGAACCTAAAAATCAACAAAAACTAAGCAAACAACTAGAACAGGAATAGAATCACAGAAATGGAGATCACATGGAGGGTTATCAACAGGGAGGGAGAGGGGGCAAATGAGGGAAAAGGTATGGGGAATAAGAAGCTTAAATGGTAGGTACAAAATAGACAGGGGAAGGTTAAGAATAGTATGGGAAATGGAAAAGCCAAAGAACTTACATGTATGACCCATGGACATGAACTAAATGTGGGGGAATGCTGGTGGGAGGGGGTGTGCAGGGCAGAGGGGAATAAAGGGGAGTAAAGAATGGGACAATTGTAATAGTGTAATCAATACAATATATTTTAAAAAATGGGGGGAGGTTTCATTATTATACCCTATATATCTTGAATTTTGAACCATGTGATTGTATTATTTTTTCGAGAAAGGAACATTTAAAAAATTAAGGTGAGCAACTATGTGGCTCTTTCATATTGTCCCAAAAATGTGTTCTATGGAAAGGGAACAGTTCTTGTTATTTACTGCTAGCTTTTTTATATTACTGGATATAATGCTACACTTCCAAACAGCTGCCAATTATATCACCTTTGAGTATTTTTTGTAATGGTAAAAAAATTAATTTGTGCCCTGGCTGATGTGGCTCAGTGGATTGAGAATCATCCTATGAACCAAAAAGTTGCTGGTTCAATTCCCAGTCAGGGCACACACCTGGGTTGCGGGCCTGGTCCCCAGCTTGGGGCACATGAGAGGCAACCGACTGATCTCTCTCTCAGGCATTGATGTTTCTCTTCCTCCCTTCCCCTCCCTTTAAAAGTAAATAAATAAAATCTTTTTTTAAAAAAGTTAATTTGCAAGGTGGTTGTGTAGATTAAATGAGTTAATATATGTAAAGCATCTCATACAAATGTTAGTTTCTTCTTTTTACAATATAATTTTTTCTCTTTATAGGGAGTCTGAAGATACAGTGTTGCTGGTCCTCAAAGAAATCTACCAAACCCAGGGTGTCTTCCTTGATCAGCCTTTACAGTAGAACTGAATCTTCTATGGTTGTTTATTGTAAGTTTTTAAATGCCATGTACATAACACGTTATAAAGAACTATGGAGTCTTGGGCTCTTCATAAATATACTTTTCTGTTGCCTGTCACCCAAATCTAGGTTGTTGTCCATTTTTAGAGGGACGCTGGTTAAAATTCATGGGGGAAAGGTGCTATGGCGTTTTGATTAGTGGGAGGAGTGTGCGTGTGTGTGTGTGCGCATGTACTTATCTAGTGATTTGGTCCAATAATATTTGTCATTTTTAGGATCCAAATGCAGAATCTTAATAGTTCTGATCATCTAAGAGTTATCATAGCAACAGTTACAATTTTAATTCCAAGCAGCCCATCCTGAGATTTAAATTACTCAGCCTTTTAAGATACGTAACAGAAAGGCTGTATATTAGATTCTGGCATTCTCCCTGTGTGCCTTCCAGCTGTGACTACACGGTGACCTCTTCTCCCCTCTTTCCCCTAGATGGACCTTGTGGGATCCTTTCCCAGAAAACCCACCTGTGTGTTCCTGCAGTTTTTCTCTCCTCAGCTGCATCATTGCTTGCATGTTGCCTGCCACTCACTCACCATTCGGGGCTTTGTAAGATAATCTTCCACTTTGGAAGTGAGAGGATAAACAAAGGGAAAACACATTACTTTGTAACCACTGGCTTCATATATATGCTTGCCATTCTTTCTTCATAGCTGGGGGTGGTTTGCATACTTAATTCTTTGATGATAGTATATAGGTGCCACACTTTATTGCTTATGTCAGATGGTATTGCCTGTTCTGAGTTTGATTTGGGTTGGTAGAAATTTTTCTAGGAAATAATTCTAGTTTGGAAGCAGACTATTGGAAGCAGGCACTTGGGACACGCATCTCTCATTAGTGTTCTCTGCACTTGAAAACTAAGTCTAAGCGGACATGGAAAAGGCTGTTGAGCAGTCATTCCTTTGAGCCATCTTTTTTTACAAATCCTGTATGAAGAAAGACTAAAATGTAGCTTTAAAAAGTATTGTTTACTCTCTCTCCAGCTGACTGACAGGTTTATTGCTAAGAATCACTGATACTTTGCTGTTCATTGTTTTTACAGTTGTTTGAACTCATCTGAGAGTATAAATGGACTAATTAGTTCACATTAGGTGCGTCTTTATAAGGCATGTTATATATCTAGAAGAAGTCTGACTTACTTATTTGATAGTAGCTAATGTTCTTGAGGGTAAAGCTTTTATAAAAGCTGACAAATGCAGCCTTGAATTAATAAAATCTCTTAGTGGTGCATTTATGGTGGAATAGAATTGTGGAAGTCACCCACCATATCGACTTGGGTGAAGGTAGTATTGTGTGTCCTCTTTAAAAACACTTTGTAAACATCATTACCTTCTTAGATACCCATAAATCAGAATGCTTATTTAAAATGCTCATGGCTCAGGAGTGTTGGTTGAGCAGGTAGGTTTGGCTAGGGGAAAAAGTTTCTTATTCTAAAAGAAAAACATGCCTATATGGGCCAATGAACAGCTACTGCAGAGTCAGCATCAGCACATACAAAGTGAGGTGTGCCTTGAAGAAAACGAGTGAATATAGACTAATTTTTTTCCAAGGCATCTACTCACCACTGTTCCATATTTTCTTTCTCAAGTTGGTCCAAGTTTGTCATTGTCTTTGCAGTTTTCTTTGTGATATACTTCCCTCAGATTTCCACAGGCCATGGAATAGGCAGGCAAGCTGTGTTTTTCTTTCTTTCTTTCCTTTTTAATGTACCGTGGTATCAAAAGCACTGGCATTAACATTCACTTAAGCCATCCCTTCAACAGCATTGGACTTTCTCTCTTTCTGGAGAGAAAAGGTAGGGGGTAAATTAGTGTCACCCTAGAGATGGTAGAGGTAAGGTTGGGGTACAGGTTAGAGGCTGGCCTTTCTTTTCCCATCTATTTATAGACTAATGTTGACTAAGTCACTAAGTAGTTTCAGATAAACTGAATACTTTATTTTCTTTATACAGAAATTCTGAATTTGAAGTAAGGGTTATTGAGAATTAAGTAGCATTCAATATATATTATAGGGAAAGCTTTATGCTCTAACAGAATTGGTACTATTTAAGAGTAAACCAAAGCACAAGCAAAAGTGAGTTCTTATAACCAAAGATGAACAACATACCTCTGGATAGCTAGATAAAGCAATTCTTGTACTAAGAAATGTTTTTTTCTTGATGGTGAGGGACAGTAATTGTAAAAGAGCTTTATATCTTGTCTATCCACTTGTGGTATTTTGGTTGTATATTACACAGGGTAATAAGCTGGATTATTTTTTCCTCTGGAAACTGAAATATTTATGAATTGTACAGCTTTATAAAGAAAAGTAACAAAGGCAAATGACTTAGAGCCAGAAAGTCTTAAGTACCCTAGGATGTACCAATTTCAACACTTGCTGAGTAAGGCAAGCTGAAGTGGGGGGCAAAATTGTCTCTTAGTTTCCCTTTGCTTCCTTAGTAGCTAAATTGATATGCATTCTAATGTACAAAGTTATGTTGAGTCAGTAAATGTTAATTGTTTCAAAGGACTACATATCTTGAAAGCAGTCATTTCTGTCCTGGTTGTAATTAAGGGAAGTCACCATATTTACATTTTTAATTTACTTGCATCTTAGGGGACATATTTCATTAAAAATAAAAAGCAACTCTTTATTCTAAAAGTTAAGAAACATCTAGAAGAAAATACAAATAAGCATTCTAATCATGATACAATGTAATAAGGCAATGGATGCCTTTCTGGCAGGGAATAACAACAGAACATTTAAAAATGATAGCCAAATGGATATCAAATGTCAGCTAATGTAGCAAGTTTCACTCGATTTGGAGAATTTCTGGGGTGGTGAACAGGTGGAGGTACAGGGAGAGGGGAGAAGTGAGGGGCCAGAAACTCCATACTCCTTTCCCATACCTTGTCTTGTGCATCTGTCCCACTTGGCTGGCTGTTCCTGCATTCAGCTGTTGACATAAAAACATCCAAACCTACCTCTCTCATTCCTTGCACATCCACTCCCTTAATCATTAAGCTCCATGGATATTTAGGTTCTAAGGTCTAGCATTAAACAAAGCCTCGGGTCTCAATAACATGACCATTTTTCCTTTTTATATTTATTTGCAACTTCCACAAATCTCCAGAAAGATCGTATTTGCTTATTTCTTGTTCAACTAACAGCTAGATGAAGACATTTCATAGGGTGGTATTTTGGATTTTGGGGGCCCTTGTATGCTGGCACATAAGAGGATTCTGATTCCTGAACCTGGAAGCTCCAATAAGCTTGATTTAAATCCTTTATTTAGTTGTATATATTTTTAAATCATTTTTATTTTTCAATTACAGTTGAAAGCAGTATTACATTAGTTTCAGGTATACAACCCAGTGATTAGACACTGTATAACTAAATAATCATCCCAATAAACCTCATATCCCTCTAACACCATACAGTTATTAGAATAGTATTGACTATTCCCTGTGCTGTACTTTACATCCATCCCCATGACTATTCTGTAGCAACCAATTTGTACTTCTTAATCCCCTCAACCTTTGTCACCCAGCTCCTATAACCTCCTTCCTATCTGGCAACCATCAAAGTAATCTCTGTATTTATGAGTCTGTGTCTGTTTTGCATGTTCATTTATTTTTTAGATTCAATTGATGATAGATATGTATTGCCATTTTATTGTTCATATTTTTGATCTTAAAGAAGACCCTTTAACACTTCATATAATACTAGTTTGGTAATGATGAACTCCTTTAGCTTTTTCTTGTCTGGGAAGCTCTTTGTCTGTCTGTATATTCTAAGTGAGTGCTCTGCTGGGTGGATTAATATTGGATGTAGGTCCTTGCTTTTTATAATTTTGAGTATTTCTTGCCAATCCCTTCCAGCCTGAAGTTTCTTTTGAGAAATCAGCTAATAGTCTTATGGGGGCTCCCCTGTAGTTAACTCCTTTTCTCTTGCTGGGTTTAAAACTCTTTGTCTTTAATCTTTTGCATTTTGATTATGATGTGCCTTGGTGTGGGCCTCTCTGGGTTCTTGTTTGGGACTCTGTGCTTCCTGGACTTGTAGTTTATTTCTCCTTCACCAGGTTAGGGCAGTTTTCATCATTTTTTCAAATAGATTTTCAATTCTTGCCCTCTTCTCCGTCTGGCGCCCTCATGATATGAATATTGGTATGCCTGAAGTTGTCCCAGAGGCTCCATACACTATCTTCATTTTTTAAAATTCTTTTTGCTGTTTTGATTGGGTGTTTTTTGCTTCCTTATATTCTATATTGCTGATTTGGTTTTCAGCTTCATCTACTCTCCTGTTGATTCCCTGTAAACTTTTCTTTAGTGTATCTTTCATTTCTGACTAGTTCTTTATGGCATCTACCGTATTTTTCAGACTCTAAGACACACCCCCGTACTCGGGAGGAAAGGGGGTGAGTCTAATAGTCCGAATATTGCGAACCTGGCTTGCTGTGCAGGGGTGGGGGGTGGGGTGGCTGTGGTGGAGTGGGGTCACAGGAGGCTGCCACTGCATTTTCCTCCCAAATGGGGAGGGGAGTGTGTCTTACAGTTTGAAAGACAGGTTATGTCCTTTTTTTATGCTGTTGAAGTTCTCATTAAGTTCATCTACTCTTCCCTAAGTTCATTGAACATCCTTATAACCAGTGTTTTGAATTCTGCATTCAGGTGCTTCTTTTTGGAGTTGTGTTCTGTACTTTCATTGGGACATATTTCTTTGTCTCTTCATTTTGGTAGCTTCCTTGTGTTTGTTTCTATGTATTAGGTAGAGCTACTGTCTCCCGGGCTTGCTGGAGTGGCTTATTGCAGTAGGTGTCCTGTAGGGCCCCGGAGCACAGCCTCCCTCCTGGCTCACCTGAGCTGAGCACTCCAGGTGTTCCCCCTCCCCCGTGTGGGCTGTGCTAAACCTCTTGTAGTTGAGCTTTGATTTCTGTTGGCACATCAATGGGGGGGATTTTAGTTGTATATTATTTGCACTATTTCAGTCACATTGTGTGTTGCTCATCTCTTGACCAAGCCTATTTTTAAACTCTGGTAGAGTGTCATTTTATACATATTCCAAACTCCAGAACTGGTATTGCCTATCTTAGCAAAAGAGATTGTTTGCATGGAAAGATTAATAGCACTGAATTGCTTTCTGATATTTTGCACTTTTTGAAATGTCTGTTTTTTACATGATTATATTTAAAACTCTAGTAAATACTGAAATAAAACCATATTGACCCTCTGCCTACTGTTACTTGGTTCATCCATCATAAAGAGTATCAGTACAATAACCATTTTCTCTTCCCTTATTGATTATTAAACAAATTTAAAAAATAAAAGTTGCGGGCAAAGAACTAACATTTAAGTCCCTTTACTGGTGTTTTCATTGTCATAGGCAGATGTAGTTCAGAATTAAAAAAAAAAAAAAACAATTTAAAGCATGGCAGCTATAAGGTAAATCTGTGGCTGCCGCTACTGTAGTTGAGTCACTTATGTCAGATGAGGAAACCAGTTGTTTTACTGTGAAAATGTTCCAGCTCTCAAATGGTACTTACATATTAAAGAAAGCACATTCACCATTTTATTTGAATATCACATTTACTGGAGAAAAGAGATATACTGAAAATGTTATAGGAAGAAATACATAAGACAAGGTCATATTTAACATATAATCTCAATAAAAAGAAAGGTAGTTGCAGACACTGTAGCATCAATTCTGATGGTATCCTGTAATTGTTCCTTACAGCTCATTGTGAAGAAGGGACAGAAAAGGATTTATTTGTCTTCCACATAATGATACTTGTAATTTTTCTTTCGTGCCTTAGCCAGTTGGCAAAGTTGATGCATTTGGGCAGATCTTTACTCATGAAGGGAGGGAAGGAAACTCCTGAGCTCAGTTAAGGACAAATGAGGTAGTAACAGTCATCAGTTGTTAGCACTGAAATCATACTCCTAACCATTTCCTTTTTTATTTAGTAATTTGACAGATTATTTATGCCCACAGTATTATCTGCGGGGACTTGGATAAGATATGCATGACAATGGTAAATAAGCCACAGACAGACACTTTTCTCTTTAAGGCTTTATGGAATTGTCACCAGAAAAAGTAAACTAAACCAAAATAACTTAGTCATGCCCCTAAATTTTAAGGTTTTGAGGTATCGAAAATGAAGTTTTGATAATTAACTTAGCTCCTAAGATAAAGTGGGGCTATGCAAAGGCTTCTTTGTGACAACATCCTTCCAAGAACGGCATTTAAATTAAATGTAAAAACACTGTAGATCTTGGGATACCAGTCTGATGGACCAGATTCATAAGCTGTTGGAGGACTATTGAAAGATCTCTTTATCAGAATGTGTGGCATATCACAGTAAAAAAAGATCTTTGACTCCTCATGCTAAATTCACGTGACCAGAGACAAAACTGCATAATCATTTGGAAGCAAAAGTGAAGTGCTGACGTCCTCACTGTACCTCTTAAGAGGTCAAAGGTAAGACATTCCTATCTTAACCGCGGTCCAGATAGGACGGGCTGATTCACCTACAATTCTCCATAGAGGTAGCTCCAATTTCTAAACATCAAAATGATAAGGATCACTAGACATCTTTTGTGCGTTGGGAAGTACAACTCTGTTGTGAAATGGTTTATGGCATTCCGCATCAGTCAGAGGAGGATAATACTGCCTGTAGCAGACATAGGCAAAAGTCAGGCCAATCATGGATCCAACTAGTACATCTAGAAGAGAGAGGAGATAAAGTCTTCTCTTAATCATATTAGACTCTTAAATCGCGTTAGCTCAGCGTATAGAGAACTTGGCCCTCCAGGTTGTTCTGACTGGCCTGCAAAAACCCAAGTTTGGGGCTTTTTCAGTTTGATCATATAGTTTACACTGGATTATCTGTATTAGAGTGTTCTCTAAACACTAAATCAAAACACATCTTTAGTTAAGTAAATATAAGAAGACTTTTTCCAAGTATACTAGATTATAATTTTTTTAATTCAGAAAAATAATAGGTTCATTTCATGCTATTAACAATTTTCATGGTTTTTCACCATTTAGAGTTTTATAGGAAGGAGTAAGCTTTTCAAGGGTTGCCTCTCTTTACGAAAAAATGTTTATTCTTTAAAATAGGTCGCCTAATGCTCTCTGGGCAAAATTATCAGGTTTGTTTTGAAGATACTCTGTAATTTGGATATTTTACTGTATCATTTAACTTAAATTTTTTTGATTTACTTATCATTACAATTTAATTACAATTTTATATTTTCTTGAATTTTAATTTCATTTCTGAACAAACTCTCATGCAATGAACCTGACTTTTATTTTAAGACAGTAAGTAAATGGAGCTTTCAGGTTTGTTGTCAAAACTTTCTTGTAGTTTATTCTGAATTATGATGCTTCAAAATAATGGGAAAATCTAGGACAATTCCTCCTTGGAAATCTCTTTAAAAGGTAACAATGCACTTTCTCATCTTCCATATACTTATCAATGCATACCCTTAGTACAGAACCCAGACAATCCCATACTCATTTCTTTCTTTTTCAACAGATACTTAGTGAGCATGTCCTTTGTGCCAAGTCCTAGAGATAAGGTGATGAGTGATACATGGAAGCTTCCCTGGCATGAATACCTCACTTACCTTGCCAGTGATGCTTGTAGTCACAGGTCCGGGACAGTGCAATCACAGTTGCAAAAAACAGAGGTGACAGAAAGGCACAGAACCTCCAAGATTTCCCACGACCTCGTGGTGTGAAGCAATGTAACTTCCCCGCCAGGTAGAAGGAAGCAAAGGCCAGACCAGCAAATGCAACTAGAAGAGGAAAAACCTGTAAGTGTATGTGTTTTAAAGGAAGCTACCCCACTAATCTGCTAATAGGCAGCCAGGGGACATGAACATGTTTTATCCCTTTTTTTGTTTATTTCTGGAGTAGATCATTGATTATAAAGAAGATGAACCAAAAGGAAAAGTAAAGGACTTTTTGTGTCATGAAGCTAATATTTATCCTAAGAATAGTGTCCATGTCACTGGGCTAGTACAGTGTCAGATAAGGTAAGAATTTAAATGCTTTCTAAAACACCTGACATACAGTATCAATAAAGGTTATTTAATATTTTTATGATTAGTACAAGATGGTAGGATCTAGCAAATAATACAGTAATAAAATATTCAAATCTCATGAAGGTAAGCTACCTCCCCTCTTCTTAAAAATATATACCCTAATATTCGAGGCTCACGCTTGTGAAATCTTGGGGCCCTTAAAAAAAGAGCGTGGGGTTTGTCCAATTTCTAGATACAAGAACAAGAGTAGTGAGGCGTTCCTACATTAAATTCAGTGACCCCCAAACAGCAGAGTAGAGCCCACATGGTATGCATACAGGAAGAATGTCCACTAGGAAAGCTCTTACGGCCCTCATTCACCACGTCCTCATCTCCTGTGCACGTCAAGTCGGAACGGGCTTGCCCATCAGGGAAGCAACGGTAGAAGAAGTCTGGGCGTGGCCTGGAAGAAATGAGCATGGTCTGAACAGTGGTTGTTTACAACTCCAGAAACTATTTTTTGGTGTATCAGACATCAATAATCCTGTTAAGTATCGGTCAAGTCGTGTCTCAGGCAAAATAATGAGACTGGATTAGGATAGTCACCACCAAGAGAAATGCCTTATTTCCAGGGTCAGTATTTTATTCATGGGGGAAAAAGCCACTCCGGCATGTGATTATTTTTTAGGGCAAAGAGCACATCACAGTGCAGCTTCAAGGGGTACTCTTGAGGACAGTGGCTGCCGTGTCTGTCAGTGGGAAATGCTGTTCGGGCAGGAAAGAACCCAAGTGTCACCTGCAGGACTAGGGGGTAAGGAGGGGAGAAAGGACGGGCTGAGATAAAGAAAGGATAAAGACGTGTGCTGGAGTGCTGATAACCATCTCTCCGACCAAGGTAATGGCTGAGACAGACCCTGGTGTGGCAAACTCTTGTCACTTACCTCCCCACTATCAGTTTTATTGTGTTGGTAAAGATACCATTCAGAACCAGGGCAAGGCTGGCAGCTGGAAAGCAAAGAAACTTACTGTTAGTGGCATCTGCCTAGGAGGAACAGCATGGTCACTCTCGTTAAGACCACAGTCCTGACCTTCCCAAGACAGAGGAATGGTCAGGCTCCAACCACAGTGCAGTATAAAAATAATTCAGGCCCCCAATGACTGACTGCTCCAGTGTAGTACAGGGAGAACTTCCGCACGAGGCTGAAGACATTTCCGAGGCACATGTAATCTGGGGCATTTAGGCACGCCTGTGAGGTTAGCCAAGCTCACTGTGCTATTCTTCTGTCTCACAGGTAACAAAAGGGGTGCAGGAGGCAGGCACTTACTTCAGGAACACAGGCCTCAGTGTGTGGAGGCCACTGAGGTCACAACCCCTGCCCTCTTAGTCCTTAGTGTCTTAGGCACTAAGACACCAGGTAGAAAGGGTTAGCTCTTACCCAGGCAAGCTTGTTTGCTGTCTGTCGAGTCTGCCTTCTTGAGACATTTGGCCAGGAGGATCAAAGTCAGCGGAGAGAGAAATGCAATGGCCTGAACCAGAACATGGAAACGTGAAAAACCAAACCAAACCAAACCACAAAACTAGTTGTCAAAGGAGCTCCTACAGGGAAGAGGGATGGCAGTGACATACATGCACCAGACCCCACAGTTCCCGGGACAGATAGAGTTTGCATCTCGGTGTCTGTGGGTTAAGTGGGCACTGGGCAGCTCTTCCAGCAAACACAGCACCATTCTAAATGAGCAGCTACTCCAGGCCATCCCAAGGAACAGCTCACAGAACATGGCTCTTGAGCCAAAACAGAAGGCCAGCTGCTCTCTAAATCTGGATCTTAAAACATTAGGATGCAAAATCTTGAGCACATCAGGAAGCAACATCTTAGGACACCAACAAAGAGAGCAATAAGTTCCCTGCAAAGACAAATGAGCCAAGATGCTCCCTGCATTAAAGCACAACAATGAGTGCCAAGGAGCGGAAGAGGGGCTCGTTTTGTACGCACAAACATCGGCTTGGTGGGGAAATACTCAGGTTCCACATATGGATTCCGGTAAAGCCACATCTCCTCAGGTTGGATAACCCTCTGGAAGGGGGGCAGGAGGTCTGTTACCCTAAAGGGAAACAAACAAACGTGCGGAGCACGTTGGTTAGCTTTCTCTGGGCTTCCCAGGGAAGGACCCGGACCTCGGGGTGGAGAGGTGCGGGCGTGGCTCAGAGCATGAGAGCGGGAGGCCGCGGGGGGCCTTCTTGCCCTGTGCCTGCAAGAGGGTGTGGGGACCTGGCGGTCTGACCCGCAAACCACTTACCGGAAGACCGTGAACAGCACGATCCGCACTCCCAGTTCGGCCCCGAAGCCCGCCACTGCCTTCCTCATCTGCTCCATCGCGCCGCACTGACTGGCGGCCCGACGCACTGACGTGGCTGCCGCTGCACGGGATTCGAGCCGCACCGCGCATTGCCGCGCAGCCCCGCCCCGCCCCCCGCCTTGCCCCACCGGAGGCCGGATCTTGGTGCCCGCGATCGCCCTCTGGTAGGCAGTCGGGGAACTGCAGGGAGGCGGTCAGCCACCTCCGCACTGCCAGGCCAGCACTTTCAGGGAGAAGTGGCTTTGCGGGGTTCTCAGAGCATCACCTAGCAAAAGGAATGAAAGGCAAGCGATGCTGTTCTCCCACTGTCCTGTCCAGCAGCAGTTACCTTTCCATCTGACAAACCAGTGGGCTGAAAATGATGGCGATCTCCCAGTCACGTCCTTGGCCAACTAGCCAAGGCCTGGATAGTCTCATAACACACCAAAGGAGGTAGCAACGTTCTCTAAGGACCTTTCTTCCACGAACACAAATCACAAAACAAACCTCTGCATTTTCGGGTCCAAGTTTACTAGCAGCATAGCATTTTGAAGAAATACGTACTTGGCACTCAGGACTTGGGGTGCTACAGGCATCACCGCCCTAGGATGTATGTGCTGGGTCACGCGGCCCCGCAGTTAGGTCCACTCCCTCCCATGAAGGCCTCTAGCCCAGTGAGTTACAGCAAGAAAGTACAGGCAATGAGCAAATCCACATATTTAATTTGGAACATACAGGACAATTTATTGAAGTCAATCTCAAGCAAAATCTGAAATCAGTGGAATGTCATTAAGAACCTTTCCAAATTAATCCTCACAGAAGCAAAAAAACAATAAAACAAAAAACAAAAACCCCCCAAAACATTTCAATTCCAAAGTATTTGTAAAATAAAAAAGGCAACATCTCAGTAAATATAATATACGAAAATTATATGTTCCTACCAGCACACACAGCAGTAAGCAGCTTAAATAGTACAGGCAATCCTAAATACACAATAACTAGTCAACAATAAGCTATCTATATACAGGTTAACCAAGCTTTGCACATTTCACACTATGCAATAAAACATAGGTCAATCAACAAAATCCCCAAAATATCATATATCTTGAAGTCTGTGTGGCAACATCAAGTCAATATACAGTAATGCCCTAGTGGAACACCCCCAGGGAAAATTAACACTAATCCCTTAGTGTCAAGCTTCTAGCCAAGTCACAGAAACTCAAAAAGAGATTGACTTTAGTGAATATCGATGCTTTGTTATTAAAGACTCAAGTCTCAAGTGATTTAGGCAAAATAACATTTCACAGGATCTACAAAGTTTATTATAGATAAACAAAGTACAGAAATAACCAATCTACAAAGGTTGTTATCATAGATAAAGATCACAAGGAAATGAAAACAGAATCTGTAGGTATCTGTGTTTGTTGTGCAATTATCACAAGTGGGTACAAATGAATTTCTCATATCAATACCAATTATGCACACACCCTTGTATATAAAAAGAATCTTATTATTAGCCAGGTGTAATCATCATTTAACATCTTGGTTGTTGGTGGCAATAACGATTTTCTTTTTTAACATAGGGTATGTGACAGCACAAATGGAATAAGGAGCGATATAAATGACAACCAAGTAAAAGTAAATTTTACCCAGTCTACTTCCAAATGGACAAGAACACCTAATAAATACCTAATCTAGGTAATGTGAGGGATAATGAGAGCCATTCATACCTATCAGAAGTCTGTGGCCGGCAGAAAGGGGAGTACTGGAACCTGAGGCTGCTTTCTTGTCAATATGCAGACACAGTAATGTCACATAAGGAAACAAGGACCCAGTAAATGACTTTGGCAACAATTCACCTTTTCCCTTTTATTTGCACATTAACGACTCTCAGAGGCTACCAAAGGACAGGTAATTCTCTTCTCCTTCCCTTTCACACGTATGTGCCACAAGCACCTGAACTTGCCACCTAAGCAATGGACCGATGAAAGAAGAATGGAAATGGTTTTTGAAACACACAGGTTACACCCAGCATTTTAGGAGTGTAACATAAGTGCAAACTTCTGTGTTTTCCCTACACAGGCATATATTAAAAGGAAAGAAGAGGTGCTTGGGTTGACAAAATGACAAAATGACAAAATGAAGAACATATATAGAAAATATTCATAAAAATGCTGCTGGTATCCCATGCAGGAGTCTCTCCCTCAAATGTGTACATTAAATCTGAGATTCTACTGTGAACATGCTCTCCCATTTGCAGAACTTTACCTTTAACCCAAGTGAAAGAGGATAAGAGACTAGGCTATTTATTTTCAAAACAGTATACAAAACAATGCTTCTACTTCATAAATTTTAAAATAACTGTTAAAATAAGGAGAATCTGAAGAATTTCAAGTACTTAAAAAACCTGAATTCAATGAGGCAGAGGTCTCAATGTTAAAGTGACTACTTCGTACCTGTGGTAAACATTATCATTCCCCGCCCTCACCCTAATATAACCCTCTTTCCCCCTGTGCCCCACCCCAGAAAAAAGTTGGTCGATTTCAGTATATACAAATTTCCAACTTTTCAATATTTGTTAATACATGACAAAGCTGTCTAATTATATTTTCTCCCTAGCTTATCTGAAAATGGAAGCAAGTTCTCCTCTTTGTTTACACATAACCAGAGACCAATTCTACGTGGCCTTAGGTGGAAGGAAATTATTCCAGATGATCACTTCATGCCTGCTGCAACTTGGACAACTTGGGATGGCTAGACGCATCAGCCTTGTAAGAATCAACGCAAAAACTAATTTGCTCTGCCCATTAAGCAACTTCCCAGTGTCGGCGTACCTCATGTACATCACACGTAAGCTTCCCAAGCTGCAAGGACTCCAAGGTACCTTGTTTTCTTATCCTGTTGGGACGTGGCAAGTAGCAGCACCTTGACTTGAAGGTGAAAGCTAGAGGAAGAGCTTTTATTTTAAAATGAAATGAAAGACAAGCAACAAATGCTGGGTAGTCCAGAGATTACATTCTGTGTAACTGGCCTAGCTGCCTGTTTCCCAACTGCAGATCTGGGTTTGACCCTGACTGGAGCATACACCATGCAACAAGCTACTCGAAAAGGAAACTCCACTTCATGAATCAGGAGAGAAAGTTGTCCAAGAGCCTGCCCTGCCTAGGGGTCCTTTACATGATTATCTCAGAATTTCACGACATTATTTACAGGCATGTTTCCAAATGCTTGGAAATGACAGAAGGGAACTGGGAGCAGCCTTACTTGCCCCTATTACTATTACCATTCCTATCATTTAGTTGAGATATGTTCCTGACATGAACACCCAGAAATATCCAAATTTCAATGGTTCTAAAAATCAGCCTATTCCATAACTTAGGCCAGAGTATTTTTGAGAATTAAGACAGTGTGGGAACTTGTTAAAACAAAAATGAAAACAAATCCCACCTCACTCCTAATTCTAGCCCTGATTAAATATTTGAAAAGTGAATCGCGTCCCCCGGCTGCTTCAGCCTTCCAGGAACAAGGGCTGCGCCCCCCCCCCCGAGGCCGGGCCCAGCCCCTCCCTGCACTCCGAGGCCGGATTCTTTCCCTGGATTCTACCCTCAGTTGTTGCCGATCCAATTTTTGACACTTTTGCTGGTTATCTAAAATCTTATATTCACTTCTTCCTCTAGACAATTAATATGAGGCAAAAAAAAAAAATACCACCATTATCTCATGCTGTTTTAAAGTCATTTCATTTTTGGACAAGAATAAAAACCAACAATTTATGCTCTGACCACATACAGATTTAAAAGGTAACAAGACTATACTTTCAGGGATCATTTCTACAGTTCGTTAAAAGTCAGCAAACACCAACCTCTGACTGAGTGTGCAATATGTCTTTTGGAATATTTCATTGGTGAAGCACGGGCGAGCACAGTGCGTGGATACTATGCACACTTAAAAGCACAACTTGCTTTTTTTGCTTCTAGGACCTGCAACTTTACAATATAATAAATAGGCCGACAGTGACCCAGTGGAGGTGTGAGAAGAGCCCCTTGGCACTGGCACGGCTGACACTGCTGTGCGGACGGCTAAAGGACACTCGTGGGCAAAGACGCCAGAGCTGGGGGTAGCTATTTCATTCTCTACCCTGGTTGCTGAAATGGCAGAACAGTCCTGTGAGTCATCACACCCTCCTGCCCCCCAAGATTAAGAAGTCTCAGCAGAGCTCTTTTACAGATATACAAACAAAATGTGACACAATGAAGAAACTGCATAAAAATACTTAAACCTAAGGTATTTGTAGTATATAGGATATACCCTGGCTTACCATATAAAAGTCTCAGATATTAAACAGCACTAAGGAGATAAGATTTCATGTTGGATACTGTTTCAACAAGAGTTGCATTTCGAATATTAAAGGAAATCCTTCATGTTAGTAAGTTTTAAAAAGCAAACATTTATCATATACATATATAAAATAAAGTTTTAGTATGATAAAACCTAGATTTTCTTAAATTATTTTTTAAAAGGACATCAAACTATATAATTGTTCAAGAGCAAAGTTTAGTGTTTTGGTGAGATATAATTCATGTTACCTGTAGCAATTATAGTTGGTAACATGCATAGCATTTTCCATTTTGCTCTTTCTTTTGGGACCATATCTAATCAATAGAATTATTGGAGGCCCAACAAGTTACCTCAGAATTAATTGCCAGAATCAGGCAAATGGCAGTTTAGGAGCTTAAGTAAAGGAAATGTAGTGTTTTTTGTTTTGTTTCGTTTTTTTTACAAGACAAAATCCAGTACAATTGCACATTTACATACAAAAAAAAGAGAGGCACAAAACAGCTTTTCTTCTTGTTTACCAGAGAAGAGCTCTAGATTGACAGGAGAAGGGAACACACGGAGCGCGACCGAAGGATGCGGCAGAGCACCCACCCTCCGCACCTCCTAGGTCACTAGGTACTTCTTGAGGGAAAAGAAATGCTACCAGCGACTGCAGGCCATCAAAATTCACAGAGCAAGTTAACGTTCATTCAAGCTAATTCTAGACTTCTACTTAGTACAGTGTTACAACAATGTCTGACATTACTAATTAGTTCATTCAAGGAACACTGGAACACACATATTCCTAAGCATTAAACGCAAGTGAGTTTTGTGGGCAGACATCTCGGTAGACTCGCATTACGAGATCCAAGCAACACAGCCAACCGTCTTCGCTAACACTGCTTTCTTGGGAGCTTTCCCTAAGTGCCTCCAAAGATGGAGTGTGTTTGTGTGGCTCTTACATACCCTGTACAAGAAGTGCTTCCCCTCCCTCCTTCGACGGGGGCAATTTCACGTACTGGATAGCACTAAACAGAAATTGTTGACATACAACTTTGAGATGCTCCGCCCCCGCCCCCATTAGGAACTAAACCAAAAAGAGTTAGTCAAATACAATTCAAATTCATTTGTGAGTTTCACCAGGAAACAAGACTGAGGGGTCAACTGACAAAGGGAATGTTTGATTAGGAGAAGGAAGGGACAGAAAGTAAAATGTCCTCAATTCTTTCCAAGTCAGACCAGGGTGTGACAGAAAATGGTGCTTATATGATCCAACTTTTTTGGTCTGTGCCATTCCTCTTCCTTTAGCTGCCATTATCAATGTGTCAAGAAACAGGAATGACCATTCTAACACTATGCATTCCTGTCCACATAAACACACTTCATCAAAAATACCCACTGTTAATGGAAAGCATTCCAAACTCAGTAAGTACCTCCACTTCTCTTTTTTCCTCCAAAACAAAACCAAAAACCACATTATATACCTTTCTATGTAAACTTATCATATCACAAAGCCCACCTGATTTAAAGACCACAGAGGTAAGATCCACTGAGGCATTGTGTTTGCAAGAGGCCAGATTCGATACTTCCATGGAACGCTTCTCTAAGACTACGAGACACATTTGGAAGGGAAAGAGAAGTCAGCCTACCCACTAGTCAGTACAGAGGTATATAACGATCATCATATCCTTTGCTAGAGGGCTTTCTCCAATTCCTACTACACACACACACACACACACACACACACCAGACTATCTGAACGACACTTCTCAAAATTTTTTAAATGAAAATAAATAAAGGAATGATGGTGACTTTTGCTTTTAACACCCAAGGAACACATCATAGACTATATTTATCTCATTAACAAACTTTCTTTTCTCCTCGCTCTTATTTTAAAAGCAAAGACATTTCCTTTTCTGGCTGCAAGACATTGAAGCACAACAAAAGGCAGGAAAGGACGAAGGGAATCAACCCCGCCCCACAACAGAATCCTCACACCAACGGAACAAACAGGAAAACCAGACACCCCAACTGCCCCCTCTGCGGCGCAGGCTCCATTCTCACCGAGTAAGGCAGTACTGATGGCGAAGGCTGCGTGCACTGCCGTGGTCTCTCCTCTTGCGAACGCATCGTCCACTTATTTTTTGCTTTTTTCCCCCCATTTAAATGAAAAGAAAAAAAAGGAAATCACCACCCATTTATTCCTTTACTTCTTCTCCATGATCTTGTGATTCCAATTTACATTTGATCTTGCTCCAGTATTCTGGTGACACAGGAGACTCGGGGTCATGTTCAGAGCAGCAGAGAAGGCCTTCCAGTGCGGAGGGAACCAGAGCTCCCTTTCCGTGATCTTTACAGAAGGAATGTGGACAGAACTCGCAGAAGAAAACCGCTGCGCTGCTGCACTCATTGCACTGATGCCATGGGCATTCCCACTTTCCTAGTTGGGGTTGGGGTGGGGGAGAAACGAGCCCAAGTTAGTGCCTGTCTCGATTACCCATGAAAAACCCAAGTCCCCACCTTCTCTGATCTGAGACTGAATTCAACCGAACACAACTCCAGATTTCAGCCAGACGCTGGTCTGGCTGGGTGCATCATTAGGCATAGACGTGAGATTCTGTCCAAAGCACTCACCCATGGCAATAATAAAAAGGAAGCCAATCCTTCCTTGCTGGCTCACGGGTATCCCAAATTTGCAAAGAGACAGATTTTCACTAGCATAACTTTTGTTTGCTATGGTTGGTTGTCCTATGCAATGATTCCCATTCCACAGCTCCACCAAGGAGAGGGGAGCATATTCTGAGTTACACACAGCTGGCAAGAACGCAAGTCGGAGAAAGGGGCTGCAAGGTCCAGCTTACCATATGGTGGCTGAGTCAGGTTAAGGCATAGGAGGTGGTATGCTTTGGGACAGTCCTTTTTGTCACACATGACCAGCTCTCCACCATCTCCACACTGAAAACAGTAATCTTCATGCATCTGCTTTGGTTCTGTTTTGATTTTCCGTCTCTTCTGCTTCAGCTTAGCATTTTTTGCCCTTTCTTCGGGTGTTGACACACACGCCGACTGGCCGGAGAAAAGGATCACAGTGTTAACGGTCACAGAGCATGAAGCTTTTAAGGGGAGGGAAAATCCTACAACACATTCATTTAAATTCATCTGTTGCTCAACAAACTGAAAACACCAGGAGAACTTATCCCATTACAGTGCTGTTATAAAAATGAGGCTTCAGCCCTGGCTGGCGTAGCTCAGTGGATTGAGCGCGGGCTGCGAACCAAAGCATCACAGGTTCGATTCCCAGTGAGGGTACATGCCTGGGTTGCAGGCCACGGCCCCCAGCAGCCGCACATTGATGTTTCTCTCTCTCTCTCTCCCTCCCTTCCCTCTCTATAAATAAATAAATAAATAAATAAATAAATAAATAAATATCTTAAAAAAAAATGAGGCTTCAGCCCTGGCTGATGTAGCTCAGTGGACTGAACGTGGGCTGTGACCCAAAGGGTCCCTGGTTCAATTCCCAGTCAGGGCTCAAGCCTGGGTTGCAGGCCAGGTCCCCAGTGGGGGTGTGCGAGAGGACACCACACACTGATGTTTCTCTCTCCTTCTACCCCCCTTCCCCTCTTTCTAAAAAGTAAATAAATAAAATCTTTAAAAAAAAACAAGGACTTCATTTTTATTGATTTCTGAATAGGTGCTTTTTTTTCATTGCAAAGACACTGACATACAATTCATATACCATTAAAGTCACCATTTTAAAGTGTATAATTCAATGGTTTTTAGTATATTGTGAATTTTAAAAAATTTTCAAAAAGGATTTTGCTAACTTCAAATTCTATCAGAAATACAAATGCCTTTTCAGAACCTAACAGATCTCACTAAGATATGCTTCACTAGAAAAAGTCTGAAGTCTGGGTAAACACAGGTGAAGGTCCACATATCAAACCAGGCTCCCATCGGCCAGCTGTTCCTGAGACGGCCATAAACAAGCCTGGTCCACAGCCCCAGGCCTACTGCTGGTACCCGCACAACTGACCTTTGGCCGCACTCCAAGAAAACCGCTGCAGTTCTCTGCGCCACAGTGGCACTCCGTTCTGCCATTGCCCAGACAATCCAGGTTGTAATTAAAAGTTAACTCCATCCCTAAGGACATGAGGAAATAAATACTCACACTCAAGGGGAAGAGAAATGCCGTCACAGACACATTCTCATAATGAGAAAGAGATGATTCTGCCATGAACTTTCCCCTCCCCCATGTTCTACACTGAAGACAGTGATGGAAAAAAAGAAAAAAGGGGGGGAAATAACTACAGGAAAACACCCCCTCTACCAATGCTTGCGGCAAAAATAAATATGCTACAAAAGTCATCACATCCTTTTCACTGAAGTGGTCAAAAACTATGTGATAGAGACCAAGACTCTGAAATCTCTGCTTGAGAAAAGTGGGTTCTAGTTTAGTTAGCTCTTTTCTAAAGCTAATTTATACTCCTTTCTAAATGCACAGTATGACCGTGGAATTATGACAACCATATTGTTTCCAGTAATTAATGCCTTATGGCCAGGGAGTTCCAAGTGCAGTTTTACTGCATTACAACAAAGATCCAGTGGTTCAGACGAGGAGGCCCCGGCTTTCTCTTAGCTGGGCTTGAACAGTCCACAGTGAGTCTAGAAATACAATTTAAATCTTTTGGCTACAATGTTTCTCTTCTTAAGCCATTTTTCTACAAAGGTAACAGAGGGGAAACTAAGTTTTGCTGCTAAGATGCTGGACGGGTAAGGAAAAATGAAAGCAGTAACTATGGCTTCAGGAGCTTTTATGTCTAATTTGAAACACACTGATCTTTCAAACTAAAACAACACCCCCACCCCCAACAAACCAAGAAACCAGTTCATGGTTTCTTGACACAGGCTTTCAATACTTAAAAAAAGAAAACAAAAGCTTAACCCTCTGGTTACGTTGTATAGAGAGCAATAACATGGAGAATTCATTCAGAAGAATCACAGATACACCAAATTCTGTAATAGCCTCTCTTACAGAAAGGCTCTTGCTAAGCTCCCTTTTGCAGGATAGAGATTTTTACTTCTTATTGACAGTTATTTGAATAAACATCTGAGCATCACACCTTGAAGAATGTCTCGCTTTCAAACGATACACCTGGTCCCTGGGGAGGGAGGCACGGTGGGTGGGGGGGGACACAAGTTACTGCTTTTACCTGCAGGAATATCACACAGAGCAAACAGTCCAACTCGAACATCTCCATTTACTGTCCATTTCTGTGTTTCACAGTTTGGGTTGCAACTGTGATTCATAAAGCGAGAGTAATTTCCTTTTGGGCCAGCGTCAATTATACGGTCCTTCGGAAAGAAAAGAAATGAAAGATGCCTCTGACATAAAACTAAACATAAGCTATCGTAGAAACACCCAACTCAGTCAAGAGCCACAAGACAGCAGCATTTTGCTACCAGCTGATGTCAGACAACTGACAGATACGAACACGTGACACGCTCTGAGCAGTTTACTGAGTTCTGTGCTTTATCTGATGACATTCAAGCCAGAGTAATCAAGATAAAGTGGAATTTAGTTTCTTCTGAAGTTTGTTTCTAGAAACAAACAGATCATAGAGTAATGCTGCTTAGAAGATTTTGCTGGCCACAGGCTTAGGAAAAGTCTCTCTTTTTTTCAAAGCATTTCTGATTAGAGAGCTCTGAGTTCACATAGCTACTTGTGATGGGAACTATGGTGTTTCACGGTTGGCCTTCCTTTTCTGCTCTGAGCAAGAAGCAAAAGAAACTAGAATAGGAGTAGTTGGCTGAGAGTTTAGGCCATAAAAAGCAAGTAGGGAAAATGAGAAATCTGGCTTCTGAATGAAGACTTGCAGATTTGACTGATGGGAGGGATGTACTCTCTAGTAGTTTTTTTCTTTTCTTTCTTTTCCATCAGTAGTAAGGGTGCCTCAGATAAAGCTCGTTGGTTATGATACTGCCACTGCACAAAGCTGGCAGTTTTCGGTTTGTTCTATTTTTACTTAAAGTCCAAAGTACAGTACAAACCTCAGCATCCCACCCCTCAATTTAAGTCTGATCTTCCGGACAGCTCCAGAGGACGGAGCCTCCCAAGTATGGTAAAGACGGCTGGAGGGGTCACTGGCAGGGGGACAGGATTCCAGGAGCCAATCAACACTCATAAATAAGTGGCATTTTATGTTTATAAAATATACATTCATAAAAGTTGTAAAACTTTCAAACAATGACATATCAGTTAAAATAATACTTCTTTCACATGACCTCTAGTTCTTACTTTTAATGATATCCTGACACGGTCTTCAAGATGGCCTGAGACACAGGAAGCATGGGTACTAACCCCAGCTCTTCCTTAAACTATAACAAGGTGTTCAGCACGTCATTTGTCATGGCTGTACCTCAGTCTCTTGTCCTCTGTAAACCAGAGGACTACTGAAGAAATTAAATGAGATAATGGACATCGAATAGGACTTATCTGATGCATGTATTAAACCAGCAGTTTTACCGTCATTTCTCTTATGACAGCACCCATTTCTCCCAACTTATTAAGAAAAAGTTTAAATGTGCAGAACAATTTTCAGAGTAGAACTGTTGCTAAATCAGAACTTCAGTGGTGGTTTATAACTTAGAATTACAGAGCTCATTCTCTCTTTCAGCGATAAACTGACAGCCAAGTCTTCCAGTGGCTGAGAAGAGCTGGGACTAGAACGCAGCTACGTTAACCGCCCCCACTCCTGGTTCACTTTCACGCACACGGCTGTCTCACGTGACACGTGCGAGGCTTCAATAAGCATTCACTTTGTACTCTGGGGTAACGAGCACATTGCAGGGGGGAGCACACTGGCTACTACTAATCAATATACTCGGCCTGAAGAAAATCAAATTAGAGGAAACTGAGTTCAACCTAAGACCATGAAAACGAAAACAGAAAGCCTTCTTTTCTTAAAAAACAAAACAAAACGCAATTTTACCTTGGTAACAGTTAACATATAAAAGTTAGTCACACTATTCTCATGGGCTCGCTTGATTCGCAATCTGCATTCTTCTTCATCAATTAATTCGCCAACATATTCATTTACAAATTCACCCTGCAGAGAAGCATGCGATGTATAAATGTGAAGCCAATGTACTGTATTAGGAAGCATTCCTTACACAACGCGTAGAATCCAAGAGAATTAACCAAAAAGAATCACAGAAATATAACTTCGACCCTAGAAACAAATCACTGCTGTCATTCATGAGCATTCAGGTGGCACTGTTTTTCTTGTGCCTGTGTCTCAAAAGTAATAATATGCCTGTCTTTTGTTTTGCTGACAGTAGTATTTCCATAGCCCAAGGGACCACTGTGGTACGTCATCGGGATCTGGGAATAATGCTGCCTTGGAGCCTTGAAGCTGCACTGCACAGGCTTCTACTAGTTTATGGCCTTGGGGGAGGATGGCAAAGATCTGACCCATAAAGAAATGAGCCTTTTTGTTGGATAACTTTTCATTTTTAAAAATTTTTGTTTTGCCATTCTGAGTTTTTTTTATTTTTTAATATATTTTATTGATTATGCTATTACAGTTGTCCCATTTCCCCCCTTCATTCCTCTCCACCGTGAAAACCCTCCCCCACCCACATTACCCACCTCTAGTTCATGTCTATGTGTCATAAGTTCTTTAGCTTCTACATTTCCCATACTATTCCTGCCCCACCCCGTCCACTTTCTACCTACCATCTATGCTTATTCTCCGTACCTTTGCCCCCTCTCTCTTCCTCCCACTCCCCCGTTGCTAACCCTCCATGTGATCTCCATTTCTGTGGTTCTCTTCCTGTTCTACTTGTTTGCTTAGTTTATTTTTTGTTTTCATTTTAGGAGTGGTTGTTAATAATTGTGAATTTGCTGTCCTTTTACTACACGTATTTTTTATCTTCTTTTTCTTAGATAAGTCCCTTTAACATTTCATGTAATAAGGGCTTGGTGATGCTGAACTCCTTTAATTTGACCTTATCTGAGAAGCACTTTATCTGCCCTTCCATTCTAAATGACAGCTTTGCTGGATAGAGCAATATGGGATGTAGGTCCTTGCCCTTCATGACTTGGAATACTTCTTTCCAGCCCCTTCTTGCCTGGAAGGTCTCTTTTGAGAAATCAGCTGACAGTCTGATGGGAACTCCTTTGTAGGTAACTGTCCCCTTATCTCTTGCTGCTTCTAGGATTCTCTCCTTCATTTTTATGTTGGCTAGTGTAATTATGATGTGCCTTGGTGTGTTCCTTCTTGGGTCCAACTTCTTTGGGACTCTTTGAGCTTCCTGGACTTCTTGGAAGTCTATTTCCCTTGCCAGAATGGGGAAGTTCTCCTTTATTATTTGTTCAAGTAAGTTTTCAATTTGTTGCTCTTCCTCTTCTCCTTCTGGCACCCCTATAATTCGGATGTTGGAACATTTAAAGATGTCCTGGAGGTTCCTAAGTCTTTCCTCATTTTTTCGAATTCTTATTTCTTCATTCTTTTCTGACTGTATGCTTCTTTCTTCCTTCTGGTCCACTCCATTGACGTGAGACCCAGCTTTCATTCCATCACTATTGGTTCCCTGTGCATTTTTCTTCATTTCACTTATTGTAGCCTTCATTTTTTCATCTAATTTGCGACTAAAGCCAACCAATTCTGTAAGCATCCCGATCACCAGTGCTTTGAAGTGTGCATCTGATAGGTTGGCTATCTCTTAGTCACTTAAAAGTACTGGTTCTGGGGCTTTCATTTGTTCTTCTGTTTGAGCCATCTTTTTTTTTTCCTTTGGTCTGGTCGCACCTGTTACATAGGAGGGGCGGAGCCTTAGGTGTTCACCAGGGTGGGGCACCCCAGTCACTGGGTTGTGATGCTATATGTGGGGGTGGGGTCCAAGAGGGAACAATGGCACCTGCTCCACTCTCCTTCTGACCTCAGTCCCTTCCGCCACTTCCCCTGAGCAAACTGGACCCCTCTGGTGCCAGTTCCCTTTTGGGTGGGCTTGTGCACCCCGTGGGACTTTCCAACGACCTCTCCTGTGAGGCTGGGATTCTCTCCCTGCACGTCAATCCCCACAGGTGTTTTCAATCAGTGTCCCGAGGCTCTGTTTCCCTGTGCTGTGATCCTGGGTTGCGTGCAGTGCTTTGCTTCACAATCCCTGCCATGCCGGGTCTCCTGGTTGTCACCCCTCAGCTGGGTCCACTTGCTGCGGTCTTGCATGCCCCACATGCCTTACATGCTGATCCCAATGCTCTCTGCTCTCTGAGCCACGCCCCGCTGCCCGACTCTGCCTCTCCTACCTAGGGACTGGCTGAACGTGTCTATTTTAACTTCTTGGTTGTCCGACTTCCATACAGTTCAATTTTCTGTCAGTTCTGGTTATTCTGTTTCTAAATTGTTGTCCCTATCTTGGTTGTGCAAGGAGGCACAGTGTGTCTATTTATGCCTTCATCTTGGCCAGAAGTCCCCTACTTTTTATTTTTGAACTAATTATAGATATTCACAGAAAGTAGCAAAAATAGTGCAGAGGATCTGTGTACCCTTCACTCAATTTTCTCCAATGGTAACATCTCATGTAACTACTTAACACAAGAAAACAACTCTGGCTGGTGTAGCTCAGTGGATTGAGCACGGGCGGTGAACCAAAGTGTCGCAGGTTCGATTCCCAGACAGGGTACATGCCTGGGTTGCAGGCCATGACCCCCAGCAACCGCACATTGATGTTCCTCTTTCTTTCTCTTTCTCCCTCCCTTCCCTCCTAAAAATAAATAAAATCTTAAAAAAAAAAAAAGAAATTACATTTAAAAAAAAAGGAAACAGATGGTGGTGCAGTGTGGAAACTTTATTCAGATTTTACCAACCTGAATTAAGTTTTGAGGGCCACTGTTTGAGTAGTAGGATATACTGGTGATTTTCACTTTTTTTCTTTGAGTTATGCATTTAAAATTTTTCTGCAATGAACACGCATCCCTTGTGTTAAACAAAGAGACTGCTTTGAAAAATTGCCTCAAGGACTCAACTTTTTCCAGTTGCTTTTGCATATATAATCTCATTTGAGACTAGCAACAACCTTTAAATGTGTAGGGCAGGGATCACTCTGTCTATTGTAGAGATGAGGAAACCGGGGCTTAGGGAGAATGACTGACTAGACTAATGAAGTATGAGGTTGGAACAAAGTCCTAGGTTTGTTGGTTTCTATACTAGTACATTTTTCATTGTACTATTGCTTTTCCTAATTCTTTTTAAAAACTTTTTTAATTTTAATTTTTTAAGTATTTTTATTAATTATGCTATTATAGTTTTCCCAATTTTTTCTCCCTTTATCCCCCCCGCCCTGCCCCCACAACCCTCCAGCATTCCTCCACCTTAGTTCATGTCCATGGGTTGTACATATGAGTTGAGTCCTCTGTTTCCTATACCATTTTTTATCTCTCCCCATCTATTTTATGCCTACTAATTATGCTGCTTCTTCCCCGCACATTTCCCCACCTATTCCTCCCTTCCCCCTCCCCACTGAAATCCTTCCACGAGATATCCATTTCTCTGATTCTGTTCCCGTTCTAGTTGTTTGCTTAGTTTTTGTTTTCATTGGTTTTCTTCTTTCTTTTAGGTTCACTTGTTGATAGTTGTGAGTTTGTTGTCATTTAACTATCATATTTTTTATCTTCTTCTTAGATAAGTGCCTTCAACATTTCATATAATAATGGCTTAGTGATGATGAATTCCTTTAAGTTGACCTTATCTGAGAAGCACTTTATCTGCCCTTCCATTCCAAATCATAGCTTTGCTGGATAGAGTAATCTTGGATGTAGGTCCTTGCCTTTCATGACTTGGAATACTGCTTTCCAGCCCCTTCTTGCATGCAAGGTTTCTTTTGAGAAATCAGCTGACAGTCTGATGGGCACTCATTCATAGGTAACTTTCTCCTTTCCCCTTGTTTCTTTTAGGATTTTCTCTTTGTCTCTAATCTTGGGTAACTTAATGATGATGTGCCTTGGTGTGTGCTTCCTTGGGTCCAACTTCCTTGGGACTCTGGGTTTCCTGGACTTCCCAGAAGTCTATTTCCTTCAACAGATTGGGGAAGTTTCCCTTCATTATTTGTTCAAATAAGTTTTCAGTTTTTTGCTGTTGTTGTTCTTCTGGCACCCCTATTACTCAGATACTGGAACATTTCAGGTTGTCTCAGAGGTTTGTAAGATTCTCTTCTCTGAATTCTTGTTTCTTCATTCTGTTCTGGTTACATGTTTATTTTTTCTTTTGTTCCACATTGCTGCTTTGAGTCCTAGTTTCCTTCCCATCACTGTTGGTTCCCCGAATATTTTGCTTTATTTCATTTTGGGCATCTTTCATTTGTTTTTTCATTTTTCAACCAAGCTCAATCAGATCAGTGAGCATTTTGATTAAAAGGGCTTTAAATTATCCATCAGATAGGTTGGCCATCTCCTCATCACTTAGCTCTCTGAGGTTTTGCTTTGCTCTTTAATTTTGGCCCTATTTCTTTGTCTTGGTGCAGCTGGTAAGTTGTAAGGGGGTGGGGCCTTAGATATTCACCTGGGCAGGGTGACCCTCCTCGCTGTGCTGCCTGTGGGGGAGGGGCCAGAAAGGGAGCAATGCAGCTAGACTGCTCGTCTCTGGCGCACGTTGCGACAGACTCTTGTGTGAGACTGGGAGCTTCTCCCACAGTAGCAACTGCTCTATCAACTCTGAGTCTCAGTTTCCCCTTAGCCCGGCCCGCCTGGTCCGCCGCCTCACCGTGGTTTTTCTCCACAGGCCAGCCTGCACGGTCTGCCGCCTTACTGGTCTGGTTGTTCTGGTTGATTTTTTCTTTAATTCCTTGGTGGCTGGAGTTCCATGCAGTTTGATTTTCTGGATTTGTGGTGGTTTTGTGATTTTAGATTGGTTGTCATCCTCTTTTTGGCTGTGCGAGGAAGCAAAGGGTTTCTACCTACACCTCCATCTTGGCCAGAACCCTCTTTTACTAGTCTTTTAAATATATTTTACTTAACAAGTAAAAAATACTTCAAACAGAAAATGACCAATGTCCCTTTTCCTTTTTATAACTACTCATAAGACGAAGTTTATGTGCATTTTATTACTATCACTTCCTACAGCATCTTCTTTGCTTCAGAAGCACCGAACTCTCAACTTGGGAAGTTTCAAGATGCTGCCACAAGTCCCTACACCTTTTGTCCCCGCTGAAGCATCTGTGAGAGGCACAGGTGCTGTCTACTCCACTCCTCAGGCCCCTCCCATGCTACCTTCTTAATGCTCCGTTTGGTCCTGAGGCCCCAGCCTCTCCGCTCTGTTTTGATGATTTCCGCATCAGGGTAGAGCCTCTTTGTAAAGCACTGGTTCTGGCAGCGGTCCCCGGCCGGGCACACCTGCGGGTGACACTCGTACTGCAACATGCGGTTCAGGCACTCGGAGTCCAAGCCGCAGGGGTTCTCGTCAGCTGGCTTGCAGTTGCAGCGGGGGATCTCCGACAGGTCTGCGACCTGGATCTGCACCTTCCCGATCACTTTGTTGGCCTGGAACACAAAACCACAAATAAGAGGGGAGATTTTAAACAGGAACATCAGAAACATCCATGCTGCTCTTGGCTGTGCTACTGCCTTGCAGTGTGACTCTGAAAAAGGCTCTTTTTCTTAATCATAATGTCCCCCATGCATAAGCTAAGAATAACTGCTTCTCCTCAGTGGACAAATATATCAAAAACTGATGTGAATTCCCACTTACCCGTTCTGAATATTTCTCCTTCTATTTGTTGATGCAAATTTCACAACTGAAAACAATTGTGAGCTGACTGGACAAAAGGGGCAACTATCTTTGTTTGCATTTGGTTGCAGGATAAGCTGGTGGAGCAGGGACGGGCTGTCCCCTCACACACGTGGCTCCTAGGTGCCAGAGGACCTCACCAAAGACCTCGTCCTCACAGCACACAGCTGCTGTGCCCGCTCCCGGCTCCCGGCTCCCATCTCCCCTGGATGCTTCCAGCAGAAGCTGTTTTACAGAAGACTGGGTGATAATTAGCAAGTTCTCACCTGTCACAAAGGGCCTTCTAACTCTAAGAGAGCACCACAGCTCATCCTGCCTGTCACACACCAATGTTTTCGTGGGTAAAGACTCACTTTGATGTGTTTGTAAGGAGGAGGTTTTCTTGAGTTTTTTTCAACCTCTATTGCTTCTTTACTTTCTCTTTGTGCTTTCAATTCCTGGAAACGCTTTGCAGCTTCTTCCAGAGCTGCCAATAAAACCAGACAAAGTATGTAAATGCCAAACAAACAAAACCATTAGCAGAGTAGTTTTACACTGCCTTCCCAATGCACTGGATCTGGCCAGAGGTTTTCTTTTTAAAATCATGTTCGGGAAATAACCACTTACCACCAGAGTAGAGTAACACTGAAATAGGACATGACTCACTTCTGGCCGAACCCTGCTCTGTGCACACGGCTGCCTCAGAGATGAGGTCCTACTTCAATGATCAGAGGCTTCCCACTGAACCCGAGAGAAGCTTTTTACCTCGCACGAGACTGAAATTCATTTTACTCTTACCCAGAAGGCCAAACTGCCTGCTAACTTGTTGCAAGAACAGTTGTAAGGCTCTTCACGGGAAGTTCTACTACTCTCGTTGCTAAGGAGCTTCACTGATCAGGAAAACCAGTTTCACAAAAATCTCTATGCCTGCGGAAAGATAACTGAAGAAACTCCTTTCACATACGTGGCAGAGCCTTCTATACTGGAAATGCACTTTTCTAATTGATTAGATTCTGATATGGGTCTAGTGGGATTAGACACTTGCGGGTGCTAGATTGCAAAGCCTGGTGGAAATTCTCCACTACCAGAAACATGTCACATGCAACTTGGAAGGTCTTGAGGGATCTACACCAGAGTCTTAGTTTTGAGCCACTGTAAACATCATCCAACTTACCTTTTTTGAAGGTCTTGTTGATGCTAGTCTGCCCGTCGGCAAAGCTTCTGTCTCCTTCGACGTAAGGGAACACTCTGCCCTGGTGCACCCAGTAGTAGTCGTGAGAACCAAAGAAGAACACAGGGAAGTCCCCCAAGTCATGCTTCAGGCCCTGGATGTTCAGGGGCACAGACCTGGGGTTGCAGATCTCTGCTGGCCACCACCTAAGAACAAAAACAATTTTATTTTATTTATTTTTAAAAGATTTTATTTACTTTTAGAGAGAGTGGGAGGGAGGGAGAAAGAGAGGGAGAGAAACATCAATGTACAAGAGATACACGGATTGACTGCCTCTCACAACTCCTGCAACTGGGGACCTGGCCCCCAACCCAGGCATGGGCCCTGACTGGGAATCGAACCAGTGACCTCTCGGTTCACAGGCCAGTGATCAATCCACTGAGCCATACCAGCCAGGGCAACAAAAACAATTTTAGATCAAGAAAATGAAAATCACACTATTCTTTACATGGCTGGCAGGAGGGAAAAAAAGTTTTATACTTTGTAGATTCTAAGGACACAAAATACCTTGTTTTCGTTTTTTTACCTTACCTTTTTACAATGTATTTTATTGAATATGGGGCACCTATTACAGTTGCCCCATTTCCCCCGTTTAATCCCCTCCCACCCACATTACCCCCTTCAGTTCATGTCCATGGGTCATATATGTAAGTTCTTTGGCTTCTACCTTTCTATACTATTCTTAATCTCCCCCTGTCTATTTTCTCCCTATCATTTATGCTACTTATTTTCTGTACCTTTTCCCCCTCCCCTGTTGATAACCCTCTAGGTGATCTCCATTTCTGTGGTTCTGTTCCTGATCTAGTTGTTTGCTTTTTTAAAAAAATATATTTCATTGATTATGCTATTACAGTTGTCCCATTTCCCCCTTCACTCCCCTCCAACCTGTACACCCTCCCTCTCCCACCCATATCCCTTTAGTTCATGTCCATGTGTCACACTTATAAGTTCTTTAGCTTCTACATTTCCCGTACTATTCTTACCCTCCCCGTCTATTTACAACCTACATTCTATGCTACTTATTCTCTGTACCTTTCCCCCGCTCTCCTCCTCCCACTCCTCTGTTGCTAACCCTCCACGTGATCTCCATTTCTGTGGTTCTGTTCCTGTTCTACTTGTTTGCTTAGTTTCTTTTGGTTTTGCTTTAGGTGTGGTTAATTTTGAGCTTCCTGTCATTTTACATGTTTTTTTTTAATCTTCATTTCTTAGGTAAGTCCCTTTAACATTTCATAAAATAAGGGCTTGGTGATGATGAACTCCTTTAACTTGACTTTATCTGAGAAGAACTTTATCTGCCCTTCTATTCTAAATGAAAGCTTTGCTGGACAGAACAATCTGGGATGTAGGTCCTTGCCTTTCATGACTTGGAATACTTCTTTCCAGCCCCTTCTTGCCTGTAAAGTCACTTTTGAGAAATCAGCTGACAGTCTGATGGGAACTCCTTTGTAGGTAACTGTCTCCTTTTCTCTTGCTGCTTCTAAGATTCTCTCATTTTTAATCTTGGGTAATGTAATTATGATGTGCCTTGGTGTGTTTCTCTTTGGGTCCAACTTCTTTGGGACTCTCTGAGCTTCCTGGATGTCCTGGAAGTCTATTTCCTTTGCCAGATTGGGGAAGTTCTCCTTCATTATTTGTTCAAATAAGTGTTCAATTTGTTGCTCTTTCTCTTCTCCTGCTGGTACACTATAATTAGGATGTTGGAACATTTAAAAATGTCCTGGAGGTTTCTAAGGCTCTCCTCGTTTTTTTGAATTCTTGTTTCTTCATTCTTTCCTGGTTGAATGTTTCTTTCTTCCTTCTGGTCCACACCATTGATTTGAGTCCCAGTTTCCTTCCCATCACTATTGGTTCCCTGTACATTTTCCTTTATTTCCCTTAGCATAGCCTTCATTTTTTTCATCTAATTTGTGACCAAATTCAACCAATTCTGTGAGCATCCTGATTGCCAGTGCTTTGAACTGTGGATCTGATAGGTTGGCTATCTCTTCATCACTTAGTTGTATTTTTTCTGTAGCTTTGATCTGTCTTCTCATTTGGGCTTTTTTTTTTTTTGTCTCAGCGCACCTGTTACATAGTGAGGGGCGTAGCCTTACGTGTTCACCTGGGTGGGGCAACACTGTCGCTGGGTTGTGATGCTGTCTGTGGGGGAGAGGTCCAAGAGGAAACAATGGTGCTTGATCCACTCTTTGCCAGTTTTCAGTCACTTCCCCCGATACCCACAAGCAAATTGGGTCCTTCTGATGCTGATTCCCATGTGGATGAGTTTGTATACATTCTAGGACCCTGTGGGTCTCTCCAACAAACTCTCCTGTGAGGCTGGGAGTTTCTTCTGCTGCCTCAATCCCCACAGGTGTTTTCAATTGGTGGTTTCAGGCTTTATTTTCCCACACTGGGACCCTGGGTTACTCGGTTGGTCTGGCTCCCCAGTTGTTCCTCCTGGTTTATCTGCATGCAAATGTGAGACCACCCACTCCACTGCCCGCTCTCCTGCTCGTCTGCCAGCCGCCGCTCTGCCACCAGTCCTCTCAGCCCGGCTGCCCGTCTCCACCCCTCCTATCGGTCTGGATGAATGTTTCTTCTTTAACTTCTTGGTTGTCAGACTTCCATACAGTTCAATTTTCTGACAGTTCTGGTTATTTTTTGTTTTTGAACTGTTGTCCTTCTTTTGGTTGTAAGAGGAGGAACAGTGTGTCTACCTAACGCCTCCATCTTGGCCGAAAGTCCTTCTTCTACCTTTAATCCTGCTTGAATCCTGCTCGAAGAACTCCCGCAACTGGGGACCTGGCCCACAACCCAGGCATGTGTCCTGACTGGGAATCAAACTGGCGACCTTTCAGTTCACAGGCCAGCACTCAATCCACTGAGCCATGCCAGCCAGAGCTATTTTAGATATTTCTTATCCAGGAATGTCTTATCTATTAATTGTTAAATCCACACCCCTCTCCACCCCAAAAGATAGAGATGTTTAATTATAAAAGCGGTGTTTCTTTTAAAAATAAAACAATGAACAAATGCGTAAGAGAAAAATTGAAAATGCCTCTCCTTGTAATCTCATGCCTCAGACTATTAACATTAGATAAATTTCTTTTCAGGCATTAAAAACATATTATACCTAGACCTATAGTTTTAAAAAACTATATAAATACATGGAAAGATAATGTGTATACTAATATGTTTTCTAAATTCAACTCTATATCATGATATCTTCCTATGTTACTTTCCAGACCTGCATTATTCTTTTATTGGCTTCAAGATACTCTACAATATGAATATACTATCATTTCTTTGACAAATCCCCTATGGATGGAGCATTTGGGTTATTTCAAATAATACCACAACGAACACCCCCCAAAATATATTTCTTGCATGCCTGTCCAATATTTTTGCCTTAGATAAACTTCTTGAAAGGGAGGTGCTGGGTCACGGAATATGTTCAGTTAAAATTTTAATGTGCGACGCCAGCCCGCCTCCCTGGGGGCACTCGCTGCCCCAAACCTTCCCCAGCCGCTAGGTTCTCTCTCTCCCATTTCTCTTTTACACCTTGGCCAATCTGTTAACCGGGGGCGGAGGGAGCTCTTTGTTATTAATGAAGATTTATTTATTTGTTTTAGTGAAGCTGGGTGTTGTTTACATGTTTATTTTCTATTTGCTATGCTTTTGCAAGCTGGCTCTTTCTCTTCTTTGTCCCTTCTTTCCTACTCAAGCTGTTTGTCTTTTCTCACTGAAAGGAGAAAAGCAAACACATTCCCCTGGTTTGACATTTGCTTTTTATTTATTTTCTTTTTTCCTTTTTCAATTTTATGTATTTTTTTTTAGAGGGAGGGAAAGGGAGGGGGAAGGGAGTGTAACATTGATGTGCAAGAGATTTATCACCGGTTGCCCCTCGAATGCCCCCAGCTGGGGACCTGGCCCCCAGCCCAGGCATGTGCCCTGACTGGGAATCAAACTGTCAACCTTCCAGTTTGCAGGCCAGCACTCGATCCACTGAGCCATGCCAGTCAGGGCTGACATTTGCTTTTTAAAAATTTATAATATGGTTTGCCACACAAAATTGTTTATGTATTTAAATTGCCTTTTTTTTTTTTTTAGGATTTGGAGATTTCCTGTCATAGGTTGAAAAAAAATTGGGTGGGGTACCCTCTCAACCTCAATGCCACTTACGTCAACTAAAAACAAAGTTTTGACTTCTGGTCCTTGACATAGAAGGAGGCATAGGTAAACACACCTCGCCCCCTTACACAACTACAGCAAAATTACAACTAGGCTACGAAACAAGTATCACCCAGAAATGTCAGAAAATTGAGCTCTATAGAAGTCTGACAATGAAGGATTTAAAGAAGCCACATTCACCCAGCTGGGCCATGCCACTAAGACACGGAGTCAAAGCAGCTCTATGTAATACACAAAAACAAACACAGGGAGGCTGCCAACATGAGGAGACAAAGAATACGGCCCAAATGAAAGGACACAAGAAAACTCCAGGAAAATAATGAAATGAAATGGAGATTAACAACCTGTCAGATGCAGAGTTCAAAACACTGGTGATCAGGATGCTTAAAGAACTCACTGGGTACTTCAACAGCATAAAAAAGACCCAGGCAGAAATGAAGGTTACATTAAGTAAAATAAAGGAAAATCTACAGGGAACCAACAGTGGAGGGGATGAAACTGAGAATCAAATCGAGAATTTGGAACATAAGAAAGAAACATTCATTCAAAACAGCAAGAAGAAAAAATAATTTAAAAAAAAATGAGGTGAGGCTGAGAAGCCTGTGGGACGTCTTCAAATGTACTAATAAAATCATAAGGGTGCCAGGAGGAGAAAAGGAAGAGCAAGAAACGGAAAATTTATTTTAAAAAATAATGAAAGAACACTTCCCTAACTTGGTGAAGGAAATAAACATTGAGGTTCAGGAAGCACAGAGACTCCCTACCCAGACTGACCCAGAGGATCTTAGCAAGACACACAACATAATTAAAATGCCAAAGGTTAAAGATAAAGAATCTTAAAAACTGTAAGAGAAAAGCAGACAGGTACCTACAAAGGAGTTTCCATGAGACTGTCAGCTGATTTTTTTTTAAAAGAAACTTTGCAGGCAAGAGGGACTGGCAAGAAGTATTTAAAATGATGAAAAGCAAGGACCTATACCCAAGATTGCTCTACCCAGCAAAGTTACCATTTAGAATTGAAGGGTGGATAAAGTGCTTCCCAGACAAAGTAAAACTAAAGGAGTTTGTCATCACCAAGCTAGTATTACATGAATGTTAAAGGGAATTATATAAAAAAGATCATAATTATGAACATTAAAATGGCAATATATTCATAACTACTAACAACTGAATCCAAAAAACAAACTAAGCAAACAACTAGAACAGGAACAGATTCACAGACATGGGGATCACATGGAGGGTTACCAGCAGGCAGGGGGAGAGGAGGGAATGAGGGAAAAGGTGCAGAGACTAAAAACCATATGTGTAGGTACAGAACAGACAGGGGGATGCTAAGAACAGTATAAGAAATGGAGAAGCCAAAGAACTTACATGCACGGCCCATGGACATGAACTAAGGAGGGGAGCAATGCTGGAGGGAATGAAGGCACCGGGCAGAGGGGGGCAAAAGGAAAAATACTGGGACACGTGTGTAATAGCATAATCAATGAAATATATTTAAAAAGAGAAAAACCGTTTTTAAAAGGTAGAAGATTTATACAATCTGAAGAGAAACCAGAGTATGAGAAAAACAGTTTTTAAAGTTAAACAGGTGAGCAGCATATTTAAAACAGAGAAAACAGCACAGCCCTTGCAAAAATACACATAAATTACAGTATGTTTGAAATTCTATAGGAATATATTTTATGTAGGATTCTAATTGAAAAGTAGAATTCCATCATGTTCTCTTTAGTATTTATTTTCTTAGTAACATGATAAACATATGCCTCAGAATGCAGAATGTACATTTTTTAAAATATATCACTATTCCTGTTTACGAAAGCTTGTTAAAAAACAGGCTTCCTAAAAGGAGAAAGTTTTATTCAAATAATAGTAACCACACATACTTCTTATTCACTCCCATAAAAACTAAAGGCTCTTAGTCCTGGCTGGTGTAGCTCAGTGGATTGAATGCTGGCCTGTGAACCAAAAGGTCACTGGTTCAATTCCTAGTCAGGCACATGCCTGGGTTGTAGGCCAGGTCCCCAGTTGGGGGCATGCGAGAGGTAACTGATTGATGTTTCTCTCCCTCTTTTACCCTCTCTTCCCCTCTGTCTAAAAACAAACAAACAAAAACAAAGGCTCTTAATGAAACTCTCTCTTTAAATTCTAAAAAACTCTCTTTGCACACAATTTAGAGCTTCTAGCCTGACCTAAAATGGACCAGATTTAGGGGCAAAGAGAATCATTTTGGCTAGGAAAAAACTTTTGGTTTTATTAGAAATCACAAATCAACATAAATCTAATTAGGACAAAAAGAAAACATCTTCCCTCTTAACCACATAAGACTTTTTATTCCAAAATCTAGTAGTACATAGTTCAATGGTATAAAATAACTTTCAGAACTCAAAAGCAAAGTCAACCAAAATATGTATGTGTTCTCTCTCTCTCTCATGTACACACAACTCGCTCACTGTCTTCCCCCCCCTCCCCGGCCCCCGGAAATAGCTCTGCTGTTCTACCTTTTCCTAGCCTGTTTGTATATAGATTATGAACCTAGGTCTGAACAATGATTGAATACTTCCTCTTTGTCCTTGGGAAAACTTGCCTGTAATTTCCCAATTTGACCCAAACAATCTGCTTGTAATGTAGTTTCTTGCCAGCTTTACAGTCATTACAATTCCAGCAGCCTTCTGGCATGTCTATGCTCAGGCATTCCGGGTGGAAGGAAGCTGGGCACGATTCACAGCAGAGCAATCTTCCACCTTGAAACAAATAAACAGTCTTAATAACTGAGAAAAGAGGAAAGAGAAGAAGAAAGAAAAAGGAGAAAGTTATCTTTTAAGTGCATTACGTTTGATTCAAATTGGGGGAAAATAACAAAGGGATGGAATCATATCTATGGCGATGGATTAAAATAGAAAGCCAATAAACAGACTTAGCTTCATCCCTTTTCAAGTTTCAGGAGGCAGAAGCTCAGGTTTTGAATAGGAAAAGAAACATTACTATACTCCTTACCCCTGTAAAATGTGGCTGTTGAGATATCAGTTTAGTAGGAAGCTAAAACCCTTAATACATGACAAAATGGTTGCATGAAATCTTTAGACAGAGTGGATTTGAGAGCAGATTTTCAAAGAAATAATGTAGCAGCTTACTTTCTTGTCTCCTTGAGAGCTAAGAAAGAACGCAATGGTCATCTTTGTATTTTAATCCAGCGCCACAGTCGACTATATCCCTTCATAATACAATTAGCAAGAATGAAAACAGGCAGTAGGCTGATCAGTCCTTTTTCTTCCCGCAAAAGAACACGAAAAAGCAAAAGGGTTGCACTGGCTCAAGCTGGTGAGGACGCAGGTCATCACCTTCTCAGGGAAGATACACACCAAACAGGCTATAGAGCAGTGGTTTGCAACTTTCTCATCACTGAGGGTCCCTTTCCCTTTCCCTTTCCTCACGGACCTGTATGTTTTCAAATATTTTATCAACCCAAATGAAACCCAAATCCATGCATTTTAAAAGTAATATTTTTCCTGTTTTTATTAACCAAAAAAATATTTAACTACCAATCCAAGCTTCTGAACCCCATTAACAAAACTAGCATTATCACACTGAATTGTTTAAATCACAGCCAAATATAAAGAAACTCATGCAGCTTTAGTTTGCATAAATGTGTGATTCTGTTAGATTTTCTGAAATATTAGACATAGTTCAAAAACTTTGTTTACATAAGCCTTTTCTAACTTCATATTGAAAACCACTGCTTTATAGCATACAATTCAGTAAATTATAGCAGTGTAGAATGAAGTACCATACGTGAGGAGATCCCTCCAATTTCCCTAGCAAAATCCTCTCCTTATAAATACACAAAATGATCTCTGGATTAAGACCAAAACCGGTGTGGCAAACAAAACAAAATATTACTAAACGCAAAGAAATGAAAAAGATTTGGTGGGGCGGGGGATAGGTATTTGTAACAGGTATTTCAACAAGTGACAAAGAAGGATGTTAACCACTGAAGATGAAACATGATAAAGACATCTACTGCAAAAAAAAAATTCATCTTCCCATCGGAAAATCAGGTCTATAACCCACAAGTTCACTAAGATTTAAAGCCTCATAAGCTAAAGGTTAGGAGTCCTCTATACAATTTTATCAAATCACATGCTCCAACCTTTTGAGGGTTTGCTATCAATTTTCCAGAAAATCTTGTATTACTGCAGACTTTCAAACTTCTAACTGATTAACATAAAAACAAAAAGAAAATCCATATGCAATCAGTGATGAATTAAATTACTATATTTCCTCTGCTTAAAAGCTTTTACTTCAATCATTGGGATTTTTCCCTTTGTCTGCAAATCTCAATAGGGACTAATGGCTCCAATTCTCCAACCTACAAACTAGCTGTCTGATGCTCTTAGACTAGCTAAGGAATTCTTCTGTCAGTTTAAACTAAAATGAGATCATCTATTTTTTTTCCAACAGAAAGAAATGCACAATAGGGGGAACAGCCTTTGCAAATGGCTTTTAGAGGACATGCGACTATTCGAGCTGATGTGGCAGAGTCAGACCGGCCATTTTTAACATAATATAGTCCTGAGTGCTAAGTCTTACTTCAGAGGAAATACAGACTGAGAATCATCAGTGAAAATCATCACGATTTTTTGACAAAAAATAATACACAAGGGAAATAGAAAAGTAAATATATGAACAATCCACCTTGGTGCTATGCAAGGAAACTGCTTTAGGGTGCAAAAAGAAATGGTTCAACCTAAGCAAAAGCAGGGCTCAAAATAATTTCACTTTATTCAAAGTCAATACTGAGTACTGAAAACAAAGTAAGCAACAATTGAATTAATCTAATTTTAAAGGCAACAGCAGGAAAATAAGGCATTTCCTAAGATGCTTCAAGTAGTCGAATTTTATTGTGTTCTGGAGGTAGACTGATGCCCTTTGTTTTGGAAGTAGGTGTCAGCAGTAAGGTGACATACTGTGACTTCAATGGAAATCAAACAAACAAAAAACTTAATACCTCTCCAAACTACTTTTCCAGACTGTAATCAGCTTCTTAGTTATACTTTCTTTTAAGTTATAGGTTGCCACTTAAGAATTCTGATAGAGCAAAGATACATCAAGCAGGCAACTCGAAGGAAAACAAAACAAAACAAAATGCCCACCTCCAATCCAGTGTATTAGGTATGAACTAACTTTTCTCTAAAGGATCTGAAACTGGCTCCAAGATCCTAATGGGAATGTGTATAGGAAAAGGCTTTCACCTTGCAGGTTATTTGTTTTACCTGCTGAGATAGTAACTTCCCAAATAATACATGATTGTTAAACCACTTTTTATTTTTATTACATATATGCTATGTAAAACTAAATACAAGATAAGACTTTCTTCCACAGACTATGGGAGAATATAAATATACATTTAGCTTCTGACTCTCCGTGGATCAATTATCCATTAGCAGTTTTTCAGCTCACCTGGCTTCCTTTTAGCTCACCTGCCTGCAGTGTTTGGGGTACCTCCCCAGCTGCCCACTAATGTATCCTAGGAGAAGGGCAACTCTTTTCATAGTATCTTAACAAAAACAGTTAAGAAACAAAATGATAGAATGTACTCTAAAAGCACATATTTAAGTAACAGTATCTTGGTTTCCCTCTGTTTAATAATGTTGCTATTTAGTTGAAAGTTAGTAACAAATTACATTGTATCGATTGTATTCTAATATGAAAGGTAGTTCTACATCAGGCAAAAGAGAAAGAGCCTTTTGAATATTCTTCTGTATTAAGCAAAATCCTAGTCTTTCAACTTTAACAACCTGTATATATACGAAATGTGTGAAAATTTGTTCAAGGAGAAGAGTGAGTGAAAATTTGTAATGGAATTATTTTAAGCCCTTTTTAATAGTTTTGCAGCTGTATGAAGATAGTCACAACCACCAAGGCAGAATTGACTGAAAGCAACAGATGGTGCTTGACAGGCATACATTCCCCCCTTCATTTAGAAAGAAAAAAATAGGAAATGCAAAAATAAAAGCAAGAGATAAACTATTTTGATTTTTACCTTTCTCACATTTCTTTTTGGAAGCTGACGAAGAAGGAATCATAGGTAATTTCATCAACTCTGCACGATTTGATTCATTCAGTAGGTAGTGGGACTTATAGGCATAGGAACTGAACATGGGGTCTGAATGGTCCTGAACTATCAGCCCTATACGAAACAAACAGAAAGAGATGAGCTGCAATGAAACTACCCATGATTCCATGAGGAGAAAAAATAAACCAATACCTATAATGTAGCTGGGCTTAAAGTTGGGAAGCATAAAGAAAGTATGAAGAAAAAGAAAGATCTGACAGAAAAATCTTTCTATAGTTATTAAAAGGAGTTTAAGTGACTCAATGCCCTATCCCTATACAGAAACCTATATACCTAGAAGCAAACTCCAAATTAATCTGAAGGTATAAACTACATTTGATATCATACAGAAAACTCCCTAAGAAAAATAAAGCTACATTCCTTAATATTTAGAAGTACTAAGATGACAATCCAGAGGACAAAATAATGTATCACTTAACCGTTAGAAATAAGAATTATTTACAAAACACAGTAGAGCCTGATCTACCTTCCATGTATTAAGTAGCACTTACAGGAAGAACTGTTTCTCCTTTCTGTTCAGATCTTCAGATATTTTAAAATAGATTCTAGCTTTCTCTGCCAGATAATGAAGCTTTTCTCTATCAATACGGTATCAATTTTAAATTGGCCATAATTTGTTGAACTTTGAGGAGGTAATATAAACCATTTAAATTTTTTTCCTTGCCATGACATAAAGTGATTATCAACTTAACAGTTTATAAAAAACAGTACTTTTGATCTACTAATACAGCTGTCCTATTTGGAGGGAAACATAAAATCTGCTCTAACCCATTTGTGGCATCGACTTCTCTTCACCCTCCCCACCCCCTTCCCCTAGCCAAGCTCACCACACAGCGACAGGCCGTTGCTAAACCTGGGAGCTCTAAGCCCTAAGGGAAAATCTCTATTTGGTTACTGGTCAGTTTATAATGATCTAGGACTTGATAATACAAACCACAACAGCAGTTCACAGAGATCATTTTGAGAAGAGGAAAGAGTTTTGTTTTTAAAGGGGATACCGTTTATTTTTTTCTGTGAATGTTATCTTCATTTGGCGCTACCCTGCACTGGGACAGATTTGAGAAATAGCTCTGATCCAGATGACAGAACAGAATTGAAATTGCTAATTGGTAATAATATAAGAATCTTTGAATAAAAGTTACATAATGTCAAATGAATTTCATTCATTTAATAGCGAGAAGTGGTGCAGTATTAAAAACATGGGTTTTGAAGTAAAAATCAAGTACACATGCTGGCCCCTCTACGTAACAACTTGTGTTACCTCCAAGTAAATGATTTCATCTGGGCTTCAGTGTTCTCATCCACATAAAATGCAGAAACAACTCCTTAGGGCAACTGTGGCAATACATTCAAATAGTATCTAGTAAAGTTTGATTTACAGATGCAAAATAAATTGCTATTATTATTAAAGATAAAAGGAAACCCTAATCTAGCTTCTCCACTCAAAGTGACTGTGACAGCCCTGGCTGGTGTGGCTCACTCAGCCGGCCACGTGCTGCTCTGCAAAGCGAAAGGTAAGAGAGTTGCTGGTCAGGGCATGTGCCTGGGGTGCGGCTTGGTCCCCAGTCAGGGCACGTAAGAGAGGTAATGAGAGGCGTAAGAGGCAACCAGTCAATGCTTCTCTCCCACTCTTTCTCCCTCCCTTCACCCTCTCTAAAAATAAATAAATAAAAATCTTCAAAATTACCATTACAAAGAAAGGCACAGAAATTAGCTCACTATTATTGTACACTACCCTCCCAATGAAAGGTGCTAAATATACAGGGGTGGGTAAAAGCAGGTTTACATAATACAACAAATAATACAATAATTAATAAGTAATAAGTAATAATACAAGAATACACTGTTTCGCACACTCACAGGTGTAAACTTACTTTTTCACACCCCTGCACACTACACTGAAATAGGACTGAACATTTCCCATGGCACCACGGGCAGGGCAAAGAAGGAGCAGTGTTCCTCTAAACCTTGAAACATTTCTAGATAATTATATCTTTAAGAATTAGCTTAATGGTTTTAAACAGCAATAACCAAGAAGTAAGAAAAACTAATGGAGGCAAAAAACAAAACCAAAACAACCTAAGTTTTCTAATACCAAACACACCGTATTCTGCCATGTGTAATGAGCTCCCGTGTATAAAGTGCACCCACATTTCTGCACACATTGTACATGAGATTATTATGCCCATGTATAATGTGCTTCCTTATTTTTCCCTCAAAAATCTGTCCAAAAGAGTGCACACTACACACAGCAAAATATGGCAAATGATTAAAGTATTCCTTTTAATGAGTGGATTTATTATAATTAGGTCCCTTTTATTAGGTCTCCTTAAAAAGGAGACCTCCATAAATAATTAATAAAGATCACATTTCTGAGAAACTTTTAAGCTTTCTTAAATTCCAGTATTTGCTCTATATAGATTAAGTTTCTGTAAAATTCTGGAAAGGAAAATGAGTTTCTGTTTACTGGACAAAGTTTCAGTTAAAATATTTGGTAATTAAATAATCTTGCTTAAATAGGCATTTAAATACAGTAAGTCTTTAGAACTTCCAAACTGGTAAGATGAAAATATAGATCCTTTTATTAAAACATGGGTTTTTCCTTCATTTACATTATCCCAGACTTTTAATCAAGGCATGTAAGTTAAACTTAACAAAATGGCTAAATTTTCTACAAAACTAGGTCCCTTGACAATGGGCTATTTTCTGACAGTGTTAAATTGAAAATACCTTTTAAAAGTTTCCCAATTATTGAATGAAATAGAGCCAAAGAAAAATATTGGTTAATATGCTGATGGTACTTGATTCAGAATGTACTCCAGAGTAAGTCAACATGAGAGTTAAAACTTGATATTTAAATTGCTGACCTAGTTATGCACGCACACGTGCCACACAGAAGCACACATGCCACATAGAAACACACACACACACACACACACACCTCTAGTAAAACAGAGTAACAATACATGCCTAGATTGGTAGAATAAAATACTAACAAAGTGACAGAAACTTTAAGCTCTCATTGGCACTCATCTATTTAGAGGTCTCTAAAGCCAGCCACTCAATTGGTGAAGTCAGTATTTCCATCCTATCATTACTTTCTTAGGGAGGGGGAGATGGAAGAGGCACTAGTGCTAACTTTATTTCTTTTGACTATGTGAACGTTTCAGTCACCTGTTACAATGCAGCATGAAACATTTCAGACCTCCGCCACGCCACGCCAGTACCAGCCAGGCTTCAGAGCAGGATACAATTATACAATCGTTCTAGTAAAGAAGGACACAGTGCTTCCCCTCTAATGGCAACAACCCCTAGTGCTTACAAAACCTAGACATACTGAAAACAGTGTATACAATGGACTCAAATGGCTGCTACAAAAAGGACTACCATTTATTTAACCTTTTACTGCCCATATCCTCTAGTTATTATTTTTAAAATGAGAGCTACCAAAGCAAAGTAACTCAAGATCTATCATACTGCCCACATTCTATTAAAAAAATACTATTAAAAAAGTACTTTCAGCAAATTAAAAGAATTGTCTCCTATAGCAAAAAAAAAAAAACAAAAAACAAAACTAAAACAAAAACCAAAACCTCATCTTCAGTACAGTCTAAAGAAGTTCTATTTTATATTTATCATGAACTCAAGTTCACTGACCCCTCAAGGACACGATATTGTTTTTAGTTGATCAACCTCTTGGCACACCTAAACATCAACAGCCTGCATTGCTGGCTCTGAACTAACCCCACCACACATGCTGCCTTGGCTGCATCCCATCAGGCCTTCCTCAACGCCCGACCGAAACATGATAAAACACAACATAAACGATTAAGAAATAAATGTGCTTGGTTTGCTTGCCAAATGGAATCTCAATCAGCTGCAAGCTCTGAATTAAAAAATATGACATGGAAAGATCTACTTTGAATGGAAGAAGTTTGCAGAAGGAAATAGACTGATCTTTTGATGCTCCAAGCAGAAATGCTAAGAACTTATGTGTGATTCTAAGTTACTTAAAAATGCAAACTTTAGCCTAGTTTATAGAATTAATATTCGAACAATTTGAATGCCTGATGTGACATTAGAGACTAGTTACTGAAAGTGTTCATCTCTCTCAGGGATATTACTGAAACTCTATTTTTATGGGGAAATAGGCCCATGAACTCAGGAAGAGATAAAGAGAAAGGATGGACACTTACCTCTTGCACAAACGAAACAAAAGCCTACATTTACAGCAGAGGATGAATTACTGCTGCGTTTGGAATGATTACTACAGATGAGAATGTAGGAGGACACAAATATGCTTCCGGCAGCAATGCAAGCATCTCCCGAGTGATAGGCTACTGGACATCTCAAACATCGCATCATGCGACCTGTTTAAAGACAAGTCAGAAAGGATCTACGTAATAAGGCATTAGCTGGGTACATACGTTGAGGTTTTTGGAGTTGGGTTCTTCTGGGTTCCCATGTGATGTTGATTAGAGTAAGATAAAACTATTTTTCTTCCCCAGTTGGACTGTCACTCCTACGCTGTATGGTCCCTAAACACAGTACCCACCTGGAGACCAAAGAAAAATTCGTCTGCGCCAATGCTGGAAGAGATGGTGGTCTCCAATGGCAACTGTTTAAGGAATTTTCAAGGGTAACTTTGAACATATGGGATATTCTTCTCATGGTCTGAATTAGAACCCAATCCCTACTTATAACACTATCTATTGCAGCTGAGCTAGGGTATCTGTAGATGGACAGAGAGAATGCCTGATGTTCTTTAATCACGTGTTTATTATTTGCTACTGAACTTAAAAGAAAAAACCCTCTGTTCCCTGCCGTAGCTCTGTCTTACCTTTACTTGCTTTGTGGATGTCTTTCTCCATTGAGCAGGCAGAGCAGCAGTGCTGGGGACAGCGGAATCCTTTTGGCTCAAAGATGGCAGTGGGGAATTTGCGGACACAGGCCTCATGATAAAATTTCCCACAAGCACCAACAGAGCAACGCTTCACCTCTGTACCAGACACCTTACATGAGAAACACGGGTGTTGCCCTGGAACACGGATGAGGGACAGAGATCAAATAAAAGCTGGTTAAAGCATATTCCTTAAAATAGATGCAGCTACTGACATCAAAACTGAAAATAGCTAAATTAAAATACCACTTAATAAATTTTGTTAGAATGGTTGATTTACTATGATAACTGATTGGAAGATGTAGCATTAAAAATAATTTAGATCTCCACTTTTCATTCTACACTAAAATTATTTCCACAGGAAACCCAGAACACAATTTTTCAGTATCCAAGAGCTGAGAGTGGCAAGGTTTTCCCAAAACAGAAGAAATGAAAGAAACTACAAAGACAGATTCCATTAGATACTGGCAATCACTTAAAATGTCCCAAGGGTAAGATGAAAATTCATAATCTCAATTAAAAAAACACAGAAAATTATAGTTAGACATTATTCAAACTATACAAAATCAAGGACAAAAAGAAAATATTAAAATTAGCCACAGAAAAGACAATTACCTTCAAAGAAGCTAAGAGCTTACTGAAAGAGAAAAATGGAAACCAGAAAATAATGGGATGTTATCTTCAAAGGGCTGAAAGAAAATTGTTAACAGGCCAGAATTCTATACGCCATGAAGATACTCTTCAAAAATGAAATGACATTAATATATATTGGGAAGGATTAAGAAGAACAAAAGCTGTTCCTTTGAAAAGGATTAATAAAACTGATATTTTTGGTAACAGTGACTAAATAAAAAAAGAAAAGCAGTAATACATGTTAACAATACCAAAAATTTAAAAATGATACATCTCTATAAATCTGTCAAAGATAAAAAGATAGTAAATGGAAATCACTACATTTCTGCCAATAAATTGGAAAATTTAGATGAACAGATTACTAGAAAAACAGAACTTACTAACACTAACAGAAAAATGAATAGAAAATATGATTAGTTATATAAACTATTAAAGAAATGAAACCACAATTAAAAACCTTCCAACAGAGAAAACTTTAAGCCCAGATGACTCCACTGGTCAATCTGCCAAATATTTAAAGGAAGAAATAATGCCAATTAGAATAGAAACAAAGAAGAAAGAAGAAAAAGACAAACAGATGTGGAAAAACATATTCAACAAAGATGACAAAGGATTGTTTTGTTATAGAGAGCTCAAATATAGTGAGAAATATACGCAACATATATAAGCAAAGATAGCTAAACAAGACTTATAAAGAACTATCAACCAAAACAGGAACACAACAGCCTAATAAAAGTGGGCAAAAGGAATGAAGGGACAATTTACAGAAAGCAGAAAGAAAGCCAGTAAACATGAAAAAATGCTCAACTTCACTTGTAAAACCACAAGTAACATATTAAAACTTCATCAACAGGAAAAAACTTCAAAAGTCTGATAATGCCAATTGCTGATCAGGGTGTAGGGAAAAAGAAACTCTTATATACTACTGGTAGAAGTTTAAGTTGGAAGGAACTAGCTTGGAAGAAAACAAAGTAGTATCCTTTTTTTTAAAGTACATATGTTCACTTTCTGTGGCCTAGAATTTCTACCTCCTGCTCCCTACATTAGGATAGACTTGTACATGTGAAGGAATGCTGACTGAGCACGTTTGTAACTGCAAACAACTGAAAGCAACCCAAACGTCCTTCAATAGAGGAATAATTTTAAAAAACTATAAAAAAATCAATCTGCAGAACAATGGCATGATACATTTTTATTACAACACGCATAAAAATGGTACGCACATACAAACATGCATGCACACACAGAAGATGTGCAGTGCTGCCCACCGACTGGTAACAGTGGTGACCTCTGGTGCTGCCTAGAGTTAAGCAGGAGCCTAAACTAGGAGTGACGATCTAGCGGTACCTTCAGCATGTGCTACGACAATGATGTTTTCACATCATATTTATGTGTTACTTGTGTAATTAGATATAAATTTAAAACACTAATAACTTTAACACTGCAATATACAAATAGAAAAGACACATGAATAAGATCATTCACAAGAGTCAATGAAAATACAAAAAAAAAGTTTAGCTGTAATCAAAGATCTGTAAATTATAACAACATTTTAATTATTTATTTGTTTTGTCGTTCTGTGAAGATAATTGTCTTTTTGTGGGTAATTTTAATGTTTTCTCTTTGTCCTTGACTTCCTACACTTTAAGTGACACATCTAGCTATAATTTTTTGCCTTTTTATTAGGATTATATGTTTTCATTTTGTACCTGTTTTACATATGAAAATTATAAGTGATTATTTATTGGTCATTTGGGTATCATCGTTGGGGAGTGTTCAAGCCTTTTGCCTATTTTTCTTAAACAGTTTTTTTGTTTTGATTTTTCACAGAAAGTGAGATTTTGTTTCAGAAGCATTAAACTTTGTAAGTTGGATAAATTATAAAAATTCTTCAAAAATCAGTGCCTATAATTGTGATGTTCACTTTTTTTTATTACTGGCTTTGTTAGAGAAATAAAGTTCAGCAGGAAATTTTGTTGTCCTGTTGCAGAGATATAATTTCAAATTATATTTTATAATGTATACAGATATAAAAGCAATAGTATTATTTGAAAAATAACTTTCAGAATTGAAGAAAAAAAGATTAGGCCCTGGTCAGGTTGCTCAGTTGGTTAGAGCATCATCCCAACATGCCAAGGTTGCGAGTTTGATCCCTAGTTAGGGCACATACAAGAATCAATTAATGAATGAGTGAATACAACTAAGTGGAATAACAAATTGATATTTCTCTCTTTCCTCCTTCCCCTCTCTCTCTAAAATCAATTTATTTATTTATTTATTAAAACATTTATTTATTTATATTTATTTTTAGAGAGGAAAGGGAGGGAGAAAGAAAAAGAGAAACATCAATACATGGTTGCTGGGGGCCGTGACCTGCAACCCAGGCATGTGCCCTGGCTGGGAATCGAACCTGCGATACTTTGGTTCGCAGCCCACACTTAATCCACTGAGCTACACCAGCCAGGGCTTCTAAAATCAATTTTAAAAAACTTATTTTAAAGATTAAGAGGTCTGACTTTACACTTTGCCTAATGCAAAAACTGCTCTATGTAAAAATCAGTCTTTTACTTGCAAATTGATCAGAGTAAGTCTAACAGAAATGAAAACTGTTGTAACTAGAAATACTGTTGTATTAATAGAGAGATGAACTATCAAACTCCTTTAATACTTATGTTTCGAGCTCTAGCGTGTGAATGCTACCAATAGCCTCCCTTCTCACTAGGTCATCGTCTTTATCTATCTAGAATAAGTAAATAGTAAGATTGGCGGTTACACATTTTATTCAAAAGGGAAAATGAAAATACTTTCTCTTCAGAAATCACGTTTGTCTTAAATGATAGAAAGCGGTAGTATAAGAACTTATTAGGCATGTAGTATCTTGTAGTATATTTTACATGTAAAGTGTTTATCTTTTGATAAAGAGAAAGAAAACTTCCTAGATGATCTTAAACAATGGTTTAAAGAATCTGAGTGTTCACTCTTTATGTTAGAAGTGTACCAGATTAGTATCAAACTAACTTTAACATGATAATAAATAAGTCAAAGGCAATTTAGTAAGTAAATAAAGCACACAGGGGTTAAGGGCACCGGCACCCCTCCCCAGCTGAAAATCTGCATATAACTCTCCACTCCCCCCAAACTTACCTTCTCATAGCCTACTGCTGACCAGAAGCCTTACCGATAACATAAAGTTGGTTAATATGTATTATATACTGTATTCTTACAATAAAGCTAGAAAATGTTAATGAGAAAATCATAAGGAAAACACATTTATAGTACTATACTGTATTTACTGATATTGTATGTTTACATCACCTGTGCACAAGAATCAGCTGTCAGTACCTACATCAATATTACCTTACATGATACGAAACCCTGTATGTTATATACATTACTAACATTAGACATCAAAAGTGAAAGATAATGTGAAAAAGAAATTCATACTTATTTACAGATGTAATAATCAATGCACTGATAACAAAAAAGCAGCAATACAATTGCTTCATTCTAGCCTAGTATAACCGACGTGACTGCTTCGTGGCAGTCAGGACACCTGCCCCCACACTTCTAATGGACAGCATTTACTGGAAACACTACCTGCATGTTAAGTGGACTCATAGGTGAATCCTGTGTTGTTCAAGGATCAACTGTAATGATTTTTTAAATTGTGGTTAAAATATATAACATAAAATTTACCATTTTAACTATTTTTATGTGTGACATTAAGTACATTCACAGTATTTTGCAACCATCACCACTACCCAACTCCAGAATTTTTCATCACCCCAAACTGAGACTCTAACCATTAAATGTTAACTCTCCACTCCTCTCCCCACTAACTGCTGGTAACAACTGTTCCACTTTCGGTCTCTATGAATTTGGTTGCTCTAGGTAACTCACGTAAGTGGAATCACACAATATTTGTCCTTATGACTGGCTTTATTTCACCCAACATAGTATCTTCAAGGTTCATCCACGTTGTAGTATGTATCAGTTTTATTTCTTTTTTAAGCTGATATATTCTGTTGTTTATTATTCCACATCTTATTCATCCATTCATTCATCCACTGATGGACATTTGAGTTGTTTCCACCTGTTGACCACTGTGAACAGTGCTGTAATAAACATGGGTGTACCAATGCCTGTTTGAGTCCCTCCTTTCAACTCTTTTGGGTATACCCAGGAGTGAAATTGCTGCATCACACAGTAATTCTAGATTTGATGTTTTGCAGAACTGTCATACTGTTTTCCACAGTATTTATACCATTTCACATTCCCACCAACAGTGCACAACTGTTTCAAGTTCTCTGTAACCTGTTCTTGTGATAATAGCCACCCTAATAGGTGTGCAGTGGCATCTCATTGTAGTTTTGATTTCTATTTGCCTGAATACTAATGAATGATGCTGAACATCTTTTCAGGTGCTTATTGGGCATTTGTAGGTCTTTGGAGAAATGTCTATTCAAATTCTTTGCTTAATTTTCAATTGGGTTATGTGTTTTTTGTTGACTTGCAGGAGTTCTTTATGTATTTAGGATATTAATTCCTTGTCAGTATGTTATTTGCAAATATTTTCTCCCATTTTTAAGAGACTTTATTTATTCATTTTTAGAGAGAGAGGAAGGATGGGAGAAAGAGGGGGAGAGAAACATCAATGTGTGGTTGCCTCTCATGTGCCCCTACTGGAGACCTGGCCTGCAACCCAGGGATGTGCCCTGACTGGGAATGAACCAAGGACTCTGGTTTGCACGCTGGCGCTCAGTCTGCTGAGTCACATCAGCCAGGGCTATTTTCTCCCATTTTGCAGGCTGCTTTTACACTCAGTTGACAGTGTCATTTGGTGTCCACAGTTTTTAATTTTGATAAAGTCCAACTTCTTTATTTTTTTTCTTTTGTTGCCTATACTTTTGATATCATAGCAGGAAATCACTGCCTAATCCAATGTCACAAAACTTTTCCTTTATGTTTTCTCCTAAGAGTTTTCAAGTTTTAGCTCTTATGTTTGATCTCTGATCCATTTTGAATTGTATTTTGCATATGGTTGTTAGTTAAGGGTCCAATCTCTTTCTTTGACATGCGGATATCCAGTTTTCCCGGCACATTTGCCGAAAAGTCTGTCCTTTCCCTATTGAATGGCCTTTGTATCCTTGTCAAGAAATCATTCAACTGTATATACGAGGGTTTATCTCTGGACTCCTTGTTCTATTCTAATGTGTTATATGTCCGTCTTTATGCCAGTATCGCACTGTTTTAATTACTGTAGTTTTGTAAGTAAATTTTGAAATCAGGAAGTATGAATCCCCTTTGTTCTATGTGATTGTTTTTAAAACAAATTTCTCTCTTACAGCTCTTAGTAAATAGATGGATATCAAATTAAATTATATCCAACCTTTGTTGGCAGAATTCAGCTGAATTCTAGAGTTCGGACAGAAGCCTCAAAAGAATGTTTTAATAGTGAGCTACACAGTCCTTCCTAACAGTCGTCTGAATCAGAGATTGTAAACGTAAGTGCTTAGCAGGGCCGGACAGGTTACATAAGTGACTGGAATGACAGGGCTTTAGGAAGAAGGGATGGCAGGGACTGTGAAGAACCAGGAGTACGTGCCTGATCCACGTTCACACATTCAAAACCCACTGTGAGGGCCAACTAAAACAATGTGCAGATGATCTGACCCTGAGGCTGCCCGGTGGCAAACTGTTCAAAAGTCTTATTGCAGAATCTAAGTGTGATGAAGTAATATTTTATATAGGGAAAGTGCTATATGTTTAAAAGTTTTTATGGCCTAATTTTTGCACATGTATGTTTGTAAGAATTCAGACTACATATGTTTAAGAATATATGATACATGTTCTCCATTCTACTTAGCCAAGGTGGTAGAAGGCAATGGTAAACAGCAGGGATTCTCAGGGCAAACTGCCTCCTCAGTTTACATGCCAGTTTCATCACATAATGTTTTTGTGACTTTGGGCAAGGTACTAAACTTTCTAACCTCGGTGTCACCCTCGGTAAAATGAAAATAATAATAGTACTGACCTCACTTATGTTATGAGGATAAAATGAGACACTAAGATAAACTGCTTAGCACTAACATCACCTGGCCTGTATTAAGTGTTTAGAAAAAAAATGACCATTCTAATGGAATTTAACATATGTAAATGATTTTAGGAGGCATGCAATCAAATAAAAATGATAAAATATCTATGAGAATCCAAATAAAAAAGAGTAGAAAAATGAAGTGCCATGGGTAAGATCAGCATATCATAAACACTTGATATCCAGGTCCCCCTAGCAAAAAACAAAACAGAAAACCTTACGAATGTGCTTCCTGGACACACAACCGTGACATCACTAGTGGATTTCCCACTCGCCGTGCTACAGATTAAACAACTCCCTGCTTTCCATGACTTTTACTAGAATCTTGGCTACACAGATAAGAAATATAAACTTGCATATTTCTTTCTCTATAAATTATTTTGATAGGTGGTAGTCTGTATTTGGTGGGGGAGGGGATAATTAGAAATAAATGGTGAATCCAGAACTCGCATGTTTTAAAAACCATTTCTCGTAGCTCTACCTTTCCACTAAAAATACTATCACCATAGTTACATTTTGCAATTGATACTTATTCCAGTCTATTAAAGTCAAGGCACTTTAAACCAATGTATTAAGCATAAAAATCTCAAGCCCATTTGAAAAATAATTCACTCTACATACTTTGTATAGCTGTTTAGATCAGATACAAATACATCTCAATGATTTGATAGATTTTATGATTAAGGCACTGGCAGGGGGAAATTTGACAATATTGCTAACTACTCTTTGATTTTAAGAAGCTTAAACACTACATGGTCTTAATTTGTTGAAATACCTTTGGGAGAAAAGAGCTACATAATAGTGGTAAGAAAATTAGATGTCATGAGAGATGCTGGCATTGTGCATTCCTCCCCATCTGCCTTTTCAAATCTACTGAAGTCAAGTCAGCTTACCGGTTTTACATTCCATGCAGACGAATTTCCCATCAGGGAGCGATGGCGATCCCAGGCACTCCAGGTGGAAGTATTTGTAGCACTCTCCCTCACAAGGAATCAGAGAGTCACCAGAGCTTTCACAGATCTGTAATACAGCAAATGGCAGTGCATCTCAGAGGTTAGCAGGCGTCAGAATCACCTGGAGAATCAGCTGTCTCTGACAGTTTCTGACACAGTAGGTGGCGGCCGGGGGCGGGGGTAGGGAGGGAGGGACGAGGACAAGAATCTGCATTTACAGCAAGTATCTGGACAACGCTGATGCTACTGGTCCTGGGCCCTCACTGTGAGAGCCACTAAACTAGGTAACTATTTCCACATCAGCATGGTATAAAGTCTAAAAGTCATACTTAATCTTGTATGATTTCTTCTTTGGAATCTAGGTACTTCCACTTTTCTTCACACGGCAAAGCAGTATTATTCAGAAAGGGAAAATATACATTAAAAACTTAATACCAACTTAATTATAGGAAAATGTTGCTGAAGCAGTCACCTGCCATGCACTTCCATTTCATGACAGTGAAGACTGGCACCTGCACGCGCGTGTAAGCGCTCCAAACTCAGATGGGGAAAAGAGCCCGGGATGGCTTTTAGATCTGTGGCTCTAAAGGAATATCATAACTTAGAAAGACATTGACCTCTCCAACGGGAGGCAAGTGTACTGTTGGCAGAATGTGACAGCAATTCTTTCAAGCTATAGGATATGTCGCTTGCCCACCTGACACACAGTGTCCTTCTTACTCGTCCCAAAGCCTCTTCTCGACAAACTGGAGTCCATGGACTGCACATCAGAAGCGTCTACATCTGCAGCCGCTGAAGGGCTATCTACTTGCTTTCCAAAGCCTACCTACATGGAAAACACAGCACAGTTTTAAGAAAAAAAACAAAAATTTCCTCAAAGACATGCCCTTGCCAGGTAGCTCAGTTAGTTAGAGCATCATGCCGATACACCAAGGTGGCAGCGGTTCAATCCCTGGTCAGGGCACATACAAGAATGAACCAATGAATGCATAAATAAGTGGAACAGCAAATCAATGTTTCTGTCTCTCTCAACTCAATAAATAAAAAAACATTTTTTAAAGGACTTAAAAAAACATTTCCTTAAAGTTAGGTGCTATGAAAATCCTAGTAGGAGTTGCTCAAATGAATCTCGATACTACATCTTCTTCCTTCCTTCCTAAAATACCTGGATACCATGTCTGGTGTTCTGAGAGAAACTCGAGTAAAAATTAAAAAACAAAACAAAAACAAATTGTACTTTTGTTATGTAAGAGATCAGCAAAATTAAGACACTTATTACAACATAACCAAAATGATTTCTTTACTACGAACATTTAAAAATCCCCCATCTTCCCCAAATAAGTTGGGTAAAGCAGTAGGTATATTAATCGGTTTTGCAAAGCAAAAAGAGAGCGCTGTGCTCAGACCCTCGAACATATTTACCTGCACGTCACTCAGGCCTCTAGAATCGGAGTCGGATGTATCTCTGTATGCTGAACTAGTCATTTCTACATCCGTGGAGGCGCGACTCCTTTTCTTTAGAGGTTTACAGGAATCTGAAATCTCGCTGGCACCTTAATACAATACACCGAAATTAATCCTAAAATAGTACTCAGTTTGTTTTCTTAATTTTTTTTGTGGGGGAATATTTTCTTTCCCCAAACTCATCTGTAGTGTGAAAAAGCACAGCTCTCATTGTAACACTGAAGTCACAAGTCAAAACTTCATGAGCTTCTGACTTTTTTGACGGTGATTTAATTTATAACCGCTCTATTACAACATTTAATTCAGTGCTTCTGCTCTACAGCTCTTTTCAGTCAACAGAGCCCGAGTTCCAACCTAAAAACCAATTCTAGCAAAACTGCAGGACAGCTGACTGTTTGGAGCAATCCAAAGAACCACTCAATTTGGAGGGGGAAGACATAAAACCCAACACACTGTGCAGCTTACATATATGGTCGCAGAGACATCTCCATCTTGTTTTTATTAGGGATGTGACAAATCTTTGATTTGTATTCGATTCGTACACGGATAGTGCCATTTTCCCCCGAATTTTGCAATTTAGTTGAGTATTGCCCCCCCCAATAAATTTTGGATGTTCATGATTGTTCCTCTGAGACTTCCTTGGTGCAGTGTCATTTATTGTGACCATTAACAAGTGCTGTGGCACATCTACACATGTCATGCCACCTAGGAGGCACATTGCTGAGGGTTGTAAACAGACAATCAGTGTTCAGGTGCAGCCCAATCACGAAGAGCTGGATGAGAGGCCTCTATGTGGAATTTGTGCGGGAAGAAATAAATATGAAAAACAAAAAAAAGGCAGAGAATAGTGTGGAATTTTTTTTTAAAACTGTGTGTAATACAAATCCAGCCAAAACAATAGTGCAAAAAGTTACAAAGCAACAATCTCTTGGGCTAACGCAGTATAGGCTATACAGAAACAGCCACGATGAAATGTGCAGATCAGGCACGGTGAATACCAAGGAACCAAGGAGACGGTTAATATTTCAACCCACAGTTTGTGTTTTGGATTTTTCCCCCAAAATTTCCATACAACAAACAGACATCTAGATCAGCCCAGCAAGCTAAGGTGGAAGTGTACAGTCCAGAAGAGACCACGGAGAAACAAGTCTCCTGGGGCCATGAAGATCCGCAACAGGCTGAGAGCAGCACTTGGTATACAGCCATGTTCTGTGGTGGAGGATGTGGGTCTCTTTAGACTGCTCAGATTACTGGAACCTCGTTATCACATCCCAGTCTACAAGTTTTGCACTGAATGTTTCCTGACATCTATAAATGAGGGTGCCTGCCCATGTTAATGCTGATAAAAACACAAGTACACAAATCTATCTCCTTCATTGCTGGTGTATGAACCCAGAACACCACCACAAAGTATTTCCTTGGCCTAAAAGATCACTGGATTAACAAGGAGTTTTAACAGAGGAACAGGAGTGCTGTACTGAGAGGCTTTCGAAGGGAAACACAGGTACCGCCATTTCCGATGAGTTTCTGAAAATGCTAGAAAAACAACAGACTGCCCAAGACAGCTGCCATGCTGTTCTCCATGATAACGGCACTAACGAAAAAAATAATAATAATAAGAGCTTTTAATGATTGTAACGTATACAGTTTGGGCTGTTTGGCAAAACCCTGCCGATGTACATTAGTGATGATGCTTTATTTAAAAACAAGAAACAAAAACAGTCCATGTTGAAATTGATCAGTGTAAGTTAAACTGTGGTTTTTAGGCTGGACCCATGATTTAAGCTGTACCTATCCAGCTCAGACCAAAAAAAAAAAATCATTTGAATGTTAAAGCAATTGTTCAGTCTTGAAGAAGAAAACAGGCAGGAAAATGCCAATAATGGTGATTGGCAAAATCAAAATTGGGAACAAAGAAACTGTTTATCGAGCCGCCGACAAAGAAATCTTGCATGGAGACTACAAGTCTGGAGTTTCTGGGATGAAATTGTACAGGAATCTCAGTCCACAGTTTCCTCAATCGCTGCGGAGACGGAGCTGTCACTGAATCTGACAGAGCCCTGCACTCCCCGGTCCGCCGACCCTGTGGAATGGTGGAAACACAACGCAATCAGGCCTCCTAATCTCGCAGCGATCGCGATGTCTTTTCTTGGAGCTCCGCCAAGCAGTGTTCCCTCCGAGAGGCTGTTCAGTTCTGCTGAGGATCTCCACGGAGACCATCGCTGCAGACTTCTCCCCGAGAATGCAGAGAGGCTGGTGTTTTTTTATTTTATTTTATTTTTTTAATAATGCAATTTGCCCAAAGTAAACTACAGGTATAAATACAGTCTGAATGATCTCACCAAAAACGCACGAATCATGCTATGGAGTTTGTACTGTAGTCAAATTGCACACAGAAAATACAGATATAAGTTTAAGATTTCTTAAACTTTGTGCATATCTCAAATAGATTTGCATAAGGTCATCTAATAATGGCCATAAATATGCTATGAATCATTTTAATTTACAAAAAGATTTTACAGCACTGTAAAAATAAGCGTGGCAAGATTTTTTTTTCAATCAGGTTGTCTTGTCAGATTTGTCATAGTCCATGTTTGACAAACATTTAGTAGCTACTATTCGGTATTCAGTCGAATACCAAAAAAAGTGGATTCGTCACATCCCTAGTTTATAAACCAGTGAAACCCCAGAACCGTATGGAGAAAAGTTGGAAACAGTATCAAGTCTACGTGGTGTTCTCCAATTTACATAAAACAAATAAGACTTTTCACATGGAGGTACAGAATATTATCAACTCTGAAAGTCACACACATGTACACACACACACACATACACACACACACCAGGGAATACTTCAGTTTCACACAAATCATTGACTGAAGAGCAACAACAATGATTTACAGAGACAAACAAAAAAACATGAAGTACAAATAATTCTTTAAAATTGGTTTTAATCAAAGAAATGCAAAGCAACATTATAATAACTCACCTTTCTGTAATCCAGTCTTCACTGTAGCCTGAGGAACTGCTTCAACCTGTTTAGACAGAGAAATACAGCATTAAAGAGAACATTCTTTCACTTTTAATTAAGGAAAAAAAATATTTCCATCAATCTAAGTAATGATGAGTGATTAATGTATCTGAAATCTGAACTCAGTCCCACCTGGTGGGTAAAATTTTCTGTCTCAAGGTCAGGGAGGGCTGAAATCTTAGCTGCCTGTGCCGAATCCAGTGACAACACACAGCCACATGCTCTCTAGCAAAGACTCTTCCCCCATTCCCTTGGCAGAAGAAGAGAACGAGAACACTTTCCTCAGTGTCTGGGAGGCAGGAGAGGGGTTGTTTCTGCAACCAGCCCGATGCTGCTATAAACCCCTCCCGCCCCAAAGACGTTAGGATAAATTTTTACTTACTATGATACTCAGGTTAATGTAACTCACGCCACTTTAAGACCCTTCCGCGCCTGCACTCACAGCTAAGTTGCTGGGAATCAGGACCCTCTCTGTAGAGAGTGCCACAGGGCTCCATACAGCTGGAAGCTCAATACTTTTGCTGCTAGTACAAACTTAGTAAGTTTGTGATATTGCAAAAGCACTGTCTTGAGTGTCTTATGAACAGTGTCTTGATCCTACATTAGGAGAGCGAGATCAGAAGTTATTCTGCCAATGTATATGTAAAACACGTGGTAATTTAAGGACTGAACCATTGGGATTGAAGAAAGGACGGTTTGGAGGAGTTCCTGTTTAAGCTATGAAGTGAATTTTATGTTTCTTTAAGATGTGGTGAAATATGCATGCTGAGACACATTTTGTAAATATTTAAGGATTGTTCTAAGCTTTTAGAAAATTTTTTTTATTTTTTTACAACAGGTTAAAAAAACATACAACAGAAGCACTTTTATAAGATACAATTAGTAATACAAATATAAAATCTTCTACACAATCACTGGTATTGTTCTACTACTAACTATAACAGAGTGGCATTAACAATTAGTCCCATCTTGTACTCATTCTGCTTATTAATTTTAAACTGGTCACATAATTGAATTTGGGAACCGGCTGGCAAAATCACAACTTCATTTCGGTAATGAACACTGTAGGTTTGCAGCAAGAGCTTAGAAAGATTTTTTGGAATTTCCTAAGTATTATACTTAATTATAATAAATGAATGACAAATTACTATATTACTGAAATTTTAGTTAAGTATTTCTGGGAAAACTGTTTTACATGCTTGATGATACCACAGAGCACCCACAAAGTCACCTTTTAAGTTTGGAAGTTTAAAATTTGAAGGAAATAAATAGAAAAGTTCACACTCTTCCATATTAAGTGGTTTTAAAACAATAAAGCTTATTGGAACTAATAACATTCAGGATTCCTTTTGTTTAATAGTGGCTGTCTGGGCTGTTAAAATGGGTATTCTCTCAGTTTAAAAAATAAAAAAAATTCTCACTGTGAGTTTAATTAAAGGCAGTATGGTTTCCAAAAGGTAATTTAATATGAATATCACTACATTGATTACACTGATTTAAAACCCTTCCGTCAAAACGCCCCTCCTTCTGTTTCCCCCCTTGAACAGAGATTATCTGACAACCCACTGGGAAAATAATGTTCCAAAAAATCTGTGATACCAGCAGAAAACCCAGATCATCTATGACCATCTGCTTCTTAAATATAATTCTTGTAGTTAATTTGATTTTGTTTAAAAAAATAAAAATACATACTAGCAGCTTAAATAAAAAAATTAAAAAGTTTTTTTTTAAAAAGGGAACTCACTCATGGGTCCAAATAAAAATCACGAAAACATGAAGTCATTTTGCTTATACCAGAAATTTCAAAATAAATGTGAGGACTTCTTTAAGAGACCTGCGCCACTGGCTTCCCATCTCCTGAAGCCTGACTGTTTTCTGTGAAAGTGCTTGAAGCAGAATCACAGGGACGGCTGCGTTAGTTTAGGGCAGTGAATCCACCAGGACAGAAGCACAGGACAGTCCAGAAGGGAAACTCGATGTGGGGAAAGTTTTTCTTTCTTTTAAGATACCAGTCCAAGCCACAACATTTACAAATACAATGTTTTAACTCTCTACATGTAGGAAGCCAACCTGCTCCTTTTTGATCTTCTTCTTTGGCACAACTTCAGTGGATTTCTCTGATTCAGAACGAGTTCTAATTGATCTTCTCTGTTGCTTCTTTTCTGCTGAACCTAAGAGATGATTTAAACAAACAAGTAAATAAAAATTCATTTAAGGATGGCTTGACACTTATGCAATTAAACTTTGACCAAATCCCCTGTTTTTCTGATCCATTATGTTTGGTCTTTTAATTATAAATTATGAAAAAGCTATTAAATACTTGGGAGCACACAAAAATTTTTATAAGATCAAACAGTGGAGGCTGATAGGCTGAGATTGGGATTAATAAAAGACCCTAAATTATACAAATGAAGAGGGATTGGACTTTTTAAAATTATAAAGTTACAGAGAAATAGTTTAGTCTTCTTGAAAGCAAATAAACATATTTACATAACTATAATTGAAGGAATGAAGGTATTGAGGGGGTGGATGAAAATGACTTTATTCTCAGATGACATTAGGAATTATTGGCTCAAAATTCAATCAGTACTACAATATTTTGCATTATAACACATGAATTAAATTACCATATTGTGCCATGTAAAATGTGCACCATGGTTTTGGCCCAAACTTTCAGGAAAAAAAAACATCTTTTGCTTTAATTTTTTAATTCAATTTTTTAAATTTATGTTTAAATACTTGTTTTTTTGTATTATAAAGGAATTTTAGCATTTATTTTTTAACATATTATGGCATAAAAAATTTTAGGTAACAAAAAACACAAGAACAGATACAAGGTATTTTAGGTATTACCTCTGTATAACGCGCACCTTTATTTTCCCCTCAAAAATTTGGGCAAAAAAGTGCACATTATACATGGCAAAATATGGTAATTCTACATGTAAAATGAGTGCTTGGTACACTTACACAACTTCTCCTACTGTTTTATTTATTAACGACAAAAGCAGAAAAAGCAGGAAATGCACAAAAAGGCTGACCCAAAAGAAATCATTAATGTGACTACTGAGGGACTTGTTAAAACATAGAAATAACTGGTCATGCCCTGACCAGGTGGCCTGGCTGGTTAGAGCATCATCCCGGTATTCCAAGGTTGCAAGTTTGATCTCCAATCAAAGCACATACAAGAATCAACCATTGAGTGCAAAAATAAGTGGAACAAATCTCTCTTTCTATCTTAAAGTCAATTAAAAAGAAAGAAAGAATTAGTCATGAAAAACTAGTTGAAACCAATTATTAAGTGCTTTCACATTAAATAGTAAAACAAGAAACTATTAAGATTTTTTAAAAGTAAAATTCTTTGAAAGTTAACAGAAGAAAACTCACATTTTGGAAAGGATAAAACTTAGACTGAAGACCACAACTTGAAAGAACACTAAGTCAGGAATGATTTCGTTCTGTGACCCTGAGAAGGAACGTGTACACCTTCAGTGCAGCTGTACTGTATCCTTTCAGTGCCTGGACCACCCAGTCGGTCCTTCCTGGATAATCACCATGTTTCACTTACCACAGGAGAAAGCTGCTAAGACCTCCTATAAAATCAGGCCGAAGCTATTTTAGTAAAGCCCTCAGATCACCTGTATGTTTATTATTTGGTGTCACTGTTCCTGCCTATGTGTAAATGGATTCCCTCACCTTAGTTCAAGGTCAAAACAAAGAAGGATTCTGCTATTTTTATTCTGAGGGAGCAGGTAGTTTGATAATAATATATTGTTTCTAGCAGAGAAATCACAAATGGAGGTGCTAGCTCCTTTCTTTTCTCTCACTCTCCTCCTCACGCTGATGAGAATGCTTACCAAAATGACAGATATTCTACCCCCATAGACAGACACCTGTGTATCCCACAAATCCATGCTTTAGTATAATCATCAACACTCAAGTACCTACCGGGGAAGAAGAAAATGAAAACAGAAACGCTTAAAACAAACAAAAACTCTTTACTTGTTTTAAGAATGAAAACATAATTGTTTCATCAAGTACAGATATCTGATGTACATACTGTCCTATAGAAGATAAGGCAACAGGACTTCTTAAAATTATCCTGAAAGCTACCCCACAAAACACATAAAACCACCAAAAAGTATTATGTTTGTCTTCTAAGAGAGTGGAGGTAAGCAGCTGTGGATTTGGAAAAGTATTTAGAAATCTAGTATAAATGCAAATACAATTCTGCAAACCACAGAAATGTGGCAGCACCTCACACTTTATGTGTACCCTAATTTACTAGGAAAAGGCTCAAGAATTCTCCCTATGCAGTTTCCACCACCAGCTGAGATGATGATGTAATTAATTTCTGAAGAAAGATCAAATCTCTTTTCTGACTTTCAACTACAGGCATACCTTGGAGGTATTGCGGGTTCAGTTCCAGAGCACCGCAATAAAGTGAGTTGTAATCTTTTTGCTGGTGGAGGGTCTTGCCTTCAATTTGAAAAAAACACATATGTGAAGCACAATCAAGTGAAACGCAATAAAATGAGGTATGCCTGTACTGAAGTTATTTTCCCAAGAAACAAAATGGTCATTTAAAACAGCAAAATATGATTATCAACCATAGCTGGTAACCAAATTTAAACCAAGGTCAAAGCTTTAGAACACTCATCCTTATATTAAGGTCCCAACCTTAATTTACAATCTAATTATATGCGCTTGCGTAAGGAAGGAACTGGGCTTTTTCCAGATATAAAGATTTATAACATTCCACTTTATCTTTTACTTAAAAAAAAGTAAAGGGAAAAAGTCCATAGCAGAACTTAAATCTTACAATGAAAAGACTACATGAAAATAAAATGTTCAGTAGCTGAGAAGGAAAAAAACCACCCCAGCTCCATTAAAAATAGGAGTATACCCTAGTAGGTATAGCTCAGTGGATTGAGTGCAGGCCTGCAAACAAAAGGGTTGCAGGTTCGATTCCCAGTCAGGGCACATGCCTGGGTTGCAGGCCAAGGCCCCTAGCAACCACACACTGATGTTTCTCTCTCTCTCTCTCTTTCTCCCTCCCTTCACTCTCTAAAAATAAATAAAATCTTTTAAAAAATTAAAAAAATAAAAGTATAATATTTAATATCAGTCTAATATTGTATGGAGAATTTCCTTTCTCCCTAGTTAGGAGAATACAGATATTTAAATAAAGACCCCTCCTAGTCTAGGTATCACATTTAAATTCAGATAAATTACCAATAGTTTAGTGTAGTATAAAGAAAGATAACAAAACTGATTATGGAGAGCTAAGGCCAAAAGATTCTTTTCTTTTCTCTCCAAAAAAGATTCTTTAAAATTCAAAGAAATAAACAAACATTTTCAATTAATGCAAAATCTAAGTCCATACATCCATTCCTTCAACACTACAATTTGATATTTTTAGTACAGTACTTTGAAATGATACGTGATAGGCATGAGAAGAGCAAGGATGATAGGCCAGGTCTGGAAAGCCCTGGGTGCCTAGCAACGAGCAAAACTGGGGGAAAAAAGTATTGCGGGTCGGACCTCACCCCCACGGTGACCTTTCTTCCTCTAGCATATCGCTGGTCATGTGGTTTAGACCCCCTGACCTTTCTTCATATTGCTGCTCATGTGGTTCAGATCCTCCACTGACCTTTCCTCCCCTAGCATGTCCCAAGTCATGAGGTAGACTTCCTAAGAAAAGTAACAAGGGGGCTGGAGAATGACCTCATAAGACTCCCATGCAAGCCCTGGCACGACCACTCCCTTGAGCATCAAGCCCTCAGGACACTGAGGTTCTGGCCCGCATCAAAGGATCTTGGCGGCGGAGCTCTGGGTCTGCTGACCAGAGTCAGAGCTTTGGTCAAACTAGAGATACGCCCTCAGTTGTGTTTCAGCTCCAGGCCCAGAAAAGCAGCAAAACCAGAGAGAGAGGGATGCTGTGGCTGCATCAGGACCAGATATGACGATTAATGACGCCCTGTCCTGGCACAGACCATCAGTGAAGAACACAACTCTGAAAGGACACACCTGGAAAGCCGAAGAATATTCTATTGAGATCCTCCTCGGGGGCCTCCCCAGAGATCCCTGCCTTCAGAGTGGGTAAAAACCCTCAGGACGGAGGACCTGGCTCAGGCTCTTTCTCTCTGGAGCACACCCTGGCTCCCCCCTCCTCGCTTTCCCCCAGGGCACGGGCTCACTCACCCAGGACACGCAGCACTCACCCAGGCTCGCTTTGCTTGCACTCTCTTGAGCTCTCTTTTTCTCTTCTCCGGAGCAGGTCCATACCTTCCCCTCTCACCTTCCCCCAGGTGAGTTCCTTCCACCTTTCCCCACGTAAACTCCAAGGGCTCTTCTTTTGCCTCTCAAACTCATTTCCTGAGTTCCATGCAGCCCAGTGGCTCACCTTTTCTGTCTCTGTGACTTTTTTTTTTACAATTTCATTTATTTATTTTTAGGGAGGGGAAGGGAGGGAGAATGAGAAGGAGAAAAACAGCAATGTGTGGCTGCCTCCTGCGTACCCCTACTGGGGACTGCAACTAAGGTATGTGCCCTAGACTGGGAACTGAACTGGCAACCCTTTAGTTCACAGGCCAGCACTCAATCCACTGAGCCACACCAGCCAGGGGTCTCTCTGTGACTTTGAAAATAAACTTTCTCTTATAATTTGAGTTCCTTGACTCTGAATTCTGTCTTTACCAAACTCAAGTAGCAAGGCTGCTGAACCTGAGGTCTGGTAACATTCTGGTATCATTTTGCTGCTAGATACAAGCTACAAACCCGGTTCGGACTTTGTTACTCCCTCCTCACTTTAATGTGGCTTTCTTTCCTGACTCCGTTTTGGGTAAAGGAATGTTGTTTAACATGCTCAGTCCAACACATGCCCAACTCCTCCACCACTACCTCTGTCTGATAGCCCCCATCCCAATTTTTTTGTTTGTTTTAAAGGCAGCTAGCCTAAGGCCTTTCTTGAGCAACAATTGTTTTTATTTAGGTTTTATAATAAGAGTCTTACTAAAAATTTCCTTTACAAAATATATTTACCCCTTAGTGCCATTAAATCACAGGATTGCCTGAGTTACTAATGTTTGAGATTACTACCTCAGGTCTTAAGACTGTAACCCTTCTAGAAAACTATTTGGTCACTTCTTAGATTCCAAAAAAGGTTTTAAAGAACAAAGTAAAACAAACTTCTTTCTCCTAACGTAAGATTCCAAATGGCCACCCTAGTTTGATACCTCAGTCTTTACTTGGTGGCTGTATGAAGCAGCGATACTGTCATATAAGGCAAAGCCACCAGACACTGAGTTAAACTACAATCCTCAGTAAGTCAGTCTCCCAATACAAATTACTTTGACTATTCCAACAAAAGCACAATCTTACTGAATATAGGCTTTTCCTCTGTAAACAAAAATCATATAGCTTGATTTTCACTTCATGGTATCTGCTCATCAGAGAACAGATTATTATAGGAGGGCTAGGCCTTAGGCCCTCAGCTACTAACATCTACAACATCTAAGAAAAATAAAAAGAACACGGGCATCTGCCAATTTGTTTCCAACAGGGGATAAAGGAAGATGTGGGAAGGATGTGTTATCAGTGCTGGAGAAGTGAAACTTATTATCATGCAAAGAGAGATAATCCAACGGTGCATTTACTCAGACAGGTATAGATTTTGTAACTATATTCTTTTAATTATGAAACCCTCCTATTATTTATATTCCTGTAGGAAAAATAAATGGTACTATAAGCTGTCTAGCCCCTAAACCATTCTTTTTTATTGAAATGACTGTTTTAACAGTTTCCTTTTGAAAACATAATTACATTTTGATAACTAAAAGCTTCTCAGAGACATAGCTACCACATTATAGCAGAGCAGTTCTATGACCTCAAAATGGATCAATACTCTTCATTTATACTGACCTGCAGAGCCAGATGTTGCTTCAGGAGATGATACATTCTGAGTTGCCTTTTCATTTCTCTGGTTTGGTGTAGAAATTATAAGTCTGTCTTGTCCCCTGACACTTATTTCCGTTTTGTTACCAATTCCCTTCAAAATAAGGCAAATAAAAAACAGGTATTATTGGTTTATAAAGATAACTTAAGATTAATTTCATATGACCTTGATTGTAGCTAGTTATCTTAGTCAATATCAGAACAATTTTATTAAGTCATCAAGATGTACTCCAAAATGTACAATGAGACTATGTGGAAAAAAATTTATTTGTCTAAGTCCAGATGATGGATGTCACTAAGAAATTGCACATGTATCACATAATTTTATGTCCAAACAAACTATTTTCTGGTTTGCGTAGTCTCCCCTTACTCACATCACAGTGAGAGAAGTCTAGTCGCTTTCATTTGCTGAAGTACCTACTACACAGATAAAAATGTCCACACACCGTGAAAGACAAGAACATATCCATAGATACAGAAACATGCCATCCATAGTGACCCGAATGTGCACCCAATAAGCGATCTGGAACAGACGTTAGGTATTTTTAACACAATGAATATAGAAGTGATTCATAAATGTTTATGTATTTTTTAAGATTTCATTTATAAAAGGTCAGTTTTATCTCCAATTTCATATATATAGCACTCTTTGGAGGGGGTTGAAAAGTTTGATTTGTGCATCTAAGGCAGATAAAAGCTAACTCCAAGGATGGAGCCCATCTACCCTCAAAAAAGATGCAGAGTACTCGTTTGCCATTCAGAGCTATCAGCAGAACCAAGTGGGAGCTGTAACTTCAGTTTTTCCACATAGCTTAGCCCTAATGAAATCAATTGAACCAATAGGCAGAAACAGGTTAACAGAGGACCCTTATACTTCTCTCTAGGAAAATTTATCACTAATAGAGCATGCCTATATTTAATTATTTTAATGTACCCATGACAATGCTAGCAAATACAGAATTCTTTAAAAGTACACATCTGCACGGTGCCACTAACTTGAGTTCACAGGCCCACTACTGTGGCGCAGGCAGGGTGCGGTGAAGAGGTCTATGGAGTAAGCATTACAAATCTTATGAAAGAGTTTTAAAATTTTTAAACTGAAGTATTTTTAAGTGCCCTTAAATGGAGGTTCAGGGCTGGCTGATGGAGACATTCCATCCGAAGAAGCTCTTTTCACCCCAAACCTAAGCTATCACCACAGTTAACTGTTAAAGAACTAACCTAGGTCTGGTATTTCTCTAAAATACATCAGCTATCCCAAGCCAATGTGAACTTAACAAAATTACTAGTGCAACCAAACAGATCAGTAGGTACAATGATTACAATGGCTAATTCAGATAACTGACAAAAAGGATTTAATAAGAAGCACAGTTTTCAACTAAGAAAACGTAACTATACAAACTAGAAACAGGCAAAGTGCCCAGTTTTTTTCCACAAGTTTAGGGCGTTAGGCTCAATTTTGGCTGCACAGCTCAAGATTAATCAAGTACAGATGGGGATATTACAAAAGAGGGGGAAAAAAGAAGAAGAAAAACATAACCTTTTTGCCTATGTCTTTTTTTGCCCCATCTTAAACAGAGTAAACTGGCTGTACATTTCAAATGCAGTGGATTAAAAAGGGATTTAAATTATGATCTTGTGTTGTGTTTTTTTAAGTGCTGAGGTTAACTACTTATTAAATATTATTCCCTTCCAAAAACTATTTAAGAAAAAGAGGTACCTTCGTTGAATAAACAAATTGATCGATAAATTTCCCATCTCCTGTAGCATTCTGAAGAGCAAACACTTGTTCTATTTTCACCACTGGAGACATGTTACACTTCTGCAAATCCAAGCTCCCTTTGTGCATTGTAATAGAAGCTGGTAAAGACTTCCTTGCTGCTGCTGTTTTCCAGGCTATTTTAACAGGAGGTGGTTCTTCCTCTTCCACACTCGTGTGCCGCCTCTGGCTCTGTCTCCGAATCTCAGTACTTGAAAGTGAGGAGGCCACCTCACTCGCATTGGTCTGTTCTGGCTGAGTATTCAGCACTGATCTTGGTCTCCGGGTTTTTTTAACTTCAGCTTTGGAGGCAACGTTCTTTTTTGCTTGCGACAAAGCCTCCTCAGGCTGTTTATCAATATAGATAAAAGTATACTGTTCTATTCTTTCCTCTCGGGTCATTTTCAACGCTTTCTCTGCATGGGCAATGCCAATATCCCACTGAGCGCGTTCTCTCTGTGGTCGGGGTTTCCGAATCTTTTAAAAGAGATGTAGGCATTATCAGAACATTTTAATCTAACAAATACATTTAAACCAAAAGGTATTTCCCGCATAAGCCTGTCATCTTTCTAGATACACATAAATATCTTCAAGTTCTTCAGTCAAATCAATGAAATGTTCTAACTCCATTACCTGGAGAAACTGGTATTACTTTCAGATAGCTTGTAAGTTTATTCTTTATTATACCCTCCTTCATTGACTACTCTGCTGAGAGGGACTTGTCCTTCTACCATCATATTCTAAAAAGTGAGCAGTAATGACAAAGAGGAGAAAGGTTACAGAAATGATTAATGTCAGTGGCCACTAAAACACTGACATTAAGGATGTTAGCCCTAGCCCTGGCTGGGTGGCTCAGTTGATTGGAGCATCGTTCCATACACCAAAAGGCTGTAGGTTCGATCCTCAGTCAGGGTACATTCCTAGGATGCAGGTTTCATCTCTGGTCGGGGCATGTACCAGAGGCACCTGATCAATGTTTCTGTCTTTCCCTCTTACTCTCTCTCTCAAATCAATAAATATATCCCCAGGTGAGGATTAAAGGAGGAAAAAAAGAATGATACCCTAAAGCTCCAGGTGCTACAGAGATCACAACAAAGCTAACTGGCATTTGAAGAGCTAGCATTTGAAGCTGCACTGCCAGTCTCCACCATGATGCAAAGGGGCAGGAAGAAGAGAAAGGAGGGGGCCCCGAGGAATGAACGTAAGCTGACAGGAGGAGCAGAGCAGACGTGTATGAGAGCAGAAATTAACCCGAATCACAGTTTCCACAGATAGTCCAGGGTTGATCAGAAGACTGTGGACTGGCAACACAAGTAAGAAAGCTTGAAACAGAGCTATGTGAGATGAGCAAAGCAATTAGGAATGATCCAGGGTTTAGACTGAGGTAGCCAGAAATCAGCTAATGAAAGTATGAGATGGTACAGTAGATGTCAAACACTGATGTGTAAATCTGTAAAATGTTAACTGTGATAAAATTAATAAAAATCCTCTGTGATCAAATTTAGCTTTTAAAGTGTAAAAACATGACACATTTCTGAATCACAAGAGACCCACACTAAAATTAGTTGAGTTTAAAAATCTCAACCAGACAGAGAGTATCACAAGTTCATGTCAAACTTCTAAAATATCTACCACCACATCAAACGTATTTCTTGGTTCCATCACCTGTGTGACTTGAGTTGAACCAGTTACTTAGGCTTTCTGGGCCTCAATTTCTTCATCTGTAGAAATAGGAATAACAGTATCTACCTCATATAAGTTGTTATAAAGATTAAAGGAATATATAATATGCTTAAAACAGTGCCTTTCTCACACTAGGTACTCACTAAATATTTTTTTTAATTTACTTAAAAAAATTTTGCTAAGCCCTGGCTGGCGTAGCTCAGTGGACTGAGCACGGGCTGTGAACCAAAGTGTTGCAGGTTCGATCCCCAGTCAGGGCACATGCCTGGGTTGCAGGCCATGGCCCCCAGCAACCACACATTGATGTTTCTCTCTCTCTCTCTTTCTCCCTCCCTTCCCTCTCTAAAAATAAATAAAAATAAAATCTTTTAAAAAAAAGATGCAAACCATTTAATTTAAAAAAAATTTTGCTAAATAAGAATAAAGGAAAATTACAGAAAGATGTTGAAATAGGAAAAAGAATAAAAATTGCTGGCAAAATCCACATTTCACTAGCATCTATGAGACTTATACATATTAATCAGTTCAAAATAGAAGTCAGCACTGTATTAAGCAGACAGTTTAAGTTTTTAATGGTACTGTAAGATTGTTTCTATGACTTATAAAACTTACTATCAAAATAAATTATTAAAGTTCCATGGAATAAACAGAGCTAAAATTAAGTCATTGTAACAAATGCCTGAATTCAGCCCTGAGTGGTGTAACTCAGTGGACTGAGTGATGACCTGTGAACCAGAAGGTTGCTGGTTTGAGTCCCAGTCAGGGCATATACCCAGGTTGTGGGCCAAGTCCCCAGTGTGGGGCGCACTAGAGGCAACCACACATTGATGTTTCTTGCCCTTTCTTTCTCCTTCCCTTCTCTTCTCTCTAAAAATAAGTAAATAAAATCTTTAAAAAACCCCACAAATGTCTGAATTCAAGTATAAAAAGTTTTACTAAATTATGAAGTCCTTTAAAAACACATTCGATTGATAATGTTAACATGCTTTCAGTTACCTTTTGTTTCTCAGAGTGATTGCTGGCTTGTTTGGTTGCCTCAGCCAGTAATTCTTCATACTGTTTATGACCTTTATACTCTCGTACCCGTTTTTCATGAACCCATGCCCTCTCTGGTTGGTTGCTAAAAAATTGGACGTGATATTCCCGGGCACCTGAAAGTAAGAATCCATATTAACCATTTCAGAACATAAGCAACGCACATATACTTTGCAGAAAACATGAACCTAAGCTGGTTCCCGAGTATTACTTCAATTTAAACTTGCGTGTTTTGGATTGCACAAAGATACAATCCAGTATTTACCAATTACACAACTAAGAGTTATTATAAAAATCACCCCAAATGATTAAAATTAGTACAGCAAATTTTAAGAGAAAGAAAATCATAAAATCTGCTAATTCTCAAATTTGTTACCTTGCTTGAACAATCTATTTTTACCTGTCTCAATACTTTTTACAAACAAGTCTGGGTTAAATAAATAATTTTTCCTTCAAAAATGTAACATATTTTCTTGTACTTTTAAAAGTCAAGTGCTGCCCTGGCTGGCGTAGCTCAGTGGATTGAGCATGGGCCTGCAAACCAAAAGGTCACTGGTTCGATTCCCAGTCAGGACACACTCCTGGCTTGCAGGCCAGGTCCCCAGTTCCCTGGTCCCGCACAAGATACAACCACACATTGGTGTTTCTTTACTTTCTCCTTCCCTTCTCCTCTCTAAAAATAAGTAAATAAAATCTTTTAAAAAAAAAGCCAACTACTGATCAAATTGCTTTTCTAGCTATATGTGAGTCTGGTATACAGGCCTGGGGTTAAAATAGGAGAGGCCACTGAAACTCTTTCAGGGATTCTGTGAGGTTAAACTATCGTCACACTAATACTAAGAGGTTCTTTGTCTTTTTCACTATGTTGACATTTCCACCTGATATTGCCAGAGCAATGGCAGGAAAGAGTGCTGGCATTGTAGCATGAATAGAGGGAATGAGTGACCAAACTAGTGTATACTCTTCACAGCCATAAAATGGCAATTAGAAAAAAGCCAGTTTTATGACATACACTTCATAAAACAGTAAAAATGATTAATTTTACTAAATCTCAGCCCTTGAGCACCTATCTTAATTTTTAAATTTTTTAAAATTTAAATTATATTTTATTGTTTATATTACAGTTGTCCCAATTTTTCCCCTTTTCCCCCTCCATCCAGACCCCCCCACTCCCTCAGGCAATTCCCATACCATCATCCATGTCTGTCCTATATTCTCTATGTTGTATTTTACAGCCATCTCCAGAACTGTTCTGTAACAAGCAGTTTGTATTTCTTAATCCCTTCACCCTTTTCACCCACTCCCTCTACCCCTCCTCCCATCTGGCAACCATCAAAATGTTCTCTGTATCTATGATTCTGTTTCTGTTCTGCTTGTTCATTTGGTTTTTTAGATTCAATTGTTGATAGATATGTATTTATTGCCATTTTATTGTTCATAGTTTTGCTCTTCTTTTTAATGAAGACCCTTTAACATTGCATATAATATTGATTTGGTGGTAACGAACTCCTTTAGCTTTTTCTTGTCTGGGAAGCTCTTTATCTGTCCTTCAAGTCTAAGTGATAGCTATGCTGGGTAGAATAATCTTGGTTGTAGGTCCTTGCTTTTTTTATCACTTTCATTATTTCTTGCCACTCCTTTCTAGCCTGCAAAGTTTATTTTGAGAGATCAGCTGATATTCTTACAGGAGCTCCCTTGTAGGTAACTAACTGCTTTTCTCTTGCTGTTTTTAAGATGGCCTCTTTGTCTTTAACCTTTTGCATTTTAATTAATTGTGTGTCTGGGTGTAGGCCTCTTTGGGTTCACCTTGTTTAGGCCTCTGCGCTTCCTGGAGTGGTATGTACATTTCCTTCAACAAGTTAGGAAGTTTTCTGACATTATTTTTTCAAACAGGTTTTAATTTCTTGCTCTCTTTCTTCTGCTCCCAGCACCTCATGACATGAATGTCACTACACTTGTAGTTGTCCCAGAGGCCACTTATCCGAGTACCTATCTTTTTAATACTATGTGTGACAAAATGGGAAGTACCCATAAAGCACTTCTGCGGACGAAGTATGACAGTTATCTTGAGGAACAGTGCTTGTGTGATTGAGTTGCTGCAAAAAGGGATGCACTGCCCACTTTTTCAGAGAACACACTTTTTATGTGAAAGAAAAACTGTGGTTATTTGAACTTGAGCATCTGGCAGATATTTCCTCAAAAATGAACACAGCAAGTTTATCACTTGAAGGAAAACAACTGACAATGTTTATGCCAATAATAAAATTTGATCTCTCAATTAAAAAACAGAATTTCAGAAAATTAGTACCTGCCCATATTAGTCTTACAAATTCCCAATAACCAAATAATTTTATGATGAAGTGGTGATATTAACTAATGTGATTTTTAAAATTATCTGTGAAGAAATGTATCAACATTTGGAAGGTGCATATGACTCAGTAAGCAATATTTTTTAAATGGCCAATGTATGTATGATGTCTCAAAATTATGAACAGTAAAAGATCAATTCAAAGCACAAGACAGAACCAATGGATTTTAATGTAACAAAGTAGAAAAAGTTTACTGATATGTTTTCAGATTCCACATTGCAACTAACCCACCACTAGTTGAGTTTTGGTATAAAAACAAATAAATATATACACAATTATCTGAAAAGGCTATTAAAGTATTTTTCCCATTTACATATACATATCTGTGTGATGCCAGATTAGCTTTATATACTTCAACCAAAACAATGGATACTAACAGACTGAATATAGAAACAAATATGAAAATCTAGTGTCTTCACTTAAGTCAGGCATTAAAGAGGTTTATAAAAATGTAAAAGAATACCATTCTTCTCATTAGCTTTTTTGTTTGAAAAAAAACCGTTACTTTTCATCATACTCTGAGAGTGTGGTTCCCAAAATGAGCCATCCTGTGACAAATAAGCAGTTAAGATGAGCACCTAGCCCTGGCTGGTGTGGCTCAGTGGACCGAGTGCTGGCCTGTAAACAAAAGGGTCCCTGGTTGGATTCTCAGTCAGGGCACATGCCTGGGCTGTGGGGCAGGTCCCTGGTTAGGGGTGTGTGGGAGGCAATTGATTGATGTTTCACCCGTACATCAATGTTTCTCTCCCTCTTTCTCTCTCCCTTCCCCTCTCTCTAAAAATAAATAAAAGTCATAAAGAAAAAAAAAAAAAGAGTGAGCATCTAGCAGCCCTGGCTGGTGGCCCAGTTAGTTGGAGCATCATTCCATAAACCAAAAGCTTGCGAGACCCAGGTTACAGGTTTGGTCCTTGGCTGGGGCATTATACAGAAGGCAACCATTCAGTGTTCCAGGCTCACATCTCTGTTCCTCTCTCTTTCTTGCTCTCCCCCGCTTCTTCTCTCTCTAAAATCAACAAACATATCCTTGGGTAAGGATTTTTAAAAAAGGAACACACAGAGGGCTTCTATGACTTAAAAAAAAAAGAGTATCTAGAACCTATGATAATTTGGACATCTAGACACATAATCAAGGATCTTATACTCTGTATCTTTCTCTAATAGTTAATTTTATTTTATTTGACAGAAGTATTGGTTCATGTGGACTGGAAAAAGTCACAGGTCCATAAAGAAACATAGGAACTGGTCTTCATGGGGAATCCAAGATAATTTGGGTAGGGAGAGAAAGGCAAAAAGCAGATCCTGAATAGAAAAACTGTGGATATTATGCCTGAATTAAATATGAGACTATGTAAGAAATTTTGAAATCAGATTAAAATTTCTGATTTCATGTGAAAACCAGCATATAAGAGAGAACACACACCACACAACTCAGATTTCCATATCCTCTAATCTGAGAAGGATGAGCAAAGCACAGATTCCATTATAATTAATCAAAGAAAGTTTATCAAAAGTCCAATGGTTTTGAGGGACAAAAACAGAAATATAAACCTAAACTAACAGGTGAGTTGGGAGGATAGAATGGTAGGTAACAGGGTTGAAACAACAAAGGACACAACCTGTCTCCAAAAGTCAGAATTACTTACTCAGAAGCAAACAGATAATCACAAAGACCTTGACAGTTAAAAGATAGAGAGTAAAACTAATAAACAATACACTCTCATTTTAATCTTTTATTTTCAATTTTTTTCATCTATTGAACCGCTTACTACAGACAGAACAAATCAAATAATTCCCCTCTCTGTTAGCACTTTGTTCCTGCTGGCTGGAAATCTGTAAGGTGAGAGTGCAAACCCAAAGCTCTGAGAGACTGAGAAACAGCCACATCTGTCTCTGAATAATGGACTGACTTTCTAAAAAGATGTTTAGGAAATATTTTTATATAAGAAAATTAATATAATGGTAAAATCCCCCAGTTTTAAACTTAGACGATATATTAGGATTAAAAGTTACAATAGGTGTGATGTGATATCATTTAAAGCTTTCAGTAAAAATTTTTTTTTTATAGCTATTAATTACCCTTATACAATGCATAAAGAAAAAGAATTACTCTCAAATTTTTATAGTACTTACAATCTCGAAGATGAAACTATGGGCACTTGTCACTTCTGACCATATATGTTTTTGTATTAAGCAGAAAAAGCATTTTATTTGTAACTTTTAAACTAAAAATGAGGCCTAAATAATGAAATAGAACTTAAAATAGATATTTGATCCAAACATCTTTCAAAATGTTCTTTCAAAAAATTTTATGTATAAAATTTTATATGTGAAAATTATTTTTTCCAATGTTAGGAATCTAATAACAGTATGGAAACCAATAATTACTACATGTAATCAAGATAAGTTTTAAAGTAGTTTAGCTAATAAGCAACACAAATGCTTCACAGGCAGCATGTGTGGTACATAATCAACAAAATCAAGCTTATGCTGTGTTTTTGATTTTCGGAAAACCTGTTAGAAAACTACTTCATTTAAAACTGCACTGCAGACTTCCCGCCAAGATGGAGGTGTAGGTAGATACACTTTGCCTCCTCACACAACCAAAAGAAGGATAACAACCAATTTAAAAACAAAAAATTACCAGAACTGCCAGAAAATCTAACTGTATGGGAGTTCGACAAACAAGGAGTTAAAGAAGAAACATTCATCCAGACTGGCAGGAGGGATGAAGATGGGAAGCTGGGCGGAAAGGACTCACGGCAAGGCAGTGGCTGGAGGACCAGGCAGGCAAGGCAGTGGCTGGCAGACTGGGTGGTCCAACATTTGGTGCAGATAAACTAGGAGGAACAACTGGGGAGTGGGAGAGACCGGGAAATAAAGCCTCAAAACCTTTGGCTGGGGATAGAGGAGGCAAAACTCCCCAACTCACAGGAGAGTCCCCTGGACAGACTCATAGGGTCCTAGAACGTACACAAACCTACCCACTTGGGAATCAGCACCAGAAGGGCCCAATTTGCTTGTGGGTAGTGGGGGAAGTGACAGAAAGCTGTCCAGGAGCCAAGCAAGCAGCACTGTTCCCTTTCTGAACTCTCCCCTACATACAGCACCACAACGCAGCAACTGGGTTGTCCTGCTCTGGCAAACACCTAAGGCTCCGCCCCTTACGATGTAACACATGCGCCAAGACAAAGAATTATGACCCAAATGAAAGAACAGATCAAGGCTCCAAAAATAGAACTATGCAATGAAGAGATAGCCAATCTCCCAGATGAAGAGTTCAACTGGTAATCAGGATGCTCATAGAAGTGGTTGAGTATGGTTGCAAAATAGAGGAAAGAGTAAATGCTGTGCAAAGTGAAATAAAGAAAAATATACAGGGAACCAACAGTGGAGGGAAGGAAACTGAGACTCAAATCAACAATTTGGAGCAAAAGGAAGAAATAAACATTCAACAACAACAGAATGAAGAAACAAGAATTCAAAAAAATGAAGAGAGGCTTAGGAACCTCTGGGACTACTTTAAATGTTCCAACATCCAAATCATAGGGGTGCCAGAAAGAGAAGAGGAAGAGCGAGAAATTGAAAACTTATTTGAAAATATAATGAAGGAGAACTTCCTCAATCTGGTAAAAGTAACAGACTTCCAGGAAGCTCAGAGAGTCCCAAAGAAACTAGACCCAAGGAGGAACACAACAAGGCACATCATAATTAAATGACCCAAGATGAAAGATAAGGAAAGAATCTTAAAAGCTGCAAGAGAAAAGGAGAGAGTTACCTACAAAGGAGTTCCCATAAGACTATCAGCTGATTTCTCAATAGAAACCTTGCAGGCAAGAAGGGGCTGGAAAGAAGTATTCCAAGTCATGAAAGGCAAGCTCCTACATCCAAGATCACTCTATCCATCAAAGCTATCATTCAGAATGGAAGGGTAGATAAAGTGCTTCCCACATAAGGTCAAGTTAAAGGAGTTCATCATCACCAAGCCCTTATTATATGAAATGTTTAAGGGACTTATCTAAGAAAAAGAAGATCAAAACTATGAACAGTAAAATCTATGAACAGTAAAAGCTATCAACAACTGAACTTAAAAATACAAAAACAAAAGCAAACTAAGCAAATAACGGGGACAGAATCACAGAAACAGCGATCACATGGATGGTTGTCAGTGGGGAGGGGGAAGAATAAAGGGAAAGGTACAGGGAATAAGAAGCATAAATGGTAGGTACAAAATAGACAGGGGGAGGTCAAGAATAGTATAGGAAATGGAGAAGCCAAAGAACTTGTATGTACAACCCATGGACATGAACTAAGGTGGGGGAATGCTGGTGGAAGGGGGAGTGCAGGGCGGAAGGGAATAAAGGGGAGAAAATCATGGGACAACTGTTACAGCATAATCAATAAAATGTATTTTTAAAAAACTGAACTGCAATAAAAAGAAATGAAGTGGGTGAAAGAACCCAGACACAAAAGGCCACATAGTATATGATTCCATTTACCTAAAATGTCCAAAAAAGGGCCAGTCTATAAAGACAGAAAGTGCTTAGGGCTGCAGGACAAGGGGAGGAGGGGAAGTGACGAGATACGAGTTGACGAAAATGTTCTAAAATTAGACTGTGGCGATGGCCACACAACTCTGTTAATGTGCTCAAATCACTGAACTGTACACTTTAAAATAGTGGTTTACAGTATGTAAATCATATCTCAAGAAAGCTGTTATTTTAAAAACTACTGCAGAAAAAGAGAAATTTTGAAATAGAATACACATTTTTCTTTTAGATCTAAAGTCTCAGGTTTATGGTTGCCTCAATAATACAAACAAAATCAGTTTTTCCTACACTTGGATATTGCCTAGGGGGTACCAGATTAGATTAATTCATAAAACTAAATTTAAAGATTTCCTTTGAAATACAGAAGAGACATAAATTGTACTTTCATGGGTTCCCATTAAAAGAAAAGGTGAAATTAGGTTTTAATAAAGTAATTAAATGTGAAGGTCTTTATATAACCTCAAAAGGAGGCTTTTCTAAGAGAACTGGAGAGTCACAAACCTCACATGATGTAAGAACTGAGCATGCTCTGGAGACATAGACATAGAACTGTTTTATTTAAGAAGATTTGGCCCTCTTGGGAAATCCTTGTCCCTTTTTTCTCCCATTCATAGAGTCACAGACTGTAAACCTTCAGAGATTGCTAGTCCAACACCCTTATTACATAAATGAAGGAACTAGGACTTGCCTCCAAATCTCTGCAAATAATGACTAGGTAAACTCAATTTCTTCTCCTTTGATATACAGCAGTGCTTAAGAGTGGAGGTTATGCAATAAGATTTGAGATTCTATTTACTTATCTGAAACATAAGAATAACAATAGTACCTACTTCATAATGTTGCTAAGAGGGCTGCATAAGAAAATATATGAGTAGTCTGGCTGGTGTGGCTCAGGGGACTGAGCACCAGCATATGGCCCGAAAGGTCACTGGCTCAGTTTCTGGTCAGGGCTCATGCTTGGGTTGCGGGTTAGGTCCCTGGTTGGGGGCACACAAGAGGCAACCATTTGATGTTTCTCTCTCACAGTGATGTTTCCCTCCCTTTCTTTCTCCCTCCTTCCCTCTCTCTCTAAAAATAAATAAAATCCTTACAAATTTTAAGAAAATATGTAAGAGAAGTGTTTAACACAGTGTGCCTTGTAGAGAAGTAGACATTTAACTTTTCTTGGTGGGGGGCGAGGGCAAGTATACCAATTTTGGCCCAGGCTGGAGAGCAGTGGCTGTTCACAAGTGTGATCCCACTACTGATCAACACGGGAGTTTGGACCTCGCCCATTTCTGACCTGAGCTGGGTCGCCCCTCCTTAGGTAACCTGGCGTTACATCACTCCCAGGTCACCACATCGGTACTGAACTTGGTGTGGGCACTGGGTCTGTCTGCACAGTGCACTGCAGCCCAGAACTCCTGGGTTCAAGTGATCCACCTGCATCAGGCTCTTGGGTAGCTGGGACTATGAGCACCTCTCACCTCGTCGGCTACCCCACCCTTTAATTAGCACGTTATGATGACAAGATGATCACCTCCTGTACCAGGGCACTTTCCTGGCTGTTTAGCACCAAGGTTACAGATATGGCTGATCCTGTCACTTATGCAGACACTTCTTCTTCTTCTCAGAACAGTGAACAAGGACCAAGATACAAAGTTTAGAGAGAGAGAGAGAGAAAAAAAGTGCAAAGTTGTCACAGATAATAAGGAACTCAAACATGTAACAAGAATGAGTTTTCAAAGCAAATACCCAGAAGTAAGTTCCAAACTCAAACCTTCTGCTGGCTACTAAGCAAGTCCATTCTAAATGCCAGAATCTCAGGAATCTAATCTACATGTTTTGATCAAATCCAGGAAAAGGAGTGGAGGAAAAAAAAATCCCGCAAAATTTATCAGTATGAAAAGCTAAAAGGTACTTGTCTGGCTAAAAAATACTCACAGGAGTCAGTGAAGAAATTATTAATGTTCAAAATAACTTGGCCCGAATGCTTATTAAGCACATCCATCTTATTACTTATCCATCCGCTTTCTTTTGGAATTCATATGAGAGGTCAGATTAAGGTCTTTTTACAAAAGGAGTGTGAAAGAAATTACAAAACAAATGCAGGGTGTTTAAGGAAAAATAAAGACTACATCAGTTGTAGTGGATCTCTGCTAGTTAAGCTGTTCAAATAATTTCACTGGTTATTACAACTAATATAAATATGCATATTTTGTCAGATTATATGAGGGGGAACCCCCCCAAAACAGAATTATTTTCTTGAGGGCGGGCCACTTGCAGTACAGGCTTCCCTCACGAGGTGTGTGTTCTAGGAACCCCTCCATACCAGTGTTCGTTGGAGCCGTTGTGAGAGGCTGCGTTCGGCTTCAGTGAATTTCTTCTGAAGACTCAACGCATTTACCCACTCACGATGGGTGATTTACAAGCACACTAGCCCACACCTCACTGAATCTTCAGCAGTTTTTGACCAAAAACAGCAAGATCTCCATGCCCCAGCCTCCCTATTCATCCGATCTTGCCCCAGAGCTACGTTTTTTGTTTCCCCAGATGCAGTAAGTTTTGCTGATGTGGAAGAGGTGAAACAAAAAACAGCAGAAGCACTAAAAGCCATCAAAATCTATGAGAGCAAAAACTGTTCTGAACAGTGGAAAAGTCTCGATAAGTGTATTACATCAAATGATGAGTACTTTGAAGGTGACTGAAGTTTAAACATGTAAGAATTTGTGTTTAAATACACAACTTTTAACAAATTCCTCTTTTTGGGTCCCCCCTCATATGTCATGTATATTCTTATATTCATATACAATATTTCAGATTCATTTTTTTCTTCCCATCTTTTACTTAATGTTTATTTATACCTTTTCTTACCTCTTGTGTTAATTTTGGTATGAACCTCGAGCTGTGGATCACTTGAAACCATACAAGGCCACCAAGGATAGGTTCCCACCTTAGACCAAACAAGATCGCCAACCTGGAACTTAACACCAGCAGACACTTCCGTGGTTGGAACAGAAGGTAATATCGGCTGAACCTGCAAGGAAAAGGTCATGAAACTTCATCAGCAGAGAAATTTTGAAGAAACTATGTACAAAGTACATTTAACATTCTATCCATGTAAACTTTATCTTTAATCACACTTTTCTCTGATAACTACTATGCATAACTAGAAAAAGGGAAGAGAGGAGAAAAATAAGAAGCCCAACTCCAAATATTAAGAATAGAATTGATGGGTTCTATTGAGAAATTATTGATAAGGTATCTTGAAAATTCACAAAATCTATTTAAAAAATTTTTTAAGACAGCGGGGGAAGAGAGGAAGAAAGAGAGGGAGAGAAACACAGATGTGAGAGGGAAACACGGACCGGCTGCTTCTCGCACACGCCCCAACAGCAGACCCAGGCCCAACCACGCCCTAACGTGGGGCAGAACTGACGAGCTTCTGTTTTGCATGCCCAACCAACTGAGCCACACTGGTCAGGGCTCACATGATCTATTAAAAGGTGGTTCTAGTTTTAAAAAGGAGAAGGACTCGCTGAAAATATCTTCCTTTTAAACCAGTTCTAAGATTTCTTTCAGTATAACTTCTGAAATAAAGATGTAGGAAACTGTAATGTGTGTTAAATGTGTTCACATCAACATTCTGTTTTCACCTTCTTATGCCATATTTGATCAGAGAGCATTCAACAACGCAACTCACCAGGGTTTCCTCTTTTAGTACTGGATCTTCTCTTGGCTTTTCGGAAACAGGGTCAACCCTCTCATTTGGTCTCTAGATGAAAAGGTATAGGTAACAAGGATATAAAATGGCAAACCAAAGAACAGTGACATACACCGAAAGAATCAAAGAAAACTAAATAGCGAAAAGAATAAAGGACACTTACTGTTAACTGGATAATATAAGGAGTAAGAATACAGCGTATGCAGTACTTAATGCTGGGTCTCAACAGCCCTCTACACCATACCTCTATCTCCCATTTCTTATTTCATTACTTTTAAAACTTAATTTCTTAATTTGTTGAGTTTGGTTTCACTAAAACCTATCAGAGTGCAGAAAAATGGGCACGTTGAGACTGTTAGTAGGATGTAACTTGGAGTCCTTCTGGAGAGCAATTTGGCAAAATGTATGAAAAGTCTTAAATATTCAGACCCTGACCCAGCAAATTCAGTTCTAAAAACGTGTACTGAAAAAGCATTGAGAGGTATATATGTACAAAGATATGCACACCAGTGCTAACTGTAAGAGCAAGTATTAAAAAGAGTCTAGATGTTCAAAATGTAGAATTTATTAAATTATAGTATAACTAGACAGTAAAAATACAAAAAATTTAATGACATGAGAAAATAATATATTGTTACTTAAAAAGAGCAAATTGCAAAGCCGGGTGTATAGTATGAGTCCAATCTTGGGAAAATAGTTTTTTTTTTATGTGCACAGAAAAAAAGACTACCAGAATACTACCATGTGATGCACTGAGGTTTTTGTTTTTGTTTTTAGAGCTCTCACTCGCTTTTAGAGAGAGGGGAAGGGAGGGAGAAAGACAGGGAGAAAAACATCGATGTGAGAGAGAAACACTGATCAGTTGCTTGTACACACCCAGACTGAGAACTGAACCCATGGCCTAGGCATGTGCCCTGACCAGAGATCAACCGGTGACCCACTGCTTTGAGGGATGATGCCCAACCAACTGAGCCACGCAGGTCAGGGTGGAATAAGTTATTTTTTGGTGTGCTTTTCTGTATTTGTCAAGTAATTTATAATAAACATTATGTTACTTTTCTAATCATAAACCCTGCAAATCTGTTATTTAAAAGTTAATTTCTACAACCCTTTGGGCAAGCCATTTGGAAGTATCTATCAAAATTCAAAATATGTACAATCTTCAATCTATTATTTAATTTTAAAAACCTATCCTACAGAAATACAAAAAATAAAATCTAAGCAGAGGGATGGAAACTACAGCAGTGTATCATGTCAGTAATCTACGTCTTTCAACATCTTCGTACTTTTTACCTGATACATTGTATACCAAATTGGTAACAGTAGTTATCTTTGGGAAACAAGATTAGGAAAACAATGAAGGAAGATCTATACTTTTATATCATTTGCATGTTCTATAAAAAGTAAATTACTTTTGTAACCTAAAAGATTTAAAATTTTTTTCTCGCTTGTCAAAGAACAAAATTTAATTTAGATGGCTTAGAAAGAGGATATATCCATCAAATTAGGTCTCAACTCCACTAAAAAAAAATGGTTAATTTTAGAAGCTACTTAAAACTCTCATTCACTTAATTAAAGACATTTAAAACATTATTGTAAAAACAAAATTTTATTAAATACAAGAAATTGTAGCCGTGGCTGGTGTCGCTCAGTGGATTGAGAATAAGCCTGTAAAGCAAAAGGTCGCTGGTTCAATTCCCAGTCAGGGTACATGCCTGGGACTTGGGCCAGGTCCCCAGTTGGGGGATGTGTGAGAGGCAACTGATGGATGTCACTTGCACATTGATGTTTCTTTCCCTCTCTTTCTCCCTCCCTTCCCCTCTCTCTAAAAATAAATACATAAAATCGGGAGAGCAGGGACAGAGCGGGGAAGGGGAGAGCCATGGGGGAAAATGGGGACAAGTGTAATTGAACAACAATAAAAAAGATTACAAAGTAAATAAATATATAAATAAAATCTTTTTTTAAAAAGGAAAATTGTAAAAAGGTTTCTAACTGTTAGGAAATGATAAGCCAGACTAATATTATATCCCAAACCCCAAGTATCAATCATTCATTCAATAGTGCCTGCAGCCTTCTAGGCTCTGTTCTAGAAGTTAGGTATACAACAGTGAAACAAACAGATGTGATCCTTGACCTCAAAGAACTGTACAGTTGGGTAGGATAGGCAGACATTAAAGACACACAAACACATACTAATAAATGTATATGTATAAAGAAAAAGTAATGTGTGGGTGTAGGGGGCATTACTGGGGAGTTGGTGTGGGTGTTATATCTTTAGATACAGAGCTCAGGAAAGGCCTCTCTGAGAAAGTAAATTATAATCTGAAAATCAAAGGAAGAGGAGTCAGTCTAGAAGAAAGCGGGCAGAAGAACATTTCAAAAAGAAGCAGCATGTGTGAGATCCCGGAAGTTAAAAAAAAAAAAAAGGTAGAGATTTCAAGAAGGCTAATACAACCAACTTATCATCCCCAAAGAGGAGAGAGGTCACGAGACAACAGTGGAGAGGCAGGTTATCTCATGAGGGCCTTGAAAGCCAAGTTCAAGCGTTTTCTCTCAAGAGCTGTGAAAAACCACTGAAGAGGATCACGTAGAGAAGTAACATGAACATGACCATTTTTTTTTAGAATATCATGTTAGCAATTATGTGGAGAATATTTTGGAAGGCAACATGAGAGAAAGCAGAATGTTTAATAGGAGGTTAATGAAAATATTGGAAATGGCCCAGGTGAAAGAAGGTACTAGCAACTTACTGATGGGCACAAAATTAGCTGTCAGATGCATCTGTTGGTGGTACCATAAACATCTAATCTAATAGGACACACTCGCTGAGGAAAAAAATATCTATGCTCAGAAGAAAAAAAATCCCCCCCCCATCATTAGTGTAATAAAGCAGTTTAGAATACTATTCACATTTGCATAGACCCATTAGGGAGCTTCACTTCAGTCTACGAATACTGCTTAGGCCTTCACCTCAGCTTCACTCTTAAGCCTTCACTCTTAGGCCTTCATTCTTAAGCTACATCAGGAAGACAGGGCCACTTGAGGAGGCAAATATGTAGCCAATAAACTGAGTCATCTTCTGCACATTCAATCCTCAGGTCTGGGTGTAAGGAATCTCTGTAACTCTTTTTAAAGAGGACAGACAAATAAGGAGTAACTAATCTTTGCCAAATAACAGAATCCTACTATTGTAAGAACTGGTCTGAACCCCATTAACTTTTTTCCCTTCCTAAAATAAAGACAAAATTTTCTTTAAAACTTTTTAATTAGTCAAACGTCTTATCACTTTTTGAATTTTTGTTTTGTTCCAAATTGCTTGCATTTTCTTCAGGCTGGCTTGAAACACTGTTAAAATCACTTTCCTAGAACTGAATTTTTTTTACAATCATTTTAAAAGGAAACAAATGTCAAGAGTGAGAAAGAGATCCAAGATTTATTCTGGCTTTTAAGACTACATAACTAACAGAAGAAAAAAGAAGTTAAATAAGGATGCTGCAAGAAAAGAAAGGAAATATACACTGTAAAATGTGCTGATGTATGGGCAAAAATAAAATTATCTAGGAGGCATTTAGAGATCTCTGAAGAGCTCCAAAGAAACATTAAGAGGATAAACCAAGAAATAGCATAGTATCACAAACACCCATTAAAAAGGAAAGAGGCTTCCGGCCCAGATGGAGGCGTAGGTAGATACGCTTCACTTCCTCCCACAACCAAAACAAGGACAACCACCAATTTAAAGACGAAAAACAATCAAAACTGCCAGAAAAGCAAACTGTACAAAAGTCCGACAACCAAGGAGTTAAAGATGAAATATTCACCCAGACCAGTAGGAGGGGTGAAGAGGATGCCCAGCAAAGCAGCAGCTGGAGGACCCAGCGGTCCCACATTTGCACGTGGAGAGCTGGGAGGAACAACTGGGGAGCGAGACTGATTGCACAAGCCAGGGAGGGTTCCAGCAGGGGGGACAGAGCCTCAAAACCTCTCACTGAAAAAACATGTGGGGGTTGCAGCAGTGAGAGAAACTGCCAATCTCTCAGGAGAGTTAGTTGGAGGGGTCCATGGAGTCCTAGAGTGTACACAAGCCCATGCACCTGGGAATCAGTACTAGAAAGGCCCAATTTGCTGTGGGCAGCAGTGAAAGTGCTGAAAGAGGGGCAGAGCCAAACAAGGGGCACTGTTCCCCTTCAGACCACTCCCCCATATATACAGCCCCACAGCAAAGTGACGTGGGTTACCCTGCCCTGGCAAATACCTAAGGCTCCGCCCCTCATGATGTAACAGGTGCGCTGAGACAAAGAATTATGGTCCAAATGAAAGAACAGATCAAAGCTCCAGAAAAACAACTAAGCAACGAAGAGATGGCCAACCTATCAGATACAGGGTTCAAAACACTGGTAATCAGGATGCTCACAGAAATGACTGAATATCGATGCAAAATAAAGGAAGAAGTGAAGGCTATACAAAGTAAAATAAAGAAAAATATACAGGGAACCAATAGTGAAGGGAAGGAAACAGACTCAAGTCAATGATTTGGAAGAAGGAAGAAATAAACATTCAACCACAACAGAATGAAGAAACAAGAATTCAAAAAAAATGAGGAGAGGAGCTTAGGAACCTCCAGCAAAACTTTAAATGTTCCAACATCTGAATTATAGGGGAGCCAGAAGGAGAAGAGGAAGAGCAAGAAATTGAAAACTTATTTGAAAACATAATGAAGGAGAACTCCCCCAATCTGGCAAAGGTAACAGACTTCCAGGAAGTCCAGGAAGCTCAGAGAGTCCCAAAGAACTTGGATCCAAGAAGGAATACACCAAGACACGTCATAATTAAATTACCCAAGATGAAAGATAAGGAGAGAATTTTAAAAGTTGCAAAAGAAAAGGCGACAGTTACCTATAAAGGAGTTCCCATAAGACTATCAGCTGATTTCTCAAAAGAAACCTTACAGGCAAGAAGGGACTGGAAAGAAGTATTCCAAATCATGAAAGGCAAGGACCTACATCCAAGGACCTCTATCCAGCAAAGCTATCATTTAGAATGGAAGGGCA